CCTGCCGGAACAGCCAGCATATCTACCAATCAGCCAGAAACCGCCGCTGCTGGCCATGCAATGAGCGGAACAGCAATCATGGCCTCGGCTGTGGAACTGCCCTCGACATCCTCCTTTTCTCAACGATCCCACTCATCCCCCAACTTACCCTCGTTACCATCGCGGACCAAGTCACCCTTTGGCCGCTCTACAAAGGATTCGGCTGAGGTATCGGCCTTTGAAATACCCTCGTTCAACACTGACATAGACCTTAAACTCGACATCTCTCTACCAAGCGTTCCTGAGAGCGAATCATCACCTACCAATACCGAATATGTCGAGCTGGAACCCCCTCCTCCATCATCAAAACTCTACGACCACCTGCGGACTAAATCAGCAGCCTCGCTTAGCGATGGGCCCCGACAATGGCTGCGCAGCTTGACCACCATTCGAGATGCCCAGTACGACGACGCTGATGCTGAGCCCATCGCCCCCCTTCCTCCGCTTAGCGAAGAAAAACGGCCCGCCACAGCAACTGAGAGCCCCCTGAGCAACGTCGAGGCCGAGGCGGTGCCTCCTCGACCATCCCGGGATCGCTCCCACTCGACATCTGCAAGCCTCGCCAACTTCACCAAGAGGTCGTGGAAGCCGTCGTCGCGCTCGCTGCTAAAGATGCAGCCAGAGACCCCGGCCGAGACGAGTGACAAGCCCGAGGCCAAGCCCAGCCGCGGCGACAAGCTGAAACGGGCTGTCGCAGCCAGTATCCAGGAAATTACGACCAATCAGACGGGCCAAAACCGTCCAGTTGACCCAGCTGCTAAACCCGCGACAAAGGGCTTTGCTCGTGCAACTAGCTATTTCTCCAGGATCAAACAAAAACCCGCGTCCTCGTTGTCTAAAACGAGTGACAGCATCGACTCCGATTTTAGCTGCGCCTCCTCTGCTGCCAGTTTGGCTCACCCAGGCTCCAACAGCATCGACTCGCATGTCTCGCAATCCACCACTTCTGGTGAGACAAACTCCACGGCGCTTACCACTGATGAGTCGTCGATCGAAATGCCACCGCGCATGCCCGATCCTCTTTGGTCGCAGTTCAAGAACTTGGATCTAGAGTTTCGTGGGCTCACCTCCAAGCCTGTGGCCCAGAAATGCGCGCTGATCCAGACGTTGCTTTTGCCTTTTCTCAAGAGTGCCACCAGCCAGGCATCACTTGGCAGTCTGCGACCTGAGGATGTTGACTGCAGGGCCGGTGTCTTAAACAAATGGTGGGGCGCCGTCTTGGAAATGCTCGAGGCTCAGCACCAACAGCCCGTGCCGGGACTGGACCGCCAACTGCTCTTCGAGGCGGCGACCGTTATCATGATGCGCCTCGAGTGGCGCCAGACGACGCCTTATTTCTTGCCGTTGGCAGATAGGTCTCCTCAGGATCGTGCTCGCGCGAGATCATCCACCAGCTCATCTGAGTCATCAAGCTCGGATCAATCTGCGCTGTTGGCAGAGTCGGCTGAGCACAACATCAGAACCATGTTTGTGTCCAACTTGGTGAGGCAGATGGCGTTTGTGGTTGAAAAAATGTCTCTCCGCCACGTGCCCCCGAGCTTGATCGAGTTTGCCGGCAAGACTTGCGCATATGCCTTCTTCTTTGCGCCTGGTGTAGCTGATATCTTAGTACGACTTTGGGGTCTAACCCCAGACTTGATCCGCCGCGTCTCTGAGAGCATGGGCCTCACTCGCAAGAACAACAGCGAAGTTGATGCGGACACAGCGGCGTCATTCCCGCCGAAGCTGAGCAACCTAGCCTGGTCCTCCCCCCGAGCTTTGTGGAACACTCTGAAGCGGATCCCCAAGATGCCTCTGCTTGTAGCGAGGGTACCCTGGACTGGCCCGTGGGTTATGCGCTGGAAAGGCCGCGATACCGATCTCATCTTCATCTTTGCTAGATACTTTCACCTCTTATCCAACGAGTTTATGCCAGCGGACCTTTCTTTAACGGAAAAAGCAACGTCACCGGCATTTGTTCTTGTCCATGCACAGCTTTTGTCCATTCTCGACGGCACCATTCATCGCCAGGCTGCGCTTGAGCCTCCGCATCTAGCAACCTCCGCTCGTGGAGCTGAAGCGGCGGCTCTGCAAATGCCTATGCCGCCAAGCAACTTGATGAAGAGCATGTCAGAAAACAGACTGGTGATATTGCTCAAGGACATTCTCGCTGACGATACGCCAACCTTTGCGGGAGCAAGACATACATTTGCTGAATCTTTCTCGGCGCTGTTGAAAGCCGCCGCAAGCAGGACATCCAGGTATAACAGCACCGCATGCTCAACGCTGTGTGACCTATTGGAAGAGGTCCTGTTCATTTACCACCGGGCTGAGACGGTTGAAAACCCGACAAGCTATATTGATTGGGCCTTTTGGACTGATGTCTGTAAAATTGCCTTGACCTCGCTGAATACGCTATCAGAAATTCGAATAATCTCTTTCATATATACAATGTGGGACGCCATTGCCAAAGACCCCAAGCAGAAATTGATGGTGTGTCGCGACTGGCTGTTGTCGGAAGAGACATTCAACGCCTTTTTCAACAACTGGTGCCCCATGGTGCGAGCCTACTACATGCGTCTGCTCTGCTGGCGCGTCTGTCGCGAAGTGGGCAGCCAGGATGAGGTAGATATGTAAGTTCACAAACCCCACTGAAGAAAAGGTTTCTGTGATGAGAAGGAAATGCTAATCGTTCATCATAGGGAGATTTTCGCTCTAGCTTCCAAGAGACTCAAATCTGTCTGGTCGCACTATCTCTACCTTAAGCAGGCTGCAGACGAAACTGGCCGGATGAGTCCCGCCACGGCGCCAATGTCACCTACCTTGGGAAAGCGATTCATCATCATTCGACAAGAGATCAATATTCCGCAGCCAGGCCTCTTTGTGACATTTGATACCTTTACCAAGGCATCAAGTATCATAGATTTGCCCTCCAGCGAGAAGAGCGCTGAAACCGGACTTCTCACTAAGAATGACCCTAAGAAGAAGTGGTCTTTTCTAAAGCTATTATCCTTCAGTGCGGCCAGCTCTCCAACTCAGGAAACTCCAGAAACGCCGCCTGCCAAATCTTCGGACGACGGACTTCAGAATGCGCGCCGAGAAGTAGCAAACTCTCGATCGCGGCAAAACACGTCAACCACTCCTCCCAAGACAGCCAAGTCTGACAGGAGTATCGACTCTGATGGATCAAATCCGGTATTCGAAGAGCCCAAATTCAACTTCAAATTTGTCCTTGGCTGGCCACAGCCGCAGCAGCAGTTGCCTCCATTGGAACGAATGCTCGTGAGCCCGAAGCTGCCCACACCTGCTCAAGGAAGACTTGGCTTTCAAGCGAAGCGAGGAGGCGGTCCAGTCCTCCCTCCACTGATGATTCCGACGAGAAGATTTTCTGGAAGTTCTCAAGGCGGCCTGGTGCAAGCTGCAAAGAACGCAAGCCCTCTCGATTCACCAGTCGCAGAACCTCGTCGAAAGTTGTCGCTTGCCATAGCCACCGAAGGAATTCCGGAAGAGCCTACCACAACTGGTTCGGAGACGAGCAGTGGCGATACAACCCCCAATGAAGCCATTTCCCCGTCATCTCCCATCATTCAGCCCAGCTCGAGTCAACAACGGCCTAGTGAGGGCAGAGTAGGACCCGTCAAACCTGCTGGAGCGTTCCTCAAGAATTTGGCATACTCTGGGCGTGCGTTGTCAGAGTGGAGCCTCGTCGTGGCGGAGTGCAACAATTTTATCGAGAGGCGTCGCGATGAAGGCATCATCGCCCTCAGCGAGATTGAAGTGCCACTGCTCGGCGTCGAGGGATTCCGCAAGATGGCTGGCTAATTACATGATCTCATCAACGTGGTACGGCCTATAAAAAATACTATGCGTACATTGACTTGCATTAACGCTACAACAAAACAACACACTTGGATTTTTATCCGCAATTTTTTCTTTTCTTTTTCAATCATTTAGTCTTTTTCTTCTTGGATCATCACGAGCGATATACATGGCGCGTTACATATACTCTCTATGGCCTGATCTCAATTGGCGTTGGCGATATTCAGTCTTTTCATTTTTCGATACAGCATATTTTGTTCTATACATTTCTTGGGGATTAATTAGCATGATATTTTTGGATATGATACTCTGGCACTGGATCAAATGGTCGAATTTGGAGATGGTATATGAATCAGAAAAAGAAGAGAGATAGCAGCAGTTATTTTTGGCACATTTTATATTATACCAACTGGCTTCACAGCAAAATAAACAACCAACAAACACATTCGTTAGCGTCTAGTCATTCGACACCTATGTGGAAGAATTCGACTTGTGAAGGGGAAAAGCAAGCCCCTGGATCGCCACCAATTCTACAGCAACATGAATCCCTTGGCGGGATCTCGATAGCTTTACAGTACCCGTACTGGGACTACACTCTTTTCTTCTCGAACAACTGCGGTGATCCGACTAATCAAATCATTGGTCTTTTGGCAACTGTAACGAGGCGTTTTGATTGGATGCGATGTTTTGTGGATGCACGTTCTGCTCTGTAGGGGCGAGATTTACTCACTGGATAGCGAGAGGCCAGATTAATGGATAATCATGAAATATTTGGAGAAAGGTATTGGCTATACCCTTCTGTTGCGAGATATGGTACCGGTGCCGTGGCTATCTGGTACTTGGATTTTTTACTTTATGTTGAGGCTTTCTCAAGTCTTACTGTTCGTTCCTTTTATCTTGCGAGCAAGATCTATGTCATGTTCATTTCGCTTGTGGTACCTCTATTCGAGGAGGTGATTTGGAGGAAAAGTGGAGGAGATGGATAAATACCCTGATTTGAAGGCGAGCGCGTTGAAGCAGCGTATGTTCAGAATTTAATAAAACATTCACCAAAAAGATATTGCAGCGTAGAAGCATAAATCGCAGCGTGAATAGTTTCATAAACTATATAAATCGTATACTACTTGATATAAAACTGAGACATATGACCAATGACTGGCCTTCTAAATCTTGGCAAATTGAGCCTTGTAAGCAGCTCTAATCTGTTTCCTCCACGCCCCCTGCAGTTCCGTCAACGCATCAACCCTCTCCTTCGTGTCAGGCCTATAAAATACTGCTCTATCGGGATAATTTTCTTTAAATTGGGGCTTCCCGTCGTTGAGCGAGACAAACTCCCTGCGGCTGCGGGTGAAGATGTGCACGTCGGGCTCGAGCTCCCATGGGCGGTCGAGAGTGCTGGCGATGAGGTACGTGACCAGCGTGCCGGCGTCGGCGTAGTAGCTCCAGAGGTTGCCGCGGCAGAGAGGGCACTGGGCGACGGTTTGGCCGACTTTGGACTGGGTAGGGAGGGCGACGAGGATGGGCTTGTTTATTTTGTGATTGTTGGCAGCATTGTGGGCAGCATTGTTGTTGTCTGTAGGAAGAGTGACAATTGCGGTGGTAGCAGCGTTTGTGAGGTCGGCAAAGGCGGGGAGGACGCCGCACACAGAGCCGGAGGATGGAGATGAAGAAGACTGTTCGGCTTTGCTGAGCGGCGTGGTGAGCGGGGCAGAGGGCAGGAGAGAGACGGCGGAGGATTCGATGACGGCGTTGATGGCAAAGGCGCTGCCCATTTGACGCTGGCAGAGGGTGCAGTGGCAGGTCTGGACGAGGAGGGGCGGGAGGTTGATTTGGTAGCGGATGTGGCCGCAGGGGCAGCCGCCTTGCATGGGGAAGAGGTCTTTTCTATCGGCGTAGTGGGACATGGTGATGGTCTTGATGATGAGAACGATAAGGGATGGATGAAAGGCGATGGATTTGTCTTGCTTTTTTCAAGTCACGGTGAGGAGATGAATATCGTGTAAAAGCGTGTAAGCGTATAAGTATACGACAAAGGAGTCAAAAGAGGAGAAAGAGGAGAGATTTTCTCTGCCTAAAGGCTTTGTAAGTGAAAGCCCGACAAGGTGTGGGGATTTTCACTCGCAGCCATTCAGATGCGACTTGATGGCCTAAACGGGCAATTGACTGTGGAATCAGGAAAGGTGAGGACCTCTTTTTTTTTTTTGGGTGGCCTCAGGTTGTTGGCTTACTGAGGGCTTTTTGGCCGGACAGGGGGAATGAATTGATTTTTTGGCTAATTGTGGCTTTTATTGTTCTCTGTTGTGTGTTTTTGAAGAATGCGGGGATAGACTCTTTTACGTTTGGGGTTTTGGCTGACGGATGAAATTGAAAGCTTTTGTACACATGGCTTTAGCATTTAAGCCTCCCTGAATCCAGTGGCGGGGTTAAAGTTGATTTGATTAGAAGATTGCCCACCGCCTACGTTGATTCTACCGAGGGCCAGAATGAGGAGCTACTTTGCCGAGGCCGGCGCCGTGAGTGACATGGAACTCCGCTACAACTAGGGAGACTGAACTATGAGGCTGTGTATATAGAGCATCAAACATCACCATTGTGGCTTTGCCTCACGCTCAATGCTCTTTGATCCATCTCCCTACGGGGGCATGGAAGCTTCTTATACCAAAATCGAGGATGGCGTACCCGTGGCTGCGTGTCCAAGAGGCTCAGCCACCAGGCAACTAACTGCACGTGTCTGCCCAGCGCCCATTGGCCCAGAGGCTCCCTATTTCGTCAGCGCCGCGACCCGCCCCCACCTCGAATGGCATTTCCTCTTTGCAATTAAATTCCAGACGAGGCCTCCCGGCCAAGATGCCTAAAACGCTCCCGTCTTGGCCTTGATCTGTGAGACTTGCGCGAACTCGGGAGGCAAAAGACTCCTATTCGCAGCTTGCATTGGTGCCGCTTTTTTGTTATTCCTGTTGGTTGTTTTCCCCGCCATGCCCAACACAGGCAGACCTAGTCGGGATTGTCATCTGTGCCGCAAACGGCGTGTCAAGGTTGGTGACATTCAATTGCAGTTACTCATTGCTCCCGTCTTATGCTACCTGCCTTGCCTATTTATATACACGAGCTACCCATTACACGGCATCCCTGGGGTCTAAATACGCGGGATGATGCATCTTCTATCCATCTCGGCCGGTAGTGGGTCTACAGCTGTCTATACGTGCCATGTCTTAACAGTTGCTCGTGTCTTTCCTTTCCCACAAGACTCGATCTTCCCCACTCTTGATCTGCTTCATGTCCTAGTACTTACATGCTCCCATGGAATAGTGTGATCTCGCCCGTCCCGCCTGCCACAGATGTATCAAATACGGCGCCGAGTGTCCGGGATACCGGGATCAGCAAGAGCTGGTCTTCCGTAACGCAGATCCTACTGCCCTTAAGAAGCGCAAGAAGCGCACGCCGCAAACTCCCGGGGTGGATGAGTCGCCGTCTTCAGCATCGGATACGGGCTTTTCGACGCCGGCTCTCAGCCCAAATGGAGACTTCATGTTTACACCTTCGACAGACGTCGTCTTAGTCAACGGCGTCAATTGCAACGCCGTTGCTCCTCTCACGCGGCCCGTGTTTCAACACTGGACTTCACACTCAGTTCCCATCGTCCTCAATGTCTATTCAAACTTCGATTTCATCCAGGACATATACAACAGCTACAACATTGATGGACCTCTTATTTGGGCAGCTCACCTATTTTCCCGCACCTATGTGACCAACCTCCGTTATCCGACTGCCATATCCAGGGACGCCCACGCAGAAACTGAGCGCGAGCTGGGTGGTTACCTGGGCAAGGCTCTAAACTCAGTCAACAAGGCCCTTAGTACGCCCGATGGGGCTTTTAGAGATGACGTTCTCGCTACTATATGGCTCCTCAGCAACTATGAGGTGAGAATCTTCCACAGCAGCGCGATGTGAGGTTGGAGAATCTCTGGATCAAGCGCTCACTAGTAGATAGCTGCTTGTTGGCTCTCTCAACCGCACAGAAACTCTAAGTCCTTGGCATTTACACGCTCGAGGGTTGTACAGTATCCTCAAAATAAGAGGTGTCGCGCCGCTATATACGGCGAAAGGGCGCATGTCATTCTGGCCTGCCTATAGTATGGTGGTGGGTATTGATGATACTATCAATGCGAAAAGCTGTCGTCTTTTGCTGACTTGGAATGTGTACAGCAAATTCAGTCTCTAATTAACAATACAGAGTGTCCTCCGGAGTCACAAGAATGGTTCGATGTTATAGCACAATCACCATTCCCAGGGGAGGCCCTCGGGCTACATGTGTCTCTATTCATATCCAAAGTCTGCAGTGTTCAGGCTAAAATCTTCAGTTTCTTTCGGCGGCGAGACTTTAGCGGCGCGTCTCGGGAGTATGGCGATCTCTTTGCCCAGATGAAGGCAGCCACACATGAGCTTGAAGATTGGATGGAATCGAATCCTGCGGACAACCATATGTTGGAAATTTACGTGATAAGCCTTTACCAGTCGGCTATTGTCAAGGGATTCAACGCCGTAAAGCTTCTCATCAACTTCCTCACACACTACCCCCCATGCCCAATTCCTCTCCAACAGCTCATGGCTGATCGAGACTATTGCGTCGAGATTGCTCAGATATCAGCACAGGGAATCCTAGAGAGCGTTCCACGTATTCTTGGGCCCCTCGCAGCAAAAGGAAACGAGAAGTCTCCTAAAACTGTGTTTGATGCAGTGAGGACGTTATGGCCACTCATATGCGTATATGTCATGGAAATTTGCCGATCAGAACAGCGACTTGCCGCAGAGGAATACCTCTTCTACATAGGTCGCGAATTAGGAGTACGGCAGGGGCTGAATACCTACTCGGGTAAATTGACTCTGCCGCAGGAGGCACGGACACCCTTTGGAGAGCATGGAGGGTTGTAGCATGGCGCAATATTTGATCTTTAGCCGAAATGTCTACAGACAGAACAGCCGTCTCCATGAAAGCGGTTGCTAGAACGACAGCAGGGTGTATCTTGGATTTGCTGGATTTGCTGATTTATGTGTTTGAGATACCAAGGAAAAGCTTACTAAAGAGTCAACAGAACTGGCTGTTTCAATAAATAAAAGGGCACATTGTTAATCTACTGTGGAGATTGGCACCGTTTGCTTTGTTCAGCCTGGCCAAAGACTGTGTTGAGTGTTGAGGCTGAAGTGTCAGGCTGACATGGTGTTCTCTTCGACCAAAGCGGCACATGTGTTACATCACGGCGATATGGTCGGACCTTTTGAGTTTTGAGAGAGTTTTGAGCGAGTTTTCTCCTCTCTATCTCCGCGTTTCCACTTTTCACAACCAAGGGAGCGAACTTTAAATAAATCAAAAGAGCTATTTTGAACCTCTTCTTTCAAAGCACTAAATATCCAGTAATATAACGAGCACAACATGGCGATTAGCGTTGATCAGCATTTGAGTATTCCGGTGGTTGATTTTGGCACTGCTCGCACGGGCTCTGGAGAGGATAGGCGAAGAGTTGCAAATGAGCTGTACGAGGCATTCAAGAATGTTGGATTTGCATATGTGAAGAATCATGGCGTGCCTCAGGATGTTGTCGATGAGGCTTTCGTCTGGGTATGTTGCGACCCTCATCCACTGAATAGCCTGCTCCTCGGAATCGCCGGCTGGTGTGTACACTGAACAGGAGATGAGAAACCTGCTAATTCTCATAAATCACAGAACCATAAATTCTTCAGCATGCCACAGACCGACAAAGACAAGGCACCCCGCCCATCAGCGTCGTGGCACCACCGCGGCTACTCGAGCGTGGGCCGCGAGAAAGTGTCCCAGATGATCTTTGATGAAGCGTCCATTTCAGCCGCGCGAAGCGTGCCTGATGTAAAGGAGTCGTATGAGATTGGTCGCGACGATGAGGAGGCATCTCTGCCGAATGTTTGGCCGCCTCAAGGTCTTCTCCCTGGGTTTCGCGAGTTTTTTAACCAATTTTATGAGGTGTGCTATGCCGCTGAGTTGGAGATACTGAGACTTGTTGCGCTGGGGATGGGGCTTGACGAAGAATATTTCATTCGCTTTCACAAGAACAAGGATAACCAGATTCGGTTGTTGCATTATCCGACCATTGAGGAGAGCATTCTTCGGCAGGGCAAAGCAGAGAGAATCGCCGCACACACGGACTACGGCACCATCACGATGCTGTTCCAGGACGACGTGGGAGGGCTGGAGGTGGAGAGTGTCAAAGAGAAGGGGAGGTTTATCCCCGTGCCGTATATACCCAACACGGCCGTGGTGAATATTGCGGATTTCTTAATGCGCTGGAGCAACGACGAGCTGAAGTCGACAATGCACCGGGTCAAGGCACCGCCATCTCTGGAGGCAGATGGGGACGAGGCCGTGATGACGAAGAATAGAGTGACTAGAGCGAGGCACTCGGTGGTGTATTTTGTTGGTGCGGATTTGGAAAAGACGGTGGATTGTGTGCCTGGCTGCTGGGGACCGGGGAGGCCGAAGAAGTACGAGCCGGTGAATGCGATGGAGTATATACGAATGAGATTGCAGGCTACTTATTGAAGCTATTATACAAGATGCCGATGGCTCATTCTATACAAGTAGAATAGCTTATTGAAATGAGCATTAAAGTCGTAAATGTCATATTGACTCATTCATAATTAATTACAACAAAACACACAAATGCGCCACCAAACGACCAAAAACTGGCAACACCTGGTTTCAACTAAAAACTCTTCACAGCTGCGTCTCAGAATGAGCAACAAGCAGCCACTCCCCATCCGCACCCTGGTTCCAAGTCGACGAGGCCGTGGCATTGTACTTTTCCTTGCCCTTGGACGCCTTGATCTTGTAGGTGACGACGCCGCCCATGAGGCCGATGAAGTGGGCCTTCATGTCCTCGGTCTCGAATTCGTCGAAGCGGTGAAAGGGCGCGCGCATGGCGTCCTTGAGGGCGTCCTCGTCCTCGGGCGAGAGGATTTCCATCTTGGGGAACATGAGGGCGGCGTCGGGGGCGCAGAGCTTGAGCACGGCGGGGGCGGGGTTGGCGGAGGTGATGGCGGTACAGAGGTCGCGCTCCTTGCCGAGGAGGTCGTCGCGGAGCCAGTCGTTCATAGCAGGCATGGTGGTGGTGGTGATTGAGACTGAGCTGAGACAGAGACTCTGGTGGTGATGTTAGTATTGGTGTTGATGTAAGATAAGGAGTCTACAGCACTCACTAGTTTGGATGGGAAATGAATCAGGACTGATTAAGCTATTACTGCACTGCTATTGATTAAGAATATTAAACAAGTATGAGAGAAAAATAAAAAGGAAGAAGAAAAGAGGCCATCACGAGATTATCTGTGTTTATTGAAGCTTCTACGCAGCAAGATGTCATCTCATGACGTCAGAGCTATAGCATGGAAAATGACGTTGCAAAGATACTTTCAACAAGTGAAAAGGATCTAAGCCTCCACAACAATCTATTTCGGCACGCTCTATCGATTAGCATGTGCTCCGTTATTGTCTTGAGTAAATTAATTTTTAATTTAAGCCTCCTGTTCATTGGGGCTGACAATGCGTTGTGGCTCGTGGAATTGATAGCATAAACTAAAAGACGCGTGATGGGTGGGCTATAGCAAGTTGCTTTAGTGCTGCATGCTGGTACTAAAACCTGGAATTATAGTGGCTTTGGTACCAAGTTTTGCTCTACGGGGGACTTCCCCACCTTTAATGACACGACTTGGGCGTCATTGACGATCGGTTGCCGGTTTGAGCCGCGGGCTGACGCGTGGTGGCTTGTTTGGATGGAGAGTGGAAAGAGGAATTGATTGTCTGGTTTGTGGCTGCTGTGGCTTTGATGATGGGGTTTGCGTGTGAGGGTGGGCTGGGTATTGATGGCTCTGACAGCGAGATTGCGGTATCAGGCATCTGTCAATCGCATCAAATGAGTGAATAGGATAGGAGAGTAAGTCAGTTGGTAATAACAAGCAGAGGGCTTGATGCAACAAGTTCCTACTATCAATTGTTTTTTTTTTCGACGGCAGTGTACGATGTCCTAAGCAACTACATCTAGGATATTCGTACTCAAACTGTCCATGCCCTCTCGACCTGCCTAGAACTCATTCCAGGTTTGTACTTGACAGCTATAACGTAAGCCATGGCAACTCTGCATATTTGCATCTAAGCATGTCGTTTTCACGATCGCACCTTGTCCTTGTGGATCCAGATCTGGGTTGCGGAAGGGCCTGAGCACCGATTCGGCTACTCGTGGGATCTAGGCTCATTTTAGCGATTTGTCTTGGGATGGTTATTAGTGGAGAGCGTGATGAGACGATGTTTGACAGCTCAAAAGACTGAGCGCCAGATACCCGGCTTGAAATGAGACAGTATTACGGCGGAAAAGTGCCTGTGTCCGGAGTCATGTTCAAAGTACCTATAAATGGAGTTTTAGGTACACAAAACGCGGCGAAAGGTGACTTGAGCTATGTAGGCATTTGATCGAATGATTCAATATCTCCTATTATCACAAGAGCCAGCATCTGACGCAAGCTACATGTAGTCGCTTCGGTTTGCAATATATAGCGGTGCTGAATTGCTGACTATAGTCCTTGTGCCTATTCATCGGATGCAATTGACGCGTTTTCTGTTTGCTTTGCATATCCTATTTCAAGTTTCGCATCGTTGGCAATGTGATTTGGTAGACATAGGCATGGAGAGAAAATCATTCCCAGAGCTGATAGAGCCTATAATACACGTTATAACTAAACTGGTACTTCCAGGGGTAACTGCTCCACACCGCTTCACCATCCTTCAGACACTTTGTCAGTACACATACATACATACATGCATACATACATCAGTACTGTTGGGCGTCGCTTTTATATAATTCATTAGTGCCTGCAGCGTCCAAAGCCAATTGGCAGAGTTGCTGCTCGCTACCTGAGCCCTTAGGCAGAAATTGTCAAAACACCACTTCACATTGTACCTGGTACTTGATGTAGGCACGTAACTCCCATCCCAGAAAAGTCACGCCGTCAGTGCATATGCTACTGCAAGAACATGCATACACCGAGCACGGCTGTCCTATAAAACACGCTGCCCCTCTTGTGTCTTGCACCCGATCAACGCTGTCCTTTGTCGTTCCAACTCGTGTCCGCGGCATCAAACGCTGCCTGCCTCTATTCAATAGACCGCGGCGGCACGGCGACATCAATGTCTGACGGGCTCTCACAGCCGCTTGACGCGGTCTCGGGCCCAAAGCCCGGCAGCGACAGCATGAATGCGGAGCGCCTCGTGAGCGAGCGCGGCGGCGAGGCGGCCACGCTGGATTCGGATTTCTGCAAGGCCCTGCAAGGTATCGAGACGCACGGCTACCTCAAGTCGTACTTTACTCTGCCCGAGCACGCTCGCAGCGGCCTGTCTGTATATCACGTCGGCGATATTGCTCTGCCTCTTGGAGAGATTCAAGCGCGTCAGATCATGGGCCAAGCGAAGCCGCCCGGCCTTGACATTCTTCCATGGGAGCTGAATTCCACGCAGTTTAAATTGGATTACAGCGTGTGGGAAGGCCGCCTCAAGGCTTTATACAGGCACATTGCTCCTGGCCTTGGCCAAGGTCAGGACTGGATAGACTCGATCCGCGCAGAGCCCAGCGCAGTACTGCTCATGGAAAAAGGAGCGGCTCCCGATCTGTGAGTCGGCTCCCTTCAAAAAGAAGTGCATGTTGATGTAATAAAAGCTTGACGATATATCAGTGGTTATAACCGGGATGGGGCAGGATATATCATGGTATACCTGCCCACTGCAGACCTCCAGGGCGGCAGGATTGTAACCGAGGTTGGCGGCCGAGCAAAGATTGTGTTCAATCCCAACAAGACGGAAGAGCATTTTGCTAGTTGGTTTCCGAGTTCTAGGCCGCAGCCCGTCAAATCAGGACGCGCTCTGGCGATACAGTTCACCTTCGTTCCGATAAAGGGCAACATCAGTGGAACCGCTCTCCTCTGGCGGAATGAGACGCGAGCAATCCGCCATACCCTCAAGCGATGGCTTTCCAAGGATGCTGGATCCCGTGAGAGGGTTGCACTCTATCGCCCCATCGTTCGCAACGCCAGGAGCGGCAAGCTATGTCTAAAAGAGCTTAGAATGGCAGATGATGGCCAACTTCAGATTCTTAACAAAATATCTGATAATTTTGGCTTCAAACTGTACCTCGGGCATATTGAACGTGACCAGAAGCAGCGTGAAGATAGCGGCGCCTATGAAGACATACAAGGAGGCACTCGCATCGCAAAACTGTTAGACTTGGATGGGCGCTTGGTGACCAAAAATCTCCGCCTTGACGAGGCTCACGTCCCTAAAGGGTTCTTTGATTGCATTCGTAATTGGGAATCACTGTGGAGCCAGGTATGTTCATATTGCAAACGTAAATCCCCGTGTCAAAAGATGCTTCACTAAACTATGTTTGCTGACTCTCCTTTAGTCTAAGTTGCTGGTACATAAAGGCTTTATGGAAGTAGGTTCACTCATACACGCGTGTCCCATGGACAGATTTACTAAGTTTGCTTAGTTTTTTGTTGTTGTCCCCTGCGATGCGATAGTACCATTTTTCGTCCAACGTGGCGGCGACAATGATCTTTCGGCAAAGGAGGGAATTCCAAAAGCACTTGGCGCGTACGCCAGAATGTGCCTAAAGAGTCAATGCTCGAAGAGCACGCTTTCCGTGTTCCAAGAATTATGCGAGCTTATGTGGGACCCCCCACGGAATGCATCTGAAGGAGACACGCAAAGCCTTTTCTCAAAGCATAAGCCAGAATTCCACAAGAATGACCTCATTGACGTGTTCAAGGCCACAATTCAGTTGAAGTGGTATCCGTGGTTTGAGAAAATAGCCGCTGCCCACGAAGGAGCCTTGTCAACATCATTCTTCGGCTGGGTGCCTGAGTATTTTCACAGAAGCACTGTGAAAATTGATAAATGGTTTGGGCCTCTTGAGAAAGGGTATGTGTGGTGTTATGCAAGACAGGGTTCATCAGCACTGACACTCGCAGGTTATCTGCCGCGGTTCTCTCATACCCTCGAGCCAAACAGCAAGTCAGGGCGGTAGAGACTCTGTTTCCCATCATCATGGCAGACACGGGCCGACTGGTCCCCTGCCCCCCCGAATGCCTCATTCGCTGGGCTCGCCAGGTGCTACAGGAGTGTATCAAGACTTGCGGATCTAAAAAGCTCGATAGAAAAGATGGGGAAGCATTAGTCAAGCTTGCTCTGTACTTTGACGATCCGATTGCTGTTATATCACAAGTGTGCGTGAAGCGACTATTTTATCCTATTCTACCTTGTTTGGCGCGCCGTGAGCTGACTTGATTGATCATCTAGGGGGAATGAAATCGATCCAGGAAGTAAGCCCGACGCGTACCTTGGGTTTATCAACGAAATAGACCTTTTCGGCCGCTACGACTGGATCTCGTACGAACAGTCACGGGAGCTCTACTGCGAGGCTTCAAGAGCTTTTATAACGTCAACGGCCTTTGCACAGATTCACGGTAAAGAAAAAGATGACAGCAATGAAGCAGACTTCCTCAGTCGCTTTGTTTTTGGCGGATCTGGGGCCGAGTTTCCGATGGAGCACGATGAAAGTGGCTCTGATGATGGAATTGCGGATGAGATGATGGATTCCGACAATGATTTCTTGGAAGATTATATGCCAGGTGCCCGAAATTACATGCCAGATGGAATTGACTCTGACATGGACCTGGATGAGCCTGGCTTGGACCCGTGGGGATACGAGGCGCATAGCCATAACCATAACCACCGCGACTACAAAGCATACAAGGCATATCAAGAATTCGAACTGAATGGCGGCAAGCCAGAGACTGAGGTCGTGGAAAGTCAAGTCCAGTCCGCGACTCTCGGCCTTTGGCTACAGCAAGTCATGAACACGAGCACAAAATACGACGACATATTATCACTGGCTCTTTCCAAGATAGGCGAGGTGGCGCCACAAATATCCAGCGCAGATTTTCACACTTTGTGGTTTCCTGTTCTGCGGGCGATATCTCCCAAGTTGGGTCGTCTCAGTCTTGAGAGGGCCAAGGATTCCAATACGCTGCTTTGGCGCAAAAGCATTTATACCCTGGTCAAAGCCTATCTCGACAATCATGTGGGGAAGTGGCCTCGGCGTCCTAAGCTCGCGCAGAAAGGGGTTGAGTGCGATTGTGCCGATTGCAAGGGGCTCAATGTTTTCTTGGCTGATGTTTCGGTGAAAACCGGGCATTTTCTTGCAAGTAAGAAGCGGACCACTCATCTAGTAAGGGTCACTTCCAAAGAGGACACCGATATATACACTGAACGTAAGGAAGTCGAGGGAAATCCCCAGAAGGAGGAGTTAGTCTTGACAAAGTCTCGAAAAAAGATGCTTGCGACGGCTCGTATGGCGTGGAGAGAACGCCGGGACGAAGCAACCAAGCAGCTGGGCACCTTTGAGCAAAAGCATCTTGCGGCCATGCTGGGGCCCGAATGGATGACGCTTTTTAGCATGGCGCATCTTGGGGGGCCTAGCTTGAGTGATTTGGATATGCGGAGGGCGTTGAGGTTGAAGACTGAAAGGGAGAACATACCGAGGGGGCCTGCTTATATGGATCCTTCGACGATTGCAATGTTCTTTGGTGGTCTTCCTTCTATGAGTATGGGGGAGAATTACAATTACATGTATATTTGACATGTTGTTTGGGTCTTTGAGATTGATCTATGGATTTGATATGATGAATGAACATGCCATTACACCTTTGTTAAGATTATTGTATGGACGTTAGTGAAGATCTAGCTTGTAGCCTGTTGCGATGATTTTAAAGAGGCGATTTGAGAGGCATCTCATGTGATGAATTTTGGAGGGAATGGAAGAAAACGGTATATCTATATTGAAGCAAGGAGGTTGTAATATACCCATTTACTGTGAACAACTTTACAAAGGGTTGAATGTTGTATTGGAAATTGATGCGTGCATATATGTGGCTTGGGAAAGGTGATGAGCTAAGTATGGCACTTCTGGGGGAAACGAATCTCGATAAAATACCGCTAGTGATGCGCCCAGCGTCAAACAGCTGTGTATTTTATGAAGTTACTAGATATACTTTGCGTCATGATACTGCTATTATTATTGCGCAAATACTATCACATACCAGTTCATCAGCATTTTTTCCTAAAATTTTACCACAAGAGGGCAACCGAGCTTCCACTTAAATACATTTGTGTAGATACCTTATCTATATGTATGTATGTAGTCTTAATAGTTCGACGGAGGGTCACCACAGGGTCGCTAGAGGATCGCTAGAGGATCGCTAGAGGATCGCCAGGGAATCGGCGGGGAATCGGCGGGGTCTATTGGCTCCACGCAAGCTCCACACGACCAGACTCGACACAAGTGCATCATTTTAGGCCTTAAGTTCACCTTGAAATAGCAAGGATTAATATGACAATAATGGCGAATTATTAAGGCTGCTGTTGAATATGCTAGAATATAATAGTTGTTTCTTTATCTGCCTCCGGGATGTCTCCATAAAACTTAAATCGATCCACGTGATCCGCGCACAAATTAGCATAAATTGGCCGACGACAAAAACCTTTCATACTTTCCTCAAAGTACACCACGTACGACTGATCAAAACAACGTTGTAACGAAGCCGGCATAGCTGCAGCAGGATATCTGCGAGCAATAAATTCCACTTTCTCATAACGGACGCCATGAATGCCAGTCACAATGCCTCGCCGTTGAAAGAGCTTCACAGCGACCTCGCCTGGAAGTACAAGGCTCACGCCTCCAAAATCGAGACTATATGGCGCTCTTTCAGCAAAGGCCAACGGGCGCAATGTCTCAAGGCTGGCGCCGCAGATGGAGCAGTGCTTAAGCACTCCCAAGACACATCTCTGGGGAATGTCTATAAAATTGTTGCAGAGCTGAATTTGCAGGACATCACAACAGAACCCGAATTTCTACTAGGTCACCTCAAGCATCGTGCCACAACGTCTCTTTTCCAACAGTACTGCGATGGCGCCCTCGGCACCCCAGGTGACCGAAACTTTATTCTAGAGATGATGACGAAGAAGAACCTTCGCCACGTCGACTCGTTTAAAAATAGCTACACATTCTTCATGGACGAGCGATATGGAGATTCATTCAAAATTGTGTCCAACCGCGAAGAAACACTGGCTGCTTTTGGGCCGGCAATTCGGGCTGGCCTCTGTGTTCCTCAGTCGACGGGGGAACTCATTCTACAGAGACAACTCGTGCTTTTCCAGACTCTCAATATCCTGATTGAGGATATTCTCGACCTAGGCTCTGAAACGAGGTCGAAAAATGAGCGGTCCAAAAAATCTGAACAAGCGGCATCAGCCGCTCTTTCGAAGCTGACGATCCAAGAGCGGCCGAAGAAACTTTCACTCCCGGATTTGATCTCGAGTGCTCAAGATCAGAAAAACAGTCTTGAAGAATTCCTAAGTCTCCTCTCCGCTGAGCCAGTTGTGCTTGCTCATGCCGTCAATATTCGGTTCTTCAGCCGGCCTGAACTTGTCATAGACGGTAAGGGTCGTCACCTGCCCGTCTTGTCCGATAAACACATCAGTGGCGCACTCTTTGAAGCAATTCACAGCTCAATCAAAGGGGCCAGTGTGTGGAATTACATATGTCACCTTCTTGATCTCTTGAAAGATGCAGCCGCTGATAAAGTCTACCGACCAATTATCCTTCAAGAAGTTTCGAATATCTGCCATTTGGAGTACAGCCGTGCCCAAGCTCAGTTTATCAGGCATGTGCAGACGGGCATAGGCGCGAAATATTTCAAGCGCGTCGCCAATTCTTACGACAGTGCGGGTAACGCAAAGGTCAATATGAAGATTCAGCCCGAAGAGCTGACCAGAGTTGACCCTCAACTGCACTATGTTTTGCGCTTGTGTCAATCCCAGACCAATTCCAGTAAAGCAGTTGAGTGGATCAAGAAGCTGAGCGACCTGTATGAGTCTCACCCCATTGATCGGGAAACTTTACAGGAAAGAGAGATTGGTGCGTTGGGAGATTTGATTGTAATCACCGCATTTATGCAAGATTTATCGCCAGTCATCTCGATGCCTGCCCTCTCTCGCAAAAAGGGCCAAATGTTCGTATCACGGTCTCAAGAGTTGGATGTCGAATTGAACAAGCTCCGAGACGAAATAGACTTACGAGAATTTGCTGTACCGATTGATAACCTCCTAGAGGCTGGAATGACGAATGGAGCTCTGACCAAGCTTGACCAGTTTGTGGTCAGCAAGACTGGTTCGAAGATGGGATTCCTATACCAAGATCTTATGGAGGATTGCTTAGCGGATCTTGAAAACCAGTATCGGGCGACAAAAGCAACATTAGAAAAGACGCAGTTCATCCCGCTTCCTACGACAACTCCTCCTCAGTCCGTAGATGAAAAAGTGGAACTGAGAAAGGTCAAGGAAAAGACCCGTCCCTCTCAGTCAACGATATTTGAGATTATACAGACTCCAGAGGCGCCCAAGGAAGAACCTGCCCTGTCGGCACAAGTATTCAAAGTCAGCCAGCCGGCAAGCCAGGTATTCTCCACGCTCTTCAAGAAGTCTGAAGCACGAGGCTCGATCAGCTGGGTCGCCTTCGAAAGTGCCATGGCTGAGCTAGGATTTTCTGTCATGCCAAAGTATGGCTCCGTCTACACATTTTCGCCGCCTGATGGCATGAAAGAGAACAAGTCTTTTACAGTGCATCGGCCTCACAAGTCTCGGATAGAAGGATATCTGATCCCGATATTTGCGCGCCGGTTAAAGAGGACATATGGATGGAATGAAGGCACGTTTAAAGCTACATGAAGCAAGAGAATGCTGCGGATGATTTGGCTTTGAAATTTTGCTTTGAGAATTGCTGTACTAAGCGCAAGCTTATTCAAAAATCCCAATTTTACTTAGTCTCGTAGAGTATTAGTACTTGAACCGCGTACTCACTTAGGAATCAAGGTAACTACCTGTATCAGAGTGGATGGATGCCACGTCAAGTAGACTTGATGGTAGCTGAGCTATGACTTGGAGGATCTTCAACAATAACAGATGCTGTATTTTGCTTCCCATTAACACAACGCGCTTACTGAGCTATACTATGAACATCCCCTGGACGGTCCCCCATCCCCGCTACACATATCCCGGCGTTTAACGAGGAGCGAGCCCCCGACAGCCGGGGAGTTGATTCCGGCAGCAACCGGCGCCGGGAACGCATTCATCATCAGTTTCTACCTATGTACTGGGTAGAATGGTTGGTGGTGGGCACGAGGTCGTCACACCCTGGGCTTGCTTTACCAACGCGGCGAAAATCTGACTCCAGTCCTTACTTACAAGTTATCCGTGTCTCCGTGTCTCCGTTCTCTAGCCACTCCCCTCCACCGTTGTCAAGCCCTGGCCACGGAGACCTTATTTGCAGCACACCCCTCCTGCTCAGCGCGCAGCATCCCGCGCTGCATATTACTGCAGCGCCCATTTACAGCATATGCGAAAAAACAGCTCTAGAGACGATCCGCATCCACCCTGAGCCTACGCGTATATCTTCGCGTCCTTCCTAAAACGGACTTGGTACCTATGCAAATATGGTCTCAAAGACATACAATGGGCTCTTACTCGGTAGAGCAGCAAACTTTATTGCATGGTAGCAGCTCAGCCAGTTACTGATGAAAACAGTACTTGACATTTACTCGCCTGTAGTGAGGCAGATGCTTCGGATGACAAAGCACAGCCGCTTTATCAACATGAAGTCTCTGAACAGAATCTAAACCGGGACTGATCATTTGCTAATACATGTAGCAATCTCATCGCGGAGTGTTATAGATGAGGGGTTTCTCCATGGCAGATAGCACGGCCAGATGAAGAATCGAGTGAGAGAGGTATATTTCCTGTTTTGTATCACCTACCTAAACAATGCACCGATTATGGTCCTTGTAACTCATTACCTCTCTTGACCCTTTGGTCGTTGAAGGTGGTCAATGATGGCTCAGGGTCTTCCAGAGCCTCAATCGAACTGTCACAGCCAAGTCATCTGCACAGGCGGCCGATGATACTACCACCTAGCAACGACCACCTAGCAAGCTGAACACAACCGGGGATGGCAATGAGAAATCTAGATTCGGCTTCGGAGCTAACCGCTGAGCGCTTTGGAGCCGTCGCGTCACACGCCCCTACATGAGGCTGAGGCTGGCGCTGTGCATTTTGATCCGTGTGCATGACAGGGACACTACTCGTATACTACACAAGTACCTAAGGTAGTTAATGTGCTGGCAATCAGCCTGAGAGGAATTGCGCTAATGCGGCTGCCTTTTTCTGCTCTCCATAACCGCAGCGCCCTAATGCGGTTGCCTTTTGCAAGTAGCATTGATATCACTTATACTACCTTTGTTTTGCAAGTTTGTTTGTTTCATCATCATGGCGGCAAGCCTCCTGGGCAGGTTGTCTACATGTACAAAGTACTAGCTAAATACAGGTACAGGTAGTGGATCTTGTGTCTTAGAGGGCGGAGCTTCTATAGCTCAGATCCTATTAGCTGCATCCCAATTTGGCAGATGTTGTGAAACATGAAGTTATCCAGCACCCCAATTCTGTTATCCAGCATTCTAGCAATAGCATCTATATACCCATGTAGGCAATAAGGTACGACTACTAACCTGCTACTACTTAATATTATTACTACTACTGCTGCTATTTTTCAATGTTTTTTGTAGTTGTGTTATTTAGAATAAGAACTGGCTGCCTTATTAAGCTACAGCTGAGGTGCTCGGATAACTTCTAGTGCTCCGAGGGCTGTGACTAGCATCTGGCATGGCGCCCACGGAGAGCATCAACTTTTGTCCTAATGGTGCTCAGGTCCCCCTGCTGCTCTTCGTGGCTGGATCAGGCGAGGTAGGGAGTATGGAAGTTGTCTAAGAAGAGTGAGACAGCCAAGCAAAGCGGCCAGGGGGACAAGGGGGGACAAAAAACACCGCCGGTCTGCTGCTATAAACTTGTATGCGATAGGCGGCGATGTAATTTGTCCACCGCTTGGGGGGGTGCGCTGCCTAACTCTTGGACGGCTCGAACGCCGCGGATGGGCATCGCTAGCGCCAGTAGCACAGGCATGCGACAGGGCTCCACCGTTGTCAGGAATCTAAACCCGCCTTTGAGAATTTGGGTATCACCTCATGCGGTTCATGGCTGGGCGCGGCCTTCCAGCAGTTGGTCCTTCAGGAGTCTCTAAGAAGGGCCTCTATCTTGGCTTCATGTGAGAATTCAACGGTGTTAAAGACAGACGGCCGTGGTTACTAGTGATAAATACATGTTCTAGTCTTTTAGATGACTGTGCCACGTACTTTAGTGAACGTTATATAATTGATGGTCATGTGCGTGTGGTCCATTTCGCTGTGCATATGACGGTGGTTCAAGGTTCAGAGGCGGTGCACAAATTAAATTAGATTTCTATCTGTGTATAAACTGCGAACGCACAATGTGTCGCAATTTTGTAAAGCGAGCCTAATTCAGCATATGTCCTTACTCCAGAGATATCCTATTATAACCAAAGTTGCTTCATATTCCCACGCTTATGCGTCTATGCCGTTGTACTGTCGTAGTTGGTTCGTGAATAGTGCAGAATTAAAGATCTATATGGAGATCTTTGTTTCCGTTTTGATCATCTGTAGCGTATGTATGAGCATTGGCTGGTTTGACGCCCCATGTATGACCATGTTCATGAGTGCATCGTGTCCAAGATACATACCAATGGCATCAAACTGGGAGCCCACTCCCAAAAGGATATAGTCCTGGTCAGACGTGCTGTTTTTCTTCTGAGGCTTTTGGATCGTAAAGGAGTCGCGCTTTGGATTGGCTGCACTCTTGCCTGTTTGCGCTGGCGGAGGAGTGCCACATCTCGCTTTGTGGCTCTGTGTATCCGATACGTCCCTAAGTGGGATAGAAAAAAGTTAGTGAGAGGAATTGTCTTGTCCTTAGTGGTAACTGGATGTGCAATAGCATGGCGCATTGTCTTCTTCCCTAGGTCTGCCTTCTGGGAGCGAGCTCGCAGCTTGGTCCGATCAAGTTCAAAGGGCAGCCTAGGCAGGAGGGAACAATAGAGAAGAGATATAACATGGATCAGGATGACCTTCAACAAGAAGAAAGGATGCATATTTGAAGAAAGACATCGAGACGCTAGGGCAACTGACTGTATGAAAAGTCATACTTACATAGAGGTCGTAGCCGCAAGGTTTGAGGAAGCCATATTCCGAGAATTGTAAGGATGTAGCAAAATGATATCTTTAACAGCACTAAGAAGAAAAAGGCTCTTTGGCAGCAAAAGATCTAATATTGGAGTGTAAAATGATCAAGGGACAATCAGTTGAAGGGCAGGGCGAAGAGGGTTATATAAACCACTGAGCACTTGATATATAGCTACGAAAGAACGGACTATTTACCTGCAGTGGGTGGGCGGGTGGCTGGATTATATCTTCATCCATAGTTGTACGTTAAAGTGAAAGATGTAATGTATGAAATCGGGCGGACCAGATACCGGTAGTCAGGCAATGAGCAAGAGGCCCCCAATGGCTATCAATTGAAAGTAGAGTATAGAAATCTTCGCGGCGTGTAAGATCTTGTGCACACCTACAGGGTGAGCTGCCGTCGTAGCTTTAAGTCTTTGAGTTGTTTGCTCTTTCAATTGTCCAAGCCATGACGCCGGTTTTGCGATCTTCTGTTTCCGTATCTGAGCAAGCGATTTCTCCATTCGGTTCATATTTCCCCGCTCACTGTATATTTGATCTTGCAGCAGTGAAATCTCGTCGTCAAAATTCATGTTAAGCCCAGCGGGTTGGTTCAACTTCGGGAAACCCTGAGCTCTCCTGCCTCCGACCATGATATGTTGCCCGCAGTCTGCGGGGTTTGTACCGGCCATGGATTGTTCATCTTTATTTCGTGCGTATCCCTCATCAGCGAGGCCTAGTTCATTGATTCTTGAAATGGAATCTGTATGCTTTTGAGTTGCTGTACTTAGAGATGTGACTACCTTCTCAGCCTCTTTTATGAGTCGTTTTCGCGTCTGATTCAAGACTTCAATCTGGTCTTCAATATATCCTTTCTTTTGGATCAAGCCGTCTAGCTTCATCTCTAACTTGTTCACATCGCTGTTGATATCCTGAAGGGGCAGCTTAGATACTTCAGAGCACTGATCCAATATTGACAGTCCGAGTGATGCCTCGATAAAGATACTCCGCTCCTTTGACGTCGAGTTCAGAAAGCTTGCTGCGCTCTCCTGGCTCAAAACAACTGTCTTGACATATGTCTTGTAGTCGGTGCCAAGCAGGTCATTGATAGCCTCCTGCGTCGTACGGTTGAGTGGATGCTCGAATTGAGGCTGCGGTTCACCGTGCAACGAAACGACGATGCGGTTGCCAAAGTTCTTGTGCTTGCGATATCGCGCGATGGTGTATCCATTGGCGAACTCGAGCACAACAGAGCAGTTCTTGCCCACATGGTCATTGACGACCTCGTCAACCTTTAATCCGCTGCGAACGCACGATCCAAATTGGCACCAAACCATCGCCTCGACAAGTGTGCTCTTGCCAGACCCGTTTTTTCCGACCAAGAAGGTCAATCCTCGTGGAAGATTCTGTTCAAAGTCGATAGTGGTGGTTGTCTGCACGCCAAGGAAGTTGGTGATAGTGAGCCTGCGCGGTTCGGCCACAAAGACATCAGTTGATGGCTCAGTTGCGGTCTTCGTATCCGTAAATCGTGTTGACCTATCGAGGAAGTCTTGGTAGCTAACATCAGCCTTTTTATCCTGGTCGGCCATTTCGCGGGAGGCATGGATTATACGTTGGCCAACCCACGTTAACTCATCCTGTCGCCTAAGAAGAGACTTGTCCAAGTCTAATGATTCGACATACTTGCGAATTTCCCCAGCGAAATCGAGTTTTTCAGCTCCTTGGTCAGACTCAATGTCAGAATCTAAAACTGCGTCAGTCGTTATGCCTTCGCCCGTCTCATTCTTGGCAGGCTCCTCCGAGAGCTGGACGGCGGCATCACTGGCTGGCACCGATGCGCCGAAGCCAGCCCGCAGAGTAAATGCTACGGGAGCCCAGTCTCGTACACTTCGTACTCCTAGGGACAGAAGATTTTCGCGAGCTGTGACGTAGTTGTGATGGGTAAGCTCGCCAAGGAGCATGACATGTTTGCCCTCGATGGCACCTTTATCAATCTGACCATCAAGAAGTCGGCGTATATCGGCCGTTATGTAGTTAACCGCATACGGGTTGATAAGAAATTCGTACTCGAGCGTTTCTGGATTGAACAAGACGACACCTCGTTGCTCGTCGTTGAGATCGGCCCAATTCAGCTGCAAGGGGGAGCCAAGATACGTGATGCTTCCTCTCATGTCGACCGGGCTTTTGTGCCGAGTTTGTTTCTGGACAATGATTTGATGACTGTGAAAATGCCCCGTGAATGTTCGGGCTAGAGAAGCAAACCGATCTGGGCCTGTCAAGCCGCGATGCGTGATGGAGCTTGCCGCGTGGGGTTTGTTGACGTTGGTGTTTACCACATATCGCTGCGTGATAGCCTTGTTGATGGCGAGATGAGCAAAAACAACCGTCTTGCTCGCCTCACTGGGGCCAAGAGAGGCCACAGCCTCGGTCAGCTCATCCTGCTCCTCGCGGAACGGCAGCAGCAAGACGCTCCGGCCGTCCCATTCAAGACGGGCAATGCTGCTATGCAGCGATACATAGGGGGCCAATCGGTTGATGTTGAGAGCGTCAAGAGCTGTAGTCTGGTAGTCGCGGCGGTAGGCGAGATCATGATTGCCCAGCAAGACGTGCACTCGCGGCACGATATCGCTGAGGAGGCTGATGAAGCGGTAGCACGCAGACAGCACATGTGTTGACTGCATCGTGCGGCTGGTCAGCAGGTCGCCGCAAATCACCACCCGCTGGACCTGGTTTCGCTTCGCCTCGGAAGCAATCCATTGCGCCGTCTGCCAGATCCGGTCGAGGTCTTGGTGCTTGAAGTGGAGGTCGCTCAGAAGCAGCCATCGCACTGCTCCGGTTAACGGCCTCTGCATCGTGAATGGTGATGGATGATGTTTTTACCGATGAAAAGTTGGAAAAGAAAGGACACTTCTGTCCATTGCTATGATGAGCATCGTGTGTTGGTCTTGGAGATCTGTAGCGATATGTTGCCAAGCTCTTTGCATTTGAATGAGAAGTTTATGGCTGGCTGGATGAGATTTCTGCGTGAATCTTCACATCACTGGATTTAATATGGAGTACCTGGCATGTATGACAGGCCTCAGTTCTTAGGTGCTAGTGCTAATTATTATAGGCCAATCAGAGAGCGAGGGGCATCCGTACAGGGCTGCACAGTGTACATGCAAACTCTTTGAAATCTTTGAACGCGAACAAAATTGACTGGGCGTTTCGAGGTCAAATGGATGACAAAACTCATATAATCAATTTCCATTACAATGTTTTGTCATATAGAGAGTCATACTTTCGAGTTAATTTTCAAGTGGTCACTTCTTATGGCCATTCCTCAAGACAAGTTTGTGTCTTGTTCATAGTTCTCACGTTTGCTTCCTTTATTCTATTCGCATGCTGATAAGACCTCAAGTGCTCTCGATTCGAGGTTTTTGTGAGATATTCCATGATAGATAAATGACATACCAATATCGATTGCATGCACTTTCTACGTTTCTTCCGTAGGCTTTCCTTCGACTGCTGGTGTCTCCACTCAACCAGAACATCCACCTTGTTAGCTGATAAAAAGTTCACTAAGAGCGGCCCCTTGTGTGCTAGCACTAATCTTATTCTAACTCCAGGTGCTTGAAAGCTTGGAGCTTGAAAGCTTGGAGCAGCTTTGAATGTGATATCATGGATAAAGGAACTGGTTTACGGTAAAGGTTATCCAGCATCCCTGTTCTAGTATCCAGCAATCTAGCTGGATAACTTAAGGTAAGCTACTACAATAACTTCGTACCTGACAATCACGTCGGAAGGAGAATGGACCAATCCCAAGAACGGAAGACACGAACTATGACGAGCAGGAAGTTCAAGCGCGAAGAGCACAAGCCGTTCGTACACAAGAACGCAAGGAACTGGAGGCCAAAGAATACCACAAGCGCTTGAACGCTGCCCAGACCGAGAAGGCGAAGAACAAGAACATAATGGAGGCGAACATCACTCCCAAATAGCGTTCGAACGCCATGCGCTCGCCCTTCACGAGCACCATAGGCGTGTAGTACTGCTATTACCGCTGCTACAGCTGGGATGCTGGATACATGTAAACTTCAAGGCCTTCAAAACCACATTGTTCACTTAGGTGACTCGCAGGAAAAATATGAACTGCCATAATATGTGACATTTATTCTTTATACATCTTCTTTTTCGTAGGTATCCAACAATCTAATCTCATTGTATACAACATTGAGAGATGGAGTCTCTAGATGGACTTGATCCCCACCTAAGGCGTGTTGTATACACTGAACACGCTCAACCAACAACGACAACACCGTATCAATCTATTAATAGTACAGCATTGGCTACAACATCCCATTGTCTTTATAAACGCTCGTATGTAATGCCTGACTTTATAGGACAGAGAGTATCGCAGTCTCGGTGCTTATATCGAAATACTAGCGCTCGTGGTTGAGTCTTCTAAACAAAGGACAGTCCATTAGCTTCTCTGACAAATATAAGAAAACTCTCCAATGATGGCATGATATACCAGCAATGGGGAATTGCGAGCCAATTCCAAGTAGAAGACGGCTCTGGGATTTATATTTATTGCCATTCGGTGTTTCATTTGTAGTGCTGGCACTGCTCGGTTGTGCAGCTACGCCGCGATTCGTTTGGGGTACGGGAGGAGGCGAGCCACTTCTTGCTGTGATGCTCCATGTGTCCGCTGCGATACTAAAATAAGACAATAATGAAATTAGACGCGAAAAGCCATGTATGTAAGACTAATGCACAGTAGATAGAAGGCTGCAGCTGGTAGTTTGAAGTAGGTAGTAAAGGTAGTAAAGGTAGTAAAGGTAGTAAAGGTAGTAAAGGTAGTAAAGGTAGTAAAGGTAGTAAAGGTAGTAAAGGTAGTAAAGGTAGTAAAGGTAGTAAAGGTAGTAAAGGTAGTAAAGGTGGCGAAGGCGGATGTAAGTTGAGGAGAGAAACTTTCCCTAGGATTTGTTTAGAAGTGTAAAATAAACGAAAGATGAAACACAATTTAACAATAAGACGTTTTCTATGACTTACATAGATGATTCGGTCACGGAGTTCTGGTCAGCCATCTTAAAATATGGTGTTTGAGAATGAGACCTCAATATTCCGTTCGAAATAAGAGGGGTGAAATAGTTATGGTGGAAAGCTAATGTTCTTCGCGACAATGGACTAATCATACTCGGACTTCGAGGGGAAAGCCAAGGTATTTTATAGGCGAAGACGAAGAGCCAACCGCGCCATATGGATGGTCGTCAATTGTCTCCTGGGAACGGCAACAAAGCTGTCCTGCTATGATGGCTAGGCTGACATGGTAGATAAGCCCGTAAGGGCAATCAAGGCAAGGCAAAAAATCCGCGAGGACTTCGAAGATTCTCGCTGCGGTTATCCTGCACCTCTGCTCTATCCATGAAAAAATCTCCACGTACTTGTGGCGCCTCCACCCCCATGCTTGCTCAATCCCTGGCTGTTGGATGGCCCATTGGGCTGGCGTGAGCGTGCGGATGCTTTCGTTGCAATAGAGCCGTGCCGCTGTAGAACGGCGCAAGCCGATTTGTCTGCGAGGTTTTGTAATATGGGGTATTGCCTCCGTACCAGCATCCATCCTCTACCAGGTGCCTGAATCCGTTCCACGCCGGCGCTGCCAATGGGAAAGGCGTGATTGCCTTTTTATCTACAGTGGGGCACGGCAGACAGACTTAGATGAGCAGCCGGCGTGGACAGGCCCAGGACCGGTACGGAGTGTAGGGCCGCTAGTAAGCCTCATACTATTAAATTAATGCAATAATGGTACGCGTACTAGCAGTACGGGGATTCATATCCAGATAGCCCGCATCAACGCACTTGCAAGCTGCCCTTGCTGACGATCCATGGCACAAGCGCTGCCTTTGCCGCTACTGTGAAGTGCCATCCTGGTCATGATTGCTTTTTGTGAGAGTCCTCGAGCCCAACTTGCGCCTAATTCGGAACGATCGAATTGGCCTAAATTTTCCAAGAGTGAGGCGAATGCAGCTTATAAAACCGCGCCCTCACGCACTATGAGACTCTTCATTCATAGTGATTAACGAATCGCTGATCGAAGTCTCAAGATCGCTACGGCTGGAATCTTTGAAGTCTGCGAGAATCGCCGGTAACTTGGAGTTTCTGGAATCAATTCTAAAAGAGGGTCAGGGCATTCATGAGCAGTTCCTTGAGATTCATCCCTATCATCTCGCCGCCACCTACTTGGACGGTGGCAATACATGCTGCTTATTACTCGCTACACTCACAAATCATTTGGGTGGCCGATATCCTGTCGCTCGCAATAATGAAGATAGCATGCGACATACTGTCTTTGACTGTTTGGTAATATCTGTATTACGCTCACATACCAGCGTCGTGCCTAAGCATGTCAGTTCTGGCTTTGCCAATATGAAAAGGTCTCCTGGCGAAGAAAAAGATACATGCGGTCGATGAGATGTAGATTCTCCAATTGTTCAACAGCTCTTTCAAAGAGGCAACTTCAGTATCTCATTTGGCTGGAAGCATCCTTTTTGCCATAGTGCTGTTCAAGCTGTTTGTCATGATCTCATGGCCATTTTTCTTCCTGGCAGTTACAACCAAAACATTCATCAGTCCAATGGGATTGTTTATCCGACGTTGCGGGAACTGTGGTGCCAAAGTAACACTCGGGACCCTTCATTGAACGGTAGTCTTGGCATACTATTTGGCGGCGTCGGGCTTCGATGGAGAGACGCTTTTGGCGCTGTCGCGGTACTCACATGTCTACTGAGGCTAGGAGCCAATGGGTTCCAGAAAACTGATGTGTCAATCCACGAAGTCTTGGGGAGCTCATCCGAAGACGTGTGTCAACGGATTTATGGACGCCGATGAGTTTATACAGACAATTCCATCTGCTGCTCTTAATCTCTTGAGGCCAGAGTGTCAGATAGCGTGGGATTGTATGCGTGGTATTATGCGATTGGCCAAAGCTGGCAAAATTCGCCGCACGAACAAGTCTTCCATACCAAACTCTGAGATTAGAGATCACCCTAGTACTGATTATCCGCTTGTTTCGATGAATACTGATGATGAGGAAAAATTGGATCGAGAAAAGACCATCGGTTACAAAGGTGGTGAAAAGGACCATTTGATTGAATCAGGACATCCCAGAAGATCCTTAAAACGCGAACATGAGTATTGGGAGTTTCCATGCGGAAATTCTCAGCTCGGCCTCGTATGGGCAGTCGCTCAAGCAGAGATGCTTACATACAGAAGAAAACTTGACATCAAGCCCTGGATTTCGGAAAACTTTTCCATGATGGCACTGAAGCAGTGGCTAGAGGGCGAGTCAAAGCAACTCGAGATGCCTTTAGTACAGAAAGAGATACTGCGAGAAACAACTCCCTGTGGGTGGATTTTCAACAAGAATTTCCCGTTTTCCACTGCACAGTGTATAACTAAGCACCTTGAGATCTACATGAGTATGCATGGAAACGCTAAACATGTTGGTCTTAAAGTCATACAAGAAGTCGGCCAATATTTAGAGGATTTGTTGGGCTAGAGGCCATCTGCAGACTGATCTCATTGACCGCTGAGTCCTTTACAGTGACAAAGATTGCATGGCATCAGTACGTAATCGATAGTAGAAGCATACATACAATCAAATGGAAATTTACTCTGGGCACTCGAGGCTACGCATAGCGTTAATCACCGCAAAGCTATCTCTTCAAAACAAATCATGTAGCCACGAAAAACCATGGGGAGCCATCACGGAGAATAAAGCTATGGCTCCCCTCAAACGAGCGGCAAATATTTCGTCTAGCAACGATAAAACCCAAACTGCGACGTATCTGTTATGACGAGAAAGCCTCACACCTGAATCAGGTGCTCATGTTGAGTGTGTTGCGTGATGAGAAAGGAAAGAAAAAGGAAACGGGAAAAAAAACTGATGAAAAGTGGAGGGTTGAGAATGGGGTACAATTTGGGACTAGCGTAGGCGGTGATCTTGAGATGGCAATTGTGCCGTATTTTTGGTAGCCCGCGGGGCTCAGAGACAAAATGCCTGGGAATTCCATGAGAGGTGGTTTATTCTGGCATCGTTCGTGTCGCTTGGATAGAAAATGGCGGTGTTCATTCCCTAGGCAAAATGATATCACTGTGTGCCATCCAAGAGGGATTTACCTTGGCCCTGCAGCTGTCTTGAGATTTTTGACGTCTGGGGGTCTCGCAAAGCTCTATGACTGGACCGAGGACTGCAGTCGGTATGAGACAGCTGAAAGCTGAGAGGTGATACAGTGGCAAAACCCGTGAGCCGGGGGATCTACAATGGAGTGGTTGGTTGGTGGGGGTGGCAGCAGATATATAGATGTGTGCCCATGATGGGACACATGCTGGTGGTCGTAGTACGACTTCAACCGAAGCGGCGGTGGCTGCTGAGTGAGTGGTGAGACATCAACTGCAAAGGGTCTTAAATCATGCATGGAGGTTGAGACCAGGAGCGTCATACTGTCTGGCGGCGTTGTGATCTGCGAAGTGGTCAAATACGCCAGCAGTTATTGGGGATTTTGACTGTTGATCAGGCATCATCTCAGCAAACGCAAAAGCCGTTATTTTGCGCAGTCTCAGAGCCGCATACAATTTCTATGTGGTAAGAGCACATGCACGCTCCCGCAAAGTGACATCAGCTCTGCAGTAGCCAGCGTCCAGCATCGCAACCCCCCATGGTTCTGGATGCCCTTTTCGTAGGTCTGGATGCAAATCCATTGGTGCACGCGACCGTATATTGAGGTGCATCCAACTGCCGCATGTCGCGCGCGTCATCCGCCCACTGCTTTGAAAATGCTCAGGTGAGCCCAGATGGATGCGCAGCCACGACGTTCAATCCTCCATTTTACTGTATCACAGCATGGGGTGAGCAACACACACAAGCTCCAGCTCAAATAGAGAAATAGATCGAACGACATGGCAAGAATAGAGTGGAGAAAGGCAGCCAGAAATCATTTGCATGAGGAGAGATATAGGTGGCTTTTTTTTCCTCTTCTCCATCCCCTCACACGCAGAGGCAGAGTCGCGTGCTCACGCTCTAGCAGCTTGTTCGCTGCACCTGGTGGCACGGTGGGCTTTGCCTGAGGGCGTCTCGTCGCCGCACGTGGAGGCGGGCCGGCGTCGAGATTGGCTCTGGGCGACGAGACGAAGGGTCCGGTTGCTCGGAACAGTAGGCGGGAGCTAGACGCAGACAGACAGCCATGGCGGTTAGCGGAGAGAGCGTGAGAATGAGAGGTGAAGAGTCGAGCAGTCAGCCAGCCGATGGCGATGAGGTTTTGCAGATGCGTCTCTCTGGTTGGTCCATGGCTGTGAGCGTTTGAACCGCTAAGCTGTCTGTGGAGACGGATGGATCGCATCTCGGACAAATATATTGGATCAGCAGGACCCTGGCTGGGCCATCAAGGCCCTTTTCTTGCTTTTGGGGTGAGAGAGCCGTGGAGAAGACGGGGAGCGATTTAAACGAGGAACTGGGAGGTAATTATGGGGTGTAGCACACGATATTTGTGGTATTAATAGAGATGAGCACACGATCTCGCGACGCAGTCTTGTTCTTGTCTGCTCTCTTATCCCTCTTGTTCTTGTTTTGGTAAAAGTCTAGTCAAAGCTGTCCGTTCATCATTTTTCTCTGCTTCCATTCTGTGCTCGTCACTGCCTACTACAATATTTAATCATATGAGACTTGACTGTCTCAGCGGGCAGACGCGGCCACAGCGGAAAAAGTTTGGGCCATCCAGCTGGCTTTGCCCGATGACCTCATAGGCTGAGCCTGTACACCAACTTGCTTCCCGCCTGTCAAAAACTCTCCTCAGCCCCTGGACCCTTTAAAAAAAAAGATCCATACTTCTTGGCTGGGCAGCCTCGCCAGAGTCATGCATCTTTAAGCTCGGCGTTTCTCAGCTCTTGTTTTTATTTTTCCTTGTTTGTTTTCTTCCTGGTACATTTCTTCTCTTTTTTACCACCACCTATTCTGCATTATTACCTCCTTCGCTCCGCTAAACCCTGCGCGCATTCAACCAACCAACAAACCGCATCCCTACGATACCCTATTTCTACCTACCTAGATTCTGTGCCAAGAAAAACATCCTCATTTGGCCTCCTACTACTATTTCTCTCTTACGATGCCTCGCCAATATGGCGGCGGCGGCCCACGCCATCAAACAAAATGTCGACTGATGCTGCTGGCCCTCGCATCGTGGAATGCGGGCGTCCTTGCTTTGCCTGCAGCATCTGGTCTGGACGACCAAAAAGTCTTGAGCCCGATTGGGACTGAGGCTGCGTCACGGAAATTGAACGGCCGGTTCCTGCATATTTCAGGTGCGTCTAATTAGAACTCTTGCGCGTATCATTGGCACACACACGGCACACAAAAAGCTTCTTTTGCGTTATCTATGCGACGCTTCTGGATCCGGCAACCTGCATCGCATCTCTGCCACCCACCATTCGATCTTGTCTCTGCAATCCACCAGATGCAACATCGCATCGATCTGCCATGATTGGCGGCATCTTGGCTGACTTTGGTACCTGATGCAGATTTCCATCCCGACGAGCTTTATCGAGTGCACACCTCCACCGAGGAGAGCGTCGCATGCCACCGCGGCAAGGGACTGGCTGGATCGTACGGCGCTGAAAAAACCGACTGCGACTCGCCCTTTTCGCTCGTCAATGCGACCTTTGCCTGGATCGAAGAGAACCTCAAGGACGACATCGACTTTGTCATCTGGACCGGCGACTCGGCCAGGCACGACAGCGACGAGCAGAACCCGCGCCACGAGTCTGAGATTCTGCGGACAAACCGAATCATTGCCAACAAGTTTGTCGAGACTTTCTCAACACCCCAGCATGGGCTGAGCATCCCTGTCGTGCCCACATTTGGCAATAATGACTTTCTCCCCCACAATATCATGCTGCCAGGACCCAACAAGTGGTTTGCGGCTTACAGCGACATTTGGAGGCGATTCATTCCCGAAGAGCAGCGCCACTCATTTACCTTTGGCGGCTGGTTCTACGTCGAGGTCATTCCCAATCGCCTGGCGGTTTTTAGCTTGAATACAATGTACTTTTTCGATCGAAATGCTGGTGTTGATGGTTGCGCCCATCCTTCGGAGCCTGGCTACAAGCATCTCGAGTGGCTGCGCGTGCAGTTGCAAATCTTGAGAGAGCGAGGTGTCAAGGCCATTCTCATGGGCCATGTACCGCCTGCACGGACGGAGAGCAAGCAAGCTTGGGACGAAACTTGCTGGCAAAAGTATACGCTCTGGCTGAAACAGTATCGTGACGTCGTTGTTGGCTCTCTATACGGGCACATGAATATCGACCATTTCTTACTTCAGGATGTCAAGGACTTGACCCCTGAATTGGGCCTAGACAAGTCCTACGCCCGCGGTTCTCCAGATGAGAGTCTATCAATCTCGTCCAAGGAAGATTATCTCCAGGAGCTGCGAGATGTATGGGCCGGCTTGCCCAAGACTGTCGCTCGAGAACTGGACGAAGAGACAAGCGCTGGCGATGATGAAGGAGCAGAGTCTGATAAGAAGAACAGGAAAAAGAAGGGCAAAAAGCACAGTAAAAAGAAGAAGCAGCTCCGCAAGATTGGCGGTAAATACGCCGAGCGGTTTCAGCTTTCTTTGATTAGCCCAAGCGTTGTGCCGAATTATTTCCCCACGCTTCGCATTGTTGAGTACAATATTACCGGAATCGAAGACACGCCTGTGTGGCGAGATACATATGATTCGGCCAATCCCTCTTCAACTCTGGCTTTGCCGGAGGAAGACACACGCGACTACGACAACTTGGGAGAAATGCTGGTCGAGATTGTTAAGAAAAAGAAGGGCAAGGATTCCAAAGGCCCTCGTAGGCCACCCAAGGACCACGATCTGATAGTTCCTCTTGACCCGCCTAAGAGCTCGCTTCCGGGACCTGCCTATGCTCCCCAGGTGCTTACCCTGACTGGATACACCCAGTACTATGCCAATCTCACCCACATAAACGACGACATCCCTGATGACGATGTTGTTGGCTTTTTGGACATCCTCAGCAAATGGCGCAAAGGCAAGCATGACCACAAGGAGCCCAAGCACGGAAAACCGAACCCTCGCGACTTTGAGTACGAGGTCGAGTACAGCACGTTTACCGACAAGGCCTACAAGCTACCTGATTTGACAGTAAAGAGCTTTCTGAGGTTGGCCTATAAAATGGGCCAGAAGGATGTCAGTGGCAAAAGCGAAGCATATGACGCATACGATGAGGAAGAGGACGAGGAGTCCGGCACAGACGAAGCTGTACATGGTGCTCTGGAGTCGACGGGGAAGAAAGATAAAGGGAAGAACAAGAAGAACAAGAAGGAAAAGAACAAGACTTGGCTGACGTTTCTGAGTCGTGCTTTTGTTGGTACGGTTCCTAAAGAGGAGCTAGAGAAGATGTGATTTGAACGCTCTGCATAACGCTCTGTTTCCTTTGTTTATTTCTTAATACTCTCTCTCTCTCATTGTCATTGACCATGACATTTGGAGCAGATGAGTTGCACGGCATCGGCGTTTGAATTCATTTCAATTTGATCATTGGGTGGTGGAGGGTCTAGCATTGTCTCCTAGGCAGGCTATGTGGTGGATTAGGAAACGGCTTTGAAGCGGCTTTTTGTTTTACACACATCTCACACCATAAGGATTGCGTTATCGTACTGGAGTACCTTTCTTTACGTCGGGCCTATGAGGCTATACATTTATACCCCTGTTTGTGTACTAGTATCACGGAAATTTTGGATATAGCATTTCTTATCACAACAATTTGTTTGTACAATATTGATTTGTTTAAATGTTTATAAATGTTTCATGACGTCATTTTTATCCTCGTAGTGTTGACGATCAATTTTGTTTCATTTCCCTTGTAGAGGCAGATAGAGTACCCGTGAAACGCAGATCCCACGTAAACGATCGTATTGAGTGGCTGAATTCAATTTTACTCGGTGGGGCATATGGTATAACAAATTATGAAATTAAGAGATAAATATATTGGGTATTTAGTGAAAGACATGTAAACGCCGTGGCATCATAGCCAACAATTTGACCTTGGAAGCGATCGTGGTGGGTGATGTATTGTAGTTCAATGAATTAATCGTGATATTGTCTTTCAGAAATTGTTAGTTATCACAGAGATCAAAGCAGGTGAGAGCAATTTAGACATACCATGACGTTAGAGGTCGAGCCTGAAGACCTTCATGAGATGGAAAGGGCGACAGCTCCTGCGACGAAGGAGACGTGATGGACGGCGATCGAATTGAGATTGAGGCGTCAGTGACGTCGCTGGCACTGTCGTCGTCCAAGCCGGTCTCTTTGAAGATGGATTTCCGGCCTCGCTGGAGGTTGCTGTCGGTGCGGAAAATCATGGAGTAGAGACCCTCGCCTTCGCGGAGGCGGTCTTGAGTTCGTTGGGAGTTGAAGGTGGGACGGGTTGGATGTGAGGCGGTGCCGGTTGACGATGGCACGGAGAGCATGGTGGTGGAGGTGGTGGTGGTGGCTGGAGTGACGGCGGCGTTCATTGTGGAGAAGTTAAGACGATGAATGCCTTGAAGTTGTTGTATGAAGAGATGGGATAGTATGGGTGGATTGATAAAGTCTGATCATGTAGAATTTCAGGGCTTTCTATATGAATACGAGCTGCAGCATGGGTTGGTTCGGTGTCGAGTGTTACAGCATGTTCAACTTGCGACTAAGACTGAACAAGAGAGGAATTGCTCAACTGATAAAGAGCAAGCAAGAGTTGAATAAGGGGCGGTAAGACAGCAATTAAGAGAGTAAATGCAAGGGCAGGAAAACGGGTGCCTATTCTGTTTAAATCTAATTTATCCTGAGCACTAAGCAGAAAAAAAAAAGTTCTATCCGAGAGGAGGCCCGAGTTGATCGAGGCCCATCTCTTGGTACATGCCCAATCCATCATCCTTCCCTTTCTTCCCCTCAGAAAATAATAAGGCAACCCCACAACTGATGGCCTAGATTGGTTTCATAAGGATCTTCCCGGGCTGAAAAGTCAATCCATTGGAAGAGAATTGTGGCTTGAGCGGCCAGAGCGGATTAGGGGAGCTCGCCAAGTAAAGTGTGGCGTGACGTACAAGGCAAAAAAAAAATGGGATTGGATTGGGTCTAGGCGAGGCAGCCACGGCACATTTGCCGGAGAGGGAAAAGAACTGAAGGATGGGAAGCAAGAAAAATGGTGACTTCACCGGGCAAGGATTCGGGGATTGGCTATTGGGTGGTGGAGGGGGAACGTGGTCTGGGCTCTAGGGGATCAGAGATCGCTGGAAGGGGAATGACGGAGCTGAAACAGGCCTGGGTGAGACGCGAAAGATTAGCACGTTGGGCTTGAGAAGATGAGATGTAAAGGCGAGACATATGATGGTATCTTATCTCTTTCCCGGCGCTACACATGAATCATTTCGTGTCACCCCATGTCTCAGTTGAACGGAGAATTAAGAGAAACATTGAAAGACGAAAAAAAATTAATCAAAAAGGATGCGGGAACCCATGCGATCGGATATTGAACAAAACAATCGTCGGGTCCTTGGCTGCGACCAAAAACACAGTTGATCGACAAAGCTGGCATTTGGCATTACGCAAAAAAGAAGACAAAACGTGGAGCTTGATTTCCCCTTTCGCACAGTACGCTTCGATGCGATCGAAGATCTCTTTCTGCAAGAGAAAAAAAAGGAAAAAGGAAAAGAGAAGAAAAAAAGGACGATTCAGCAGCGAAATCTCGTGACGTCATGGCCAAGATTTGATGGTACGACCCTCCTTTCGGAGCTTGCATGCGACTAAACCCTTATCATAGGAGCAGCATTATGCAAATAGATTGGATGGGTAAAATGGGATAAAATGTGAATGCTGGCTGCGTGCTATTGGAGAGGCATGAAAAATGATGAAATGAGGACATCAGCGCTGGTGATGTGTTTCGCCCAGATTTTGCTAAATACCAAGACATTAGCATGCTTTACAGATGGACAATCTATTCGCCTCTCGATACCGCTTCTTTTTATTTTGTAGGCGAATGACAGCTTGGTCCCTGGGCCTCGCAGTCAAGTAAAGTAAGCAGATCAGGGATTCATACGCCCAGAGAGGCAAGCGGGCGCATCATACAAAGTAAGCGAGTTACTGCTTTGGTGTTTCTGATCCGAGGGAGCGGCATCACATGACCTCGTCTCGCCTCAAAACTGCATCATTCTATCGTCGAGCGAGGTCGATATTCGTTACTATTTGCTGTTGGATCGCTGGGCTTTCTGCATTGAAGGTGGGTGAGTGGAAGATAGAGGGTGTGGGCCATTAGCCGATATTGAGAGGAGCTCAGCGGTCTAGAACATCCAAATGGGGGCATTCGGGTCCATACTCGCTCCATCAGACTTGTCTTCTCTTTCAAAGAAAATTCTAGACTTTGTGACTATGCTTTTCATTGCTGCCACTGTCTATTTCTTCGGCAACTTGCTGCTAATGCACTCTTAACGCTGTTTCTGTAGAAAGCGCTGCCGCTTTTAGGACCCTCTTTTGGCGGCCCCGCCTTCAGCTAGCTCCGGAGTCGACATCCGGAGCACTCTCTATCAATGGGAGTTCATCTTGCAGATGCGATCTTTGAAGAAATGAGAGAGTGTGATGGCCGGAGTCCAATGCCGGAAAAGATGCAGCTCGTAGCTAAGCTTGTGTCTTATAGCTTTAGATATCTTGCGCCGTAGATGGCTCAACTGTGCTTATACATCAATCCTCGGAGCTATATAGATTGAACAAGATTGAAGATAGCCTCAGCTCCAGCTCCAGCTCAGGCCCGGCTTCATTGACAACACGTTTGACAGAGATACAGCAAGCTTCATAGACTTCAACATGCCCCCCCTCAACGTCAACTTCGCCTGCGCCCTCTACGACCGCATGGTCCCCCTCTCCACCGGTGAAGTGCCCACGCCCGGCCTCAACGTCAATTTCGTCGAGGTCCAGCACCCGCGCGACATCTTCGACCGCATGGTCGCCAACAAGGAGTTCGATGTCTCTGAACTCTCCGCCTCTGAATACATCACCCGCCACGTCGCCGGCGACCGCAGCTTCGTCGCCATCCCCGTCTTTGCGTCGCGCGTCTTCCGCCACTCCTTCATCTGTGTCAACACAAACATCATCAAGAAGCCCGAGGACCTCAACGGCAAGCGCATTGGCGTGCAGCTGTACCACATGACAGCGGCGGTGTACATCCGCGGCATCTTGCAGCACGAGTACGGCGTGGACTTGTCGACGATTGAGTGGGTGCAAGGCAAGATGGAGACGCCGGGGTCGCATGGCCAGCCGTCGGTGCTGCCGCTGCTGAAGCCGGTGAATATCACGAACAACACGGATCCGACAAAGTCGCTTTCGGATTTGTTGGAGTCTGGCGAAGTTGCTGCCACCATTGGCGCCGATATTCCTGCGTGTCTGAACAAGGTTCCGCATGTACAGAGGCTGTTCCCCAACTTTAAGGATGTCGAGAGCGATTACTACAAGAGGACGGGCATATTCCCCATCATGCACTTGGTTGCCTTTCGGCGTGAGTTCTACGAGGCAAACAAGTTTGTCGCCTCGGCGCTATTCAACGCTCTCGAGGATAGTAAAGAGATTGCGCGCAAGCGGATGGAGTCGCTCGGTGCGCTTAGGTACATGCTGCCTTGGCTGGGTCGAGATTTAGACGAAATTCAAGAGACGTTTGGAGGAGACTGCTGGCCCTATGGGCTGGAAGAAAACCGCAAGACGCTGGAGGCGGTGGTGCAGTTTTTGTATGAGCAGAACATGATTGAGCGGACGGTACCGATTGAGGAGCTGTTTGCTCCTGTGAGACGGATCAACTTTCGCATTGGATAAATGGGGGAAGTTGGTGATGTTGATGAAGTTGTTTGTTCGTGATAGATTAAGCGAGAATCTCAACCATGAGTTGCGATGCTTGCTGTTACGAAGTACATGTAGACTAGGATATATAATATCGAACATGAATTATTTCACGACATCTCATAACAGTAAATCTTCTTTAACGTTAAAAACTTCCATCCCTAATCTCAGAATCCCGCAAGCTTCTCAATCTGTAAAACTGAAATTCCAAGCATCAGCCCCCAACTTTGCTCACTCCGGATCTTCATTCCGCACAACAAACTCTATATCTTCACCCTTCAAGCTAAACAGCTGCACCCCGCAAATCTTCGACTCCAAAAAGCTGCGGGGTCCCGGATCCAGAACAGACATAGCCTGAAAAGCAAATACGTGTACTTGAGTACCTCCAAAACCGTATTCCCGGAGCCTTCTACTATCGTCGTTACTAGTGCCTCCGGAGAGTCTATCCGGGGCTCGACTAGCAACGAAAACTTACCGCCAGCCTCAATCGATCCAAACTAGCAGACTTACTTCTTACCCCAGAAAAAGCAATCAATAGACTCAGGGCCATCTGTCACAGCCCAGCGGAAGAAAGAAAACCATGAGCTTCCACGTGGCTCCCCTCCCTCTTCCATTGCCACAAAAAAGCTCTCGGATGGCGCATCCTTATCGAAATTCCCTGCACCAAGCCCCAGCTTTCTCTTCTTCGGCTATTTTCCAGATATGCCCGTCTCAGCGATAGATGCATATTCGAGATAGGCTCTGCTGCTACCCCGGAATCCCAACGTCCCCGCGAACGGCGGGGCAAGATAAACCCCGGAACTTATAATAAACGCCTCTCCCCTGTATGGCAGCTTATCCCGCTTCCGAGTAAACGCGATGGGCGCGAAGCAGCTTCACCGATTGTTGATGCATAATATTTCTTTATAACCTCAGTTTCCAACATCTCCTTTTTTTTCCAACTCCAGCCGTCTTCTCCTGCCTCTTTCTCCATCTCGGCGCTTACTTCGCTCATCTCCCGAAGATATACAGAACACCAGCCTCCACTGTACTGTATCGTCTCTCTCCATGGAAAAAGACCCTGAAGCCAAAGCCAGCGGCTCGATAAAGCCCGCGGTGCCCAATGCAGCTCATGTGGAAGAGAGCGCGTCTCCCTTTGAGACAAGCAGCAAGGATAGCAAGGAGCCCGTCTCGGATCTCAAGCTCGATAAACATGGTTTGCCTCTGGTGCCGCAGCCCAGCGACCACAAGGATGATCCGTTGGTACGTTGTATCCATGTTATTGTGCCATCCGTTGACTTCAACAACGATATGCTGATATGACTCCCTTTTTGCTATACAGAATTGGCCGTACTGGTACAAGTACTTTGTCCTTGCCTTGCTCTGTTTGCTGGCATTTGTCGTGCAGTGTAAGCATATCCCACTCAACTCCAACTCGAAATTCGAAACTGATTTGAACTGTAGTTGGCGCCGGCATGGTTCCTGCTGCATTTGGCCCCATTGCCCTAGCCTATGGAGTTTCGCATCAGGCCGCCAGCTATCTCACGACGACATACACGCTTTTCGGAGGCGTCACGCCATTGGTGGTCACTCCCTTTGTCAACTTGTATGGCAGACGCCCAGCGTATCTGATCTTCACAGCCATTGCCATGGGCGCCAATATTGGTTCGGCATACGCGCCATCGTACGGGACACAGATCCTCACTCGATGTATCACCGGTATCGGTGCTAGTGTTGCTCTCGCTATTGGTGGTGCCACGGTAAGTCTCCTGTTCGAATGATATCAGTACAACCTGAAATCTAATAAATTTTGTACGTACTAGATTACCGACATGTTCTTCCAGGGAGAGCGTGGAAAGTATATTGGATTCTACGCACTCGCCCTTACCAACGGTGTAAGTTCAAACTCGTGTGAACTCCATTGTAAACGCACTTGCTGACTCAAGAGCTCGACAGCCACACTTTGGTCCCATCGCCGGCGGCTTCATCGCCCAGAACCAAGGATTCCGCTGGATCTTCAAGTGGAACGCCATCATGTTCGGCATCGTCCTGGGCTGCTTCCTGCTATTCTTCCCCGAGACGCTCTTCTCGCGAACTCAGTTCAGCGCGCTTGAGAACCGCACCTACTGGCAGCGCTTTGCCTTCCGCGGCAAGGTCATCAACCGCAAGCTTCGCGCGTCCGATTTCCTGCACAACTTCAAGATGCTCCGGTACGTGGCCGTGGTGGTGCCGTGCGTGTATTATATGACGGCGAACTCGTACGGTTCCATCGTCTTCGTGTTGACGGCTTCGAGTATCACGGAGAGGCTGTACCATTTTGATACTGAACAGAATGGTCTGCTGCTTGGTATTCCGCTGACTCTTGGCTGTTTGATTGGCGAGTCTTGCACGGGTTGGATCTCTGACTGGCTGATTAACCGGTATGCCCGTCGTCACGATGGTTACCGCAAACCCGAGGCACGTCTACACTTGGCTCCTCTGTGCCTGTTCTTGCCTGCGGGTCTTATCATCCACGGTGTATCCGTCTCCAATCATGCCCCCTGGATTGCTCTCGCCGTCGGCATGACCGTGGCGTCTATCGGCGTGCAGGCCGGCACCACTCTCACTTATTCGTACATTGCCGATTGCTATAAGCCGCAAGCTGCAGAGGTATCGACGATTATCAATTTGTTCCGTCAAACGTTTGCTTTCACGATTGGATTCTACGCGCTGCCGTTTGGACAGAGCGCCGGGTTTGGCGTTGCGTGGGGCGTGTTTGCCATTATCAACTTTTGCGCGTGGTGTCCGCTGCTTTTGTTGATCTGGAAGGGGCAGGCGATTCGCGAGGCTCAGGGCGTGCCTCAGATGCACAAGGATTTGTAGCTGTTCTTGTATGAGTTGGATTGAGTATACAGATGAGTTTGCATATATCTTCACGTATGTATGTGTCTTACGGACAAGTTTAATATAATGATGCACGCTGTGTTATACTTCACGATATCTTCTGGATCATATCATAATCATACCATGGAGGAGTAAATCGTACCATACATCGTACCACTGCTCATGTTAATTTCTCTACCGACGCAAAGCCAGATGTGTGCCTCTGCTTGCTATTGGACTAGCCATTAAACCCGCGATATGTCCAAATCGACCAGGTGGTCAGCCAAAGCTCAAGAGAGCTCTAGCAGCAAATGGAATGTCACTGCAGCTAGCGCTAAATCTCAACTGCTGTTATCTCCCCGAAAGACCTCCACTCAAGATCCTGCATGGCATAATTCCCGAGCCAAAAACGCCACCATCGTTCCCCCCGCACCGGAGAGCCTTTCCGGGGCGGTTCCCGTGTAAGTCGACAACGCCCCACCTCTCCGGAACCGCAGCCCGTGTCCCGCCTCAGCTATCCGAGCAACGCTGTAGAGACAACGGGCGTAAATCGAAGATGCAATCGCATTCTAAGACTCCAAAACTATCTCAGACTATCCGTTTGCCGCCATTTCCGAAATTCTGGGTCATGTCGAACGATGATAACGAGATCCGGGAAGATGGATCTGCTTAGAATCTGACCCTCTATTCTCGGAACTCATCTCCTTTCCTATTTTCCGCCCTCGTCTGATCGCCTTATCTCTTCTCTTCTCTCTTTCTTTTTGCAGCAAATTAGAGCTCTTATTCAATACTATATAGACTAGGAAGGTCTCGCGCTTTCCTCCTTCCATCCTCTCTTGGCATACACTATACTTCTTTTACCACTTAGACAGAAAGATCAAGACAAAGAACAGCAACATGGCCATTGGGGGCAGATCAACAGCAGCGCCAGACACCTTTTCAGTCGCCATTCTCGGCGGTGGAATCGGTGGTCTGGCCATGGCCCTGTCCCTAACCACACAAGTCCCTTCTCTCAAGAACATCACCGTCTACGAGCAAGCACCGGCATACAAAGAAATCGGAGCAGGCATCGGCATCGGCGTCAACGCAAGCCGCATCCTCAAGCGCTACGGTGTCTACGACGCTGCCAATGCCATCTCTGGCGACCGCAACGGCATCCACCGCAGCTTGAGGCGATGGGACAATGGCGATGAGATTGTGTCTGTCGGCGCCATGGATGAGGAGGCGAGCAACGGTGGCGTGCGCCAGCTGAGCGTTCATCGTGCCGAGCTCCTTCAAGTTCTGTATGAGCATCTTCGAGACACTACCTGCGCCAAGTTGGAGACGGACAAGAGAGCTGTTGAGATCATCGAGGATCAAAAGGGCGGCAAGGCGGTGATTCATTTTGCAGACGGCACCCACGTCTCGGCTGATCTTGTCATTGCCTGCGATGGCATCCACTCCAACGTGCGACGACAGTTCTCCAAGGGCAACGACTTGATGCCTCGCTACTCAGGCCGCGTCTGCTATCGCGGCCTTCTACCCATGTCTGCCGTCGAGGAAGACTGGCCATACGACTCCTTTGCAGTCTCGTGGCTCGGCCCCAGCAGACACTTCCTCGTCTTCCCCATTTCTCAAAACAAGACACTCAACGTCGTCGCCTTTGTGTCAAAAACTGAGGCCGAGCTTGGCGCTCTGAAAGAGAGTTGGTCGAGCACTGCACCTCGTTCTGAAGTCGAGGCTGAGTTTTCTGGCTGGGACGAGACTGTCCAGAAGGTGGTTCGCGCCATGGAGCCCAGGCCCGGCAAGTGGAAGTTGAATGACCGCGAGCTGCTCGACCAATGGGTCTATTTAGGAGGAAAAGTGGTGCTTGGCGGCGATGCTGCTCACGCTATGCTTCCTCATCAAGGTAAATAAATTACACAGCCAGTCTCAATCTCATACAATATGCAATATTTGCTGACCTTTGCTTTACAGGCTCCGGTGCCGGCCACGCAATCGAAGACTCGTTCGTCATGGGCCAAGCCTTAAAGGCCTTCTTCGAAAACCCATCCGCCGGCCTAGAAACATACATGAAGCTCTACCAGGAAACAAGACTGCCGAGAGCGCAGAGAGCTCAGCTGACATCTCGTCAAGCAGGCGACGGCTACGAGATGCAAGGCCCCGAGTTTGCCGGCTTAGTTTTTGAGCAACGTTTGCAGGTCATTCATGACAAGTTCAAGGACCGAATGACTTGGGTTTGGGGTCACGATCTGGAGGCGGATTTTAATGCGACCAGGACTCGCCTTGGCCTATAGAGTGGATGGCAAATTTGGGTTGATTTCTTTACTGTCTTGCATGTTTATGACATCATTTGAGTGTACCTGTCTCTGTTACGCATCATTATATAATAATATCATGATAAATAGATTAAAATATTTTTTACTTTTGAAATTCTTAATGATGCTACGTAGCCCAATATTATTGATTATAATTTCTACTTCGACTACTCCAAGTGCTTATTAGATACCTAGATGGAGAGCCGATGTAGAAACCTCCTCCATCTCCGTTACATGCCATTAATACCAGTATTTTGCACTTGCCATGCTTTCAAACTCCTCAAATAACACAAAACATGCCCTAAAATAATTCATCACTGTGCCCAAGGATCCAAAAACCCAGACCCCCACCCGCTGCTATCCAACAAAGCGCTCTGTATAACCGCAAACTCATCGTCAAATCCAGCCCACATGAAACCATCATCTCCATATTCCACATTCCTGTCATTGTACTGTTCCTGGTAGGTATCTCCATAGTAGCTGACTTCATTGTTTTCCTGGCTTTGGTCCGGCATGTTTGCCGGCCCTTTGCTCGAGCTCCCGCTAGTTGCTGAGCCCGCTTGGTGCCCTGCACCACTGCTCTGGTCAGATTCAGTAGTAGAGTTTGCTATATGGGCTTGGCGCAAATTTGCTGCGCCGTCTTCTCTCATGGATAGCTGCTGTTTACCACGCACTGCCAAAAGCGGCGCGTTGGCGGATAATGTTCCAATCGCTTGTAGCCGCGTCTGCAGCTGCTGGAAGGAGCGGACATAGCGAGAGGCCAGGGGATGGATATCGCCACCAACTCGTTGAAGATGTTCCAAGCCATGGCCGATAATGCTTTCAATATCTGACGATTGTGGTATGTCGACTTTTGAGCGAGAGTGGGGGTCGAGATGTTGGTAAACCAACAGAACGCTCAGAGCAGTGAAAACATCTGTCAAGCATTAGCTCAAATTAGCCGCATTGAATAGGAAGAGGCTTACAGTGTGAGTTATGCCAAGAAGAAGAAAGTAGATTCTTCTGAGTGAGGAGATGCACTTCAGCAATAGCATCATATGCTGCCATGACGCATCGCCTAATGCACAAATGGGCAAGGTCAGCCTGGAAAGGATCGGGGATGCGGCGTAGAATATAGTAGAGCAGCGTTTGCCGATGTATAAGGAGCCTGATGTGGAGCAAGCTAAAGGAAGTGTAAGTTATGAACTGACTCCCAAACAATTATGTGAAATATTCATACCGCATAAGCAAGACGCTTCGTTGCCGCTCAAAATGCCAGCCCGGCACGTCCGAATCGGTGCGGAGGTGCGGAGGCAGCAAATTTTGCCATGCGACCAACTCGCCATCTAGCTGAATCGACATTGCTAGAAGATCGGGTAAATCGACCTTGATGCGAACTTTCGTCTCGCGGCCTGCCGATGACGAATTGCTGCTGCCAACGCCACTACCGCTGCTACTCGGCGTGTTGTCGTATAGAGTATCCAGCACCTTGGCCAATAGGCGGCACTGAGTTACAATATGGTTGAAGAAGACAATTTTGGATGGGATATTGCTTGGTTGAGTGTAATTAGACGTCTCATTGAGAAATTCATCGTCAACTGCAAGTGGGAGGCCGACACGAATAGCAGGTATGTCGTGAATAGTAGGCGGACGGCCAACTTTGATGCTGACGAGACGGTCAATGACGAAGCAACCCCACCATACGCGCTTACGGATCTCCTGCTCGACGATGTCGTTTGTGAAATCGGTAGAATCGAGATAAAGGCCCAGCTCTTGAGCGGTGCGAATAGCTAGTCCAATGACGGTCCAGCAGTGGTTGAGCTCCAAAGAGCCATGCAAGTAATGGCTCATCAGTAGTAGCGCTTGTACAAGCTCAATCTTGGCTTGTAAGATGCTCGAGAATGCCAGCATCTTTGCCCTTTTGAAGAAGCGGGCGCGGTCTGGTTTAGCTGATGCAGAACTGGCTGGGCTTCCGTGATGAGGGTGACGAGTTTGCGCATGCTCGCTGCCAAAAGCAAACACCATATTCACCAGGCCCAGCCAAGCTAGATTGTTTGGTGCTGCTTCTTCGCCGCCCACGTCCTTGCTAAGCCATAGCCGTGCATACCGTTGGCGAAATGTCCCTTCGTGTAGATATGGATTCAGTGGATGTCGGTGCTTAAAGTACGATGTTACCAAACGGTCGGCTAATGAACGCTGGGGCAGTTCAAACAAGTCACTGCTTCCGCTGCCGTCCCCTATTCCTGCTCCAATACCAAGGAGCTCCTCAAATACGACTGTTGAAGGCGACGACTCTGCCAATGATTCGCCACCAATCCCGGATGCCTCTGCGATGCTTCTTCTCGCAGCCAGAGCTTTCGGAACTCTTCCTGTCGATGCTGAAGCCTTTCCGGCTGCAGTGCCACCGCCCCCGCCTGCTGTGGGAGTGGCAGTCGCTCTAGAATTGCCTACTGTGTGGTCATTATTATTTGGTGATGTCACTTTGGTGATAAAGTCAAAAGCCGAGGACTCTCCAAAGTACTCTCCCGGCAAAGCAGAGTGGTTGCTTCTTGGCCGATCAGGACGTTGTTCGTTGCCTTGGTGGTGCTGACGCTGCCGTTCTGGTCGTTCTTCCACTGTTGACGTAGGTGAAGGAGGATTTTCGTGTTGCTGAGATCTTAAACCATCAGCAGAAGTCTGATATGAAGCCGGTCTATTTGTCCCAAGAGGTGAGTCCTTGGAGTATGTACTTTCGTGACTATAGTATGGCGTAACTTAGCTTCATGGTAACGCTTACATAGAAACGCTGGGTGGCTGAATGACTTACGGTGACTGAGAGTTTTGGCCATGCTGATTGGCAGCTATATGATCTTCAAGCATACGATTTCGTGCTCTCAGATTCTCAATGTATCTAAAAGCAGAGAGTGAGCAAAATCATATTACAAGGTAGTAGTGATATCGAAGAGCCCCAGAAGAACATTTAACATGAAACAGTAATGATTGGCACCAGACATAAAAGCGAATGTGTCCAAGACAAGACTTACTCCTGTGTCACCGAAATCTTTGTGCGTTGGGGGCTGTAGACGCACTCTTGACGCCGCTCCTTACACGGCCCGCAAGACGGTCTCTCTCCATCGCACCGGTTCTTCTTGGTCCGACAGAGGTTACAGGCATAGCCAATACGGCGTCGTTTGGCTGGTCGTTGCTGTTGTTGTTGTTGTTGTTGCTGCTGCTGTGACTGTTGTTGCTGTTGCTGTTGCTGTTGCTGTTGCTGTTGCTGTTGCTGTTGCTGTTGCTTGTGCTTCTGGTGATGAGGCTCGCGAGAAGAAGAAGATAGGGGCTCTGCATGGCGCGAAGAAGACGGCTGTGGCTGATACGGCTGTGGCTGCGGCTGCGTGTATACGTGAGACCCGCGCCCAGTGTCCCCAGAGCTGGTGGACATGGATGGCGTGGGAAACGAGGCCGCGGCAAGTGATGCGGCCATTGGACAATGAGCAGATGACTCTCTCTCCACTTGCTCTGTATTACACAAACGCGGTGTTTGTGAGCGGACAGGCGATCCGGACGCTGGATGGGGAAATCGGACTACGGGATCGCGGCGGTTATAAATGATGCACAAGTGGCCACCCGCTGACGGATCCCCCACGCTCCACTGCCGATGCGGGGAAATGCGCTACATGAGCCTAGCTAGCGGCATGATAGTTGCATCTTCAGCGGTGATTAGCGCTAAGCCCTGGCCTCAACGGAGCAATTCTTACACGAGCTGAGCTGTCACTGTTACGCCAAGACGAAGCCGTCTTTTTCACTTACACGTGTATAGCTTGAGATCACAAACACAGACTTTGATGGATTATTATTCAATATCCGCTACACATTGTTCTTATACAGCGGATGACACTCAACCTCGGCCACCCACAGCGGCCACGGCTTGGCTGCCCCCGCCATGGCCGTCAACGCCGTGTCATGGGCCTCTCGCTCGCTGAAAAAGTGCACCCCATCCATGCCTCCTGAAATCGCCATCGCAGATCTCTGAACACGTGCATTATGGATGGTGTAGATGCTCTTCGCGATGACCATCTCCAAGCTGTTGGCAGTGGCAACAAAGCCATGGCCACGCATTAGTGCCACTGGGTACTTGGGCAGTCCATCATCAGCTGGGCCCAGGGCCTTGGCCAGTGACGCTCCCATCTCTGTGCTGCGAACGAGCATATCGTTGCTCGCTTGGGGATTTTCTTTGTATACCGTTGCTGCGTCCCATACTGGAACTCCAGTGCCCAGAAAGCCGGCGATGTGGAAGCAAGCTCGTAAAGGCGTCGACGATATGGAAAAGGGGATCACTTCGAGTGAGTGCGAGTGCACAACTGCTTGGACGTTGGGATATGCTTTGTATACTTCTGAGTGGATATAACGTTCTGAGAAGCCTGAGGATCAATTTAAATCAGCTTAAAGTCTACCTACAGATGACGAAGGACGATTCCAGATGGGAGTATACCTTTTGGCGCGTCTTTCTTCAGAGCTTCGCCGCTCTCAACGTCGTACAATACCATGTCTTGCGCAGATGATACCAGCGCCGGGGCCATATACCGTGACATCATGAACACGGACTCGCTGAGGCGCACTGAAATGTGGCCGTAGGCGTCCACGATGTTGTAATAGTGTAAAATGTGGCATCCGTGGACATATTTTCGTATAAGTTCATCGTCAGGCAAGCCAATGGCCCTTGATTCGTTGTCCACAGCCATATTTTTGGATGTCACACAATCACAGAACTGTTATTTCGTATGGCACACGGACTCGGCCAGTTGTTGTAACCAAATGCTGCAGTAAATAAGCAAAAAGCACCTTTATGGGCAAACGATGGTTCTAGATAGATGTTTTCTTAGGTAGTCGAAGAAGTACTCGAGAATTAAGAAGCGGCTTGGCGACAGCCACATCTTGTCGAAGAGAATGTCGAACTCGACCGAGGGCCTATTACTAGTTAATACATGTGCCACGGCTGCCAATGCTAGCTTCATCAGTAGTGCAATATCCCAGTATGCCAAGCCCGGGGAGATAATAGGCGACTCCATCTACCCCGGAGACGAGTTCCGGGCGACCATCCGAAGCGGGGCCTTGTTGGCGTCTCAACCCCGCCTCAAGGATTGGCGTGTAAAGCAGCGAGAGATGCGGGTGAATGGGTGACTCTCAATGGAGTTGTCCAGATTGGAATGTAAGTTTGCATTTCTACCATAGTGGCCTCGTAGCCTTGCTGCCTTGTAGCTTGCAGCTCGCAGCTCGCAGCTTGCATTCTTGCCTACATATAATTGGTCTGTAACTTTACAGCCTGTAAGGTGGATCCTAAGCAATTGGAATGCTCCTGAGAGCCTTGTCATGATGAGGCAATCGTCAATCTTTGAGGAGCGGGTAAAATTTAGACAAACAGATGGATAAGCAGATAGACTATAGCTCTGTATGATGGAAAACTTACAAGATATTTTTCCCACAGAGTTGCGAAAAATTGGCAATCTTTGTGACGGGTCTACGACTCGTCCCTGAAGGACTCAGCCAGCGGCGCTAGCTTTGAACCGCTTTGCATCAGTACAAGAACTGATTTATTCAATATCTGAATTGCAGGTTCTCAGTTAACATTTGATATTTCTTTAAAAACCTTCGCGGGAAAAAAGAATGGCATTGATTGTTGCATTGTTCAAGTACAGAGTTCACATCCACTAGCTAATGCCAGCAATCTGCTGCACTTGCTCCCCTTCCCTTTTAGATCAAATCTCATCTTCTGAAACTGTTCCATCTTTAATGGTTATGTCCAGCACAGAAATACGGCAATGGCCCCTGCTGATTGTCGGTAACACATCCCCACCTCCTTTGATTATTGTCTTGTATGACAGCTGCGCCAGCACGTCCTTTGCAAACCGGATCCTTCCCACCCCGGTGGAATAATTCTTCTATAGCCTCCACGAAGCCTGTGACCGCACCCTGTCCCTTTGCGACGCTCATACACCAGAGCCTTGGCTCCTTTGGCCCCTTTGGTAGGATTTCTACCAGTTTCTTGGTCAGGTTGGGTGGTGCCTTGTCGAGTCTCGCCAAAGCTCGGGGGCTTGCAGTAGTAGGCCTGAAACATTTATGGATGTGAAACTGCTCCATGGTTCTCGCCCGAACTGAATTCAGCACCAGAGCTCTTGAATCGGGTTCAAAGTGCTTTGGATCTTGAGCAAAGTTGAACGCATCCTTATAAATCGTCGGGTGATCGGCCATTTCCTCGATTCCAGCAAGGCGGTCTGTAGTCGTGATGAGTGGCTCATTGCCCCCTGGCAAATACATCCATACCATGGGGCCGTTTTGTTGAACTTTGCCGGAAGCATCACATGCTTTTTTATTGAGGCAGTCTTGGATATGGTTGCAGAGGGTAGAAAACCAGATGCCGCAGCCCTTACACGGTGCGTCAGCATCCGTACATCCAGGGACGCAAGACTTGGTTTTTCTGTTATCTATACTCAGATTGCAGATAGGGTTGCAATTGGTTAGAGCAGGGCACTTGTCTGGGTGGCCTTGGCAACTGCATTTGAGCACATCCTTGTGTTGGATCTCATTGCTCTTGCAGTCATCTGCCTGTACGACGGATGAGAAGGCTGGAAGGCTGACTAGGAGGAATTTGATGAACCGCATCATTTTGGTACGTTGATCGATGAGAACAAGTAATGAAATACTCGACGAATATATGGATGAAAAGGAGTTCAATTACGTAGTCGTTCTCTTGCTCCCTTTCCAATTATTTATACCTACAACTGAACCCAAGGTGTTCAGTACGGATAGATCAAATTGCTTGTATTGATCGGAGGAATGCTTGGATTAGACTTTTCCGGAAAATCATGAAGTTAATTTTCCATCTTCTCACGTTACATTCTAACGTTCATATCAACGTGTGTCATGGCGCAGCCAGCCAAGAATCAGCCCCAGCTGGTGTATAGGTCGTTGAAAGCCACACTCTATCGTCTATTAAAAGAGTTCTGGTGAAGAGTGTGCGAGCAAAGACGTCATGAAAACTAGATGCCTGTGCCTGTAGAGCACACAATATAAGAAAGGGTAATCTGAGATTAGTATAAAATTTCAACAATTGCTGTCAAACATGAAGATCTACGTGTATGCGGTGCCATGTGTATATGCTTAATGCAGTGGCATGTATACACGTAATTGGCAGTCGCTTCTCCAGCGCTACAGACTTAAGCTTCAATCGCTTTCAGAAGCATTCTAAGCTACCCAAATGCGGACTTGTGTAGAGAATGAGCTGATTCATACAAAGGGTTAGACTGCCACTGACTTTGAAACTAAACTTGACGCCCGATATGCCTTGGCGTCAATTGAGTGTCAAAATCCGCCAATTGCCATTCCGTGACTGCGGAGGCTGAGCGTATGGCTTGTGTATGGAGAACGCGCGATTCTGATTCAGACTTGGACTGTCAACTGGACCCTTGATCGCCCGTTGAGGGCCTACAGGGCGACTCTGGCTAGTTGGGCCAATCAAAGGCGAGCATACAACTTCCACATGCAGAAGGCATATGGACATGTAATGCTTAGAACGCTAGAGACTTTTAGTTTACCTTCAGTTGTAGTATTTTTGTACTGCATAGCGGCTTATAAACGTATAGTCTCTACGTAACTGCTAGTAGCAAGGGTACTCTGACGCGGAATTACCTCATACTCGTAGGGCACAGGAGTGGAGCAGTACAACATGAGCAGCCTGCCATCATGAAACTCCAATCACAATATTGCCGCAGTTTGAACGGATGTCGGTGCTACAATTTGATCATGCATAACTCCGCTTTATATAAGCACTCGGAACTAACCAGCGGCCTATCGTGAGTCTCAATTCTGGTGTACAGAATTACCCCTCTTGCTTCCTGCGAGCTGCACTGTCCATGCCGCGTTCGCATAGCGCTTATTGGTAGAACTCGAATTGCTGCATCCAATGGAGTGGTATCGCCTATTCCAAGTGAAGCTTGAGGATATAGTGATCAATAGAAATTTCCGTACCCCGCAGAAGATTGCAAATTGCAATTGGATGCGTACTCTACAAACAGTGACTTAGGCTAAGATTTGTGACTGGTCGTAAATCGGCATCGCTGGCCGTAAGTCGGCATCACAAATCTCTATATAAGAAGCATCAATTCTCGCCTATCGCCTGTGAAATTATTACTTCTGCATTCAGAACTATACTCTCTTCTCTATTCTTGACATCACATATAAATTCTCCTTCTTACCATCCAATTCGCAAACATCACGGAAACAATGTCTGGTCGTCTCGCTACATATGACGCAAGTATCACAACCCCTCTTCAAGCGCATCCAGACTAACAAGCTCTCAAGACTGCCAATGAGGGCCGTCTGCCCACCTACGGCAAGCTTCTTTTTGAAGCCAAGACAGCCAAGGCTGTGACTTTCGAGAAGCTTGCCCAACTTACTGGCCGCACCGAGGTAGCAGTTGCTGCGCTCTTCTACGGACAAACAACAGCTACGCCCGAGGACGTTGACAAGCTTAGCGCTGCCCTCGATATTCCCCGCGAAGTCCTGGCGCAGCAGCTGCTGGGCTTTCCCAACCGTGGCCAGGCGGGACCCATGCCACCCACAGAGCCCCTCATCTACCGTCTCTACGAGATTATACAGAACTACGGCTATGCCTTCAAGGCGGTCCTCAATGAGAAGTTTGGCGACGGTATTATGAGTGGAGTCAATTTTACTACCAAGGTTGAGGCAGAGGTAGATGAGACTGGCGCCAAGTGGGCTGTTATCACGCTGAGAGGCAAATGGTAAGTTGTAACATTCGCGCAATTTAAACTCTACTAACGTACTCCAGGCTTGACTTTGCTCGCTTCTAAACCATAACAACTATATTGATGGACCTATCGTTGTTCTTATAGTTAATGAATAGCTTAGGCAGATGTATGATTAGTTTTAATGAAAAATAAGACAGTGTTATTGCAGTTACAGCTTGAACAACCGATTCTCTAGGGATGTTAACATACTTGAATCGTGGACAGGTTTGCGAGATTATCTAGTCGCGTTCCGAGTCATTCTCATAAGGCAATACGTATATAAATTGGTTTTTTCGTTTTATCAATTATGATCACGATAAATAGATTACAATAGCTTTCAATGCGCTAGAACAATTCCTTGCAAGTTACTTGTACATAGAGTCGCGAAAATGGACGTAGACAAGTACCTACACGTATTCTACTGCGGGGCGAGATATAGATGCCGAAATCCGAAGACCTCGACTCACTTATTTTCTCAGGAATAGGCGGTTAACTAAAATTGGCAAAGCTCTCGAACCACATACAGCTTCGCTTATAAGCTAAAGAACTATCGCCCTGCTTCGGCCACTCCGCATCTTCAACTTCAAGGGTCTATGTACGACCAACGTCGCTCGCGTGTGGGTTCATAATAGAGCTGAAAATAGCGCTTCACATGACATCATCCTAGTTTATTATCACCATTCGTGCGAATAGAACATCCGGCTGTCGTGTCGGCCAGTCCGTATCAGACGTTTGGGATGAGCAAAGATATGGCGGAATATTCGGCGATACAGATAGAATCATAATGCCGTGCCGTGCACCTCTCGCAGCGGTCATCTAGCCGACTGTGAATACGACAGTCGAATTCACTTGATCTTCAAGAACTCAATACTCTGGCAAATCTGCGTTCAAAGGCGCCAATGGGAACATGAATTTGGGCTAATCTACTTCAACCAGGTCTGGCCCAAAGAAAGTAGCATAGCCATAAGGCGTAGACCAGCAGAGCATAGCCAGTCTATAGCCAGTAGCCAGGCTGAAACAAGCTTTCGTTTACTTCTTAGCGTTCTAACACCCTGCTAAGGCCTACCTAAATATTACTCCGAAGCCGTAATCGTGCTGTTGGCGTCAATCCTTGAATAGTGAGCTTAGTAGTCCAGCGGTGCTATAAACTATTACGCTGCTGCGTCCATATGAACTTTAGGTGATTTAAGTCATTCCACATTTGGAAACTCATTCTCAGCCGGAGGCACTATGCGCTTCTACTTTCGATTAGACTGTCTGCCTGCCAGCGTCGGAGAATTAGAGCACATGGATCAAGACAAGCTACCTATATTCCAGAAAGTACATGTATATGCTCCACATCGACACCTTTACAGGCAAAGGACAGAGGAGGCCGTAACATTATCAATTTTACGCCACCGTCTAGTTCTAGATTAAAAGCTAAATCTCTGGGGAAAAAGTACACAGCACCCTAGTTCTGGTATCCAACTAAAGCTGATGCTACTGATGCTACTGATACGTGTATTGGCTGCCTTATTAGTTGAAAACCGGGGTGCTGATTAACCTTTCCTAAATTAACTACATTTACCTGCTCTACAGCATCTACCATATTATCGTAGACTTTATAATCCCACAAGGCGACATTATGAGCCTGAGAAGCAGTGTTTCTTTTCATGCAGTATTAAAGTTGGTCGTTAGATCAACTCGGCACTCAATTACATTGGCTCTGGCATTCTCATCATAGCCAACGTCAGCAAAAGTGCCAACACCTCAAGGCTCTTCACCGCACTAACGCTCATGCGTTCGCTTAATAGAAAGCATGCCATCTTTAACATCAAAAGCGGCTGAAGTGTGTTGAAGCGTGTAAAACACAATGTCGAAAATCTCTTGCCGGTGACAGCGAACATTGCTACGTAGATGCCTGAGTTTCAAGAGACAAAGGGATGATTCAATAGAGCTTGCCTAGGTATATGCACTAAATGCCATTGTTGGAGACTGCCGACAACTATCATGTCCATTATATTGCCTCACATCATGAATTCCAAGATGATCGATACTGACTGTAAATGATGAGAGTACCTACCAAGTATCTACATTACATCGTGTAGCGGAAATGGTGGTTAAAACAGAATTCCAAAATAACCTTTCATAACGATGTCAACATATTTAGTAATTATGAGGGTTTTTATGGAAATAAACTAACAAATGTAAAAGCCAATACGCGTGGAGACGAAACGGTATAGAGCATCTTCTTGAGAGCTCTCTTCTACAAAGAACAAGCTCTTTCTACACATCTTTCTTATGAGTCATTACCCAGCCGGTCGTGACTCATCATTTTCTCTCCCATTTATAAGGTATAGCCAGCAATTGCGAAGATACCACCAGCATACCTCCAATTCAACTAAAATGATACCTACACTCGTCAGCACGGCCAAGCCTGGTCCCAGACCTGTTCTATGGATCAACGGATTCCCTGGGACTGGGAAATTAACGATAGCCAGAGAACTGGCTCGTATCCATATACCGAGCATTTTAATCGACAACCATCAGCTGATAGACCCAGTGGCGGCAAAGTTCTCCCGAGACCATCCTCGATACCAAATAGAGCGAAAACTCCGACGAGCATGGGCGTTTGAGAACTTTGTCTGGGAGCCTACTCGATTGTTAGAGGCAGTGATATTCACAGGTAGACTCTCAAATTCTTTCGTCATGTATACATGTGACTGACCTATGACATAGATTTCCAGTCAGACAACGAGCTTGGCACAAAAACAGCACAAGAATACTGCGACGCTGCCCAGAAAGCCGGTCGGCCTTTTATTCCTGTATATTTATCGTGCGAGGCTGAAACCAACATCATAAGAGCCACTAGTGCCGAGCGGCACTCAGGGAACTACATCAAAATTGACTTGCCCTGACACGGTAAGGGAACTAAGGACGAAATGCAAGCTTTTTCAATTTGGGAGTCCGTATGAAGAATTTCATATCGACACAACAGACTTAACACCAAAAGAGAGTGCGCTGATGATACGAGCCCATATCGAGAAGTGCCTGTCAACAGAGAAGGCAAACTAAGCTCTGTCTGACGATATGATCCCGATACCTTCTCTCGCCGAACAACGCTGCCATCCAAACCCATGTTCAAGTTCCTACTCAAGTTCCAGATGCATGGCAAGTTGGACTAAAAAAAATTTGTCTATCATCATTGAGGTTATTCCAAAAACTTTTTTTCCGCTTTTGTAGTGTCTTACACAAGTCGAACCAGCGCGTTTACTTGACTCATCTGGAATACCCGTCTCTCTGGACTTATTCTTCGACATACTGCTAGTTTGGGAAGCTCATGGCCTGTATTATCGCATACTTACAATATCTCGCTTCAAGAAATCATATCAGTCTAGTATAGCTTGGTTGAGAAATATGGTGTGCTTTTACATCGCGCAAGAGGTCGTATAGTGTCCTCTACAGAGCTACCGATTCACCTTGAGCTTCTGAGATGGAATTTAAAAACTCGCAATCCACCAGGATTGGGTCACTTGAGTGCATTCAAGTCGAGGTGACGCGTGCTATTGGACCAAACACAATATAGACAATCTATATCATAGTAGCGGAGATATGCAATCCCCGAGTTGAACCTCAAATCACCTCACCGGCAACTGCCGAGCGCGCCCTCGATCGCCCCCTAACGCGGCAGATCCACTTTGGATCTCCATAAGCATCAAGTCATGTATTGCCATATTGGGACTCTCTTCTGTTAGTGTCATTCCCTTTCCAAGATATATCCGCACCCTAGAAAGGGATTGTAAAAATATAAAAAAGCGTCAAGTCTCGATGACATCGAAAGGAGGACTTTTAAATATTGAGAGTATTCAAGCTTACCAACATGCATTTTCTACCGCTTCGTTCCAGAATGCCTGTAAACAGTACAAAGATTCTGGCGGGCCTCTGGTTTCTATGTTCTTATGCACGAGTTGCAGCTTTGTCGAACAGTTTCACTGCTTTACCTGGAGATCTTTGGCTCTCTCCACCATCCACAGAGCCAGCCATAAACAATCCTTTTGTCGTAAGTATTGAAGTTGTTCTCCATATACTCGTTTTCCCTCTCCATGGATACAGATCTTGACAATTTTCAGGCATCAGGACCTACTTATAACGTTTCCTCGAATCAAGTTGTCCGTGTAGAGTCGACTACTGGCCTCAACTCCCATTGGGTCGGACATTGGATCACAACCACTGATCATCTTCATTTCTTCCTAATCACGTTCACTAATGTCGTGGGCGGTGGTGGTGCCAATGGCTGTCTCGTTTACTCGTTGGAGACGGGCAGTTCCAGCTCGTCCTTCATAACGGACACTCCAACTACAATTGGCCAGGACCGCCTCAAGATCCAATTTGGCAATCAGTACGAGCTGCAAAGTTTGACGGACGATAACATTTCTGCCATCAACGTCGTCGCAAATTATACCGAAAACAACTTTAGCCTCAACACAACATTTCAACCGCGGGGCTCTCTTTTGTTCAATGGTGGCAGCGGAAGCTTCTTCTGGGGCTCAGACTTCAATCAAGGATGGGCCAGTCCAGCTTATACCTCGGGAGTATTCACTCTCAACGGAACAACCCATACCATTGACTCAAAACGCTCAACAACATGGTATGATCGCCAATGGGGTGATACAACTCCAACACAAGGCTGGCACTGGTTCCCGATTCAGCTCGACAACGGAATTCGCATCTCCACATGGATTGTTCCAGCCGATAAAGGCTCAGCTATCGAGGCATTCGCCACAGCTCTGTATCCAAATGGCCGGCAAGAAGTGGTTAGCGTGAGCCCTGATATGAAACCGAGCAATCCTTGGGTTTCTTCCAAGACGAATCGCACCTGGTTCGGGTCTTTCGAGGTCTCATTTCTAGACGAATACAATAGTGTGATCAAGGCTACATCACCAAATGTTACCATTCGTCACTTTGGAGAGGCTAGCTTTGGGGCTGGGTTTGCGTTTTGTGACTCTTTTACACTCTACTCTGGCACTTGGAAGGGGGAAAAGGTCAGCGGCTGGGGAATTGTAGAGCAATGGCCAGCAACTTGAGCCATTCTTCAAGTAACGGTTCGCAGTAGATACTCTGATATAGCTCAAAACGGATAATAAAATGTTTTTGAGAGTTTGTGTCATCACATGCGGTAATCTATAGCACCGTGAATGGTCAACATGAATACTGAAGAGGGCCACGCCATAAGCTAAGATAGTCAGTTTCACACGAATCCATAAACTGATCACATAGCTTTACTCAAATGACCCTTCAGCTTCAGAAATAGCCTCTGTATACACCAGCCACAAATTCAGAACTTAAAATGCTTGAATGCCCTTCCTACAATCTAGTTTGCCAGCACACTTGTATTTCCGCCAATCAGACCTAATACGATGTCTTCATATATGTAACAGATTTCAGAGTTCCAATGCCTCTGAATCAACACGGCGGGCGATTTCAATCCTAACCATCTCTCATTTTCAACCATGCTCCTTTCTATAACTCAGTACATGTAATCTGATGCAGCATACTCTGCCGAATGACATCCATCTCGGTGAACATAGCCCACACTAGCGCCTGTTAGCGCTTGTCAATCTGTACCCGTCATTGGCTTGCCCGAGGGCTAAACCGGGATCTAGATGTTACCCCACCTATGGCGATCATTTATTTCTCTTTATTTCACCTAGATGGTCTAGGTGATCATGAGGAAGCTTTGTACGCGATCTTGCCTATACGCAACCACTTCACACAGTTGCACATGTCAGCACAGCATCTGCTCTTCTACTAAAACATAAACTTACATACATCTCTTACATTCAACGAAACAATCTTTTACAAGCCAAGCTTTACATTTCAAACCCCTTTTTGCTTGCATAGGTCTATATTAGACAGCTAGCACATCTCATGCTAAGGTAGGTCTTGTACCTTAGGACCCTGGAGGCGCTATATCACTATATCACACAATGAAGCGTGCCCTTTTACTTTGAAACTTATACTTACACCTATAACAGACAAGGCGGTTTTCAATTAGCTCAGCTCTGCATACATTCGAGTAATGGAGGCTGTCAGTAATACTGCCAGCACATCTTACACCATAATTCATGCTCTGGCCCGCGCAACAGAAAATGCGAGAGAGTTTGAAAACGATTTCGAAAGATGCCAGCTGAGACTCGACACTCTCCAAGTACGGCTCGAAGCTATAAGGCCAACCGAGGTTGCGGAAGCTATACAAGGCGGCGAAACAATACCCGAAAGGCGGCGAAGATCGTTGGCGCATCTTATCGCCGATGTACAACGAACCCTCTCCAAGGTTCAGGAGGACGCTTCAAAAATAAGGGCAGCGAGAACAACGGGCAGAATGCAGTGGGTCATCTACAAGAGAGATCGTTGTTACAGGAGCATCGCAGAGATTAATGCGCTTGTGGCTGATTTGGAGAGAGCAGCGGGCAATCGACTCTAGGGAGATGGGGGTTGTCGACATTGATGTTTCTTTTGTACCAGGGATTCAGCGTTCATCAGCATCGCGAGTTGGAATTAAAGTTTATATATACGCGCATACTAGTAGTTAGCAACGGTGTTTTGTCTAATTATAGAAAAGCGTCCATTTATGCATAGCCAAGTATATAAGTAGGTGCTCAAATCGAAACTGTCCCAGTATCTACTTCTAGCAGCAAAGGCAGGGGCAGCCGGCGGGCTTGTGCCATGCGATCGTGTAATAGGGGCGGACTATCTGTACGCACCTGGACTTGGACCTGTGCAGGGGGGAGGCTTTTGCTTCGCAGGGGGGGGCTTTTGCACTTCGCACACCGCATATACATGAGTACAGTAAACCTTGGTTATAACGAACCCAGTTTATAGCGATATTGGCTGTTACAATGGGCATTTTAGGAACACCATATAAACAGCTCAGTTAGTACATTTCGACCCACTATTTACCCTTGCTATAATAGTAGCGTATCTTGGTTACTGCGATAGAAATTTCTTCAATTGTTACATAATACTAATAGAAGTGCTTAAAGTATAGGTCTATATGCTTATATAGTGGATACATATGCGCTAAAAGTAGATATGTTTGTATTATGTGATTTATTCCCTGTAAAACCCCGCTTATCCTTAATTACATGGGTCTAGTTTCCTATTTTGGCCTTTGGACATACCGATAACCTCTACATAACGATAGTGAAAGGCGTGCTGACATACATCGTTATAACCAAGGTTTACTGTATTTTTAAGGCTTTAATGCGGAAATAAATAGAGGTGCCTAATTACTTCGACTGGGTTCAGAGGAACGTGCTATTGCACTGCGCTACCTCTAGTGTATTGCCACTTTCTGCTGCCCCCCTCCTCCACCTCGGCAGGGCACCAACGCCAGTTCTCACCCCCTCCTCTGCCACATGTGGGTACTTTCCGAACTGTCTCCCAAGCAGATGCGCGCACTTCAAGGGCGTTGGGGGTGATATAAAGCAAAGCGTTTGGCCACATGGTAGACCACAAAGTGTAGACGTTATCATACATGTCCTGCTTGGAAGTAAATTCTACGTCTTTTACCGTTCAGATTCAAATCTCGGTTTTCGCATACTGGCTTTGTACTTCAGCTTGAGCCTGAGCCTATAAAAGGGTCCCTCAGTCTCTCCTCGCTGACGCCTCTTGCTGTTGTACTGCGATTACTTTCCGTGGCTCATCAACCTTGTCTAAATCACGACCTAGCTGCTGCCTACCTTAAATGCCGCTGTAGAGCACGGAGCGATTTTCTACGTCTTCATTTTATTTAGATCCTCACTCTATCTTCCTATACAGGATACCTACCTACTGGGCGAATACTAAAGCTGCCCCGCCACCGACCCTTAAGAGTGTGAAGTAAGTTACATGATGTTTTATCACATTTTAAAGCACCCTCCTTAAATGATGAACTCATATTTATTTCCCAATAGAGCAACGTCTTATTGTTCGATTCCTGCGTAATATATATTATTGTTCTTCGCATCCAGTCATAGGGGCTGTTGGTGATACGGCTAGCATAATATGCTGTTTCCAAAGGTACGTATTTACATATATCCTATTCAGCCTAGGTACCTAGGTATCTACTTTACTGCTAGAAGGCAATTGGGTAGGTAGAGCCTCTAATGGTCGATGACCAAAGGAATTAGAGCGTTCTATCTGCACCATAAAGCACCTATAAGATTATACATTAATACTTATGTTTATTAATATAGTAGAGTGATTTGTTGTTAGCTGAGCTTTGTATTTTCAGAGCTTTATTGTTCACATCAAGTTATGGAGGCGGTAGGTAATACTGCGAACATATCTCACGCCATATTTCAATTCCTACTTCATGCACAAAAAGCCAGAGAATTTAAGGATGAATTCGAAAGACACCAGCTGAGACTCAACATTCTCCAAGTGCGCCTCTCCCGTCAGATTAAGGCTTTGCGACACATCGACAACGTGCAAAGCGGAAGCAGCTGTTTAACCGTACAAGTCAATGAAAAATCATCCACCTCATTGGAGATTGCAGAAAAAGAACAAGGATCGTTGGCAGAAATTCTTGCCGCTGTTCAGCGTACTCTCTCTAAAGCTCAGCGGGACGCTACCAAGATGAGGACCAATCTCGTCGGCGGCCCCCCACTACTAGACGAACAACCGGGACAGCTCCGAGGCCTAGCATTTCTTGATAAGCGCAGACTCCAGACGGCAAAAGCAATTGGCAGAGTGCAATGGGCCATCTATAAGAGAGACCGTTTTGACAGAAGCATAGCAGATATCGCTGCGCTAGTTGCTGATCTCGAGAACTTAGCCAAAAATCCAGCGTAGGAATGGCTACGGAATTTTGTTGAAGCGCTCATCAGCATCACAACGAATGGGGTACGAGGGCATTTAGCGACAGGATTTGGAATTGGGATATGTGCATGCACGCATAGCAATGGCGTTTTTCATTTGTAACAAGTAGAGCTATTGCATTAGTGGGTAATCAACGAGCGTGATTGTTCTAAAGAGAAACAAAACGCTTTTTCTCCCAGATTGTGAAGGTATACTGAATGCTTAAGATATTGGAGTGGATTTAGATGCTGCGAAGAGGGATTTCTCTAAAAAGCAGTGCGCGTGTGGTCCTGCAAGGTCAAAATTGACGCCTAAAGACTTGATGCTGCATTACGTACCTACAGTTGAGCTACGGCGTTTGGCAGATGCGGATGCGACTGTAGTTCGCCATTACTAGGAGCGAAGCTGTCTATGTATATTAACAAACACCATTCAGATCGTTGAATACAATGAAAGAGCAATAAAGTAGCATTTAGGCAATGATTTCCTAGGTATATATCTTTTTATGCTCTTAAATCACGTCCTTTTCCATTCTTCACTATAGTCGATGCACTTCAATATCTTTCCGACCATTCACATTTCTGGAATTGTAGACATTCGCTACGCCTCTAAATAGGCCCAGATCTAAGCCAAAGGCCAGAGCCGCCTTAGAAAAGAAATAAATCGAAAGCAATGATAATGATAATAAGGCCCACAGCAAACGTTCATTAGCATTACTGCAACAATTCAGTTTTTCCAGTATCTCTCTACCCCGGCAGGAGCACGGAGGCGCCGCCAGGACAACAGCAGGCACAGCTACACTCGCCACTACATGTATACTTGAGGCTACTGGCGTGACGCTCTAGCTTTGGCTAGCGCAGCAAGTATCGACAATATCACCTTGTTGGGGGCCTGGGCGGTGCTTTTTCGCGAGAATTCCAGAGCAAAAAGCGCTGCTTTCATCCCAGCTGCGACCAAGAGCCTGACTTACTTGGCTCCAAGCAAAACGATGTGGAGTCTTGGAGGGAGTATTAGCGGCGCCGCCTTATAAAGCACAGCAATCAGTATGCTGTAGGAAGACAAATCCACGCTCATAAATGGATGGGCCACTTCCACTGCAGACACACTCACTTACATGTATGTACTTACATGTGAAACGCTGCTCGTCAGTAGGTGCAGATACACGGAGCTGTCCAGACCCGGGATCTTTCATGCCACCAGTCTGCCAAGGTCCATGCCATTCAAGCGAGGACTGCCTTGAAGGCAGCTGCAGCTTGTTATTATAACATGGTAACTGACGGCATCATATGCTGGTCCTTTTCTTTTACTATCCCAATCAGACAAACAAGTTTTTCATCTTTCAATTTTGAACTCGACTCGCGCTATCCCGTCTGCTGGCCGCTTGCCTGATATCTGAACCTGTCCAAGAGGTTTATAGTTCTCTCTCGACAGGCGCTGTTGAGCATATTTGGTACCACATATTTTCGCATCCACTGCTTCTCGTGACGAAGCAATCTCCATGTTCGAATTCAAAACACTCACAAAAAAAAAAAAAAAAAAAAAAAAAACGACCACGGTTGCTGGCCAACGAAGCAGCCATCGGCCATCTTCTTTAAAGCAAGGCCAGCGCTCTTTTCCTCCGAAAGATAAACTTACACTTACACCATGCAACAGAATTTTGTTTTCCCTAACTGAGCTTAATTTCACGTTCTTTTTTAGTCGCATCCAGTAATAGAAGCTACAGCTAGCATATAGTACTAGATCTCATAGGTACTCAAGAGTACATATGTACTTTAATCAGGCTAGTAAGCGCATCTTAATATATCTCTGGCGAGCCCAGGTGGCGAAGTTTCTGCCATAGTCAGAATGCTCTTTCCTCATGCGCTATCGGTTGAATTGCGCAGTCTGATTGGGCCAGCGCCAGATCTCCTCCAACGATTGATAAACAAGGAAAAGCGTTCTACTACAGCATGGAACGCGCTCTTCCAAGTTCAGATTGATACTTGTACCATGTAATAGAGAAATTTATTTATAGGCACTGATATCTATATTGCTTCCAATAATGGATATTGCAGGTAATACAGCTGCCAGCATATTTTACGCTATATACAACATCCTGGCCAGGGCCGGAGAGTTTGAAGATGAATTTGAGAGACATGAATTGAAGCTCGACACTCTCAAAATGCGCCTCGAGGTGGTGAGAACGATCATTGAAGAAACACCCGAAGAACAAAATAGACTGCTGGCAAAGGCGCACACCTTCCTCAAAGCCCAGCAGAACGCTGTAAGAAAACGGGCCTATACAGCCAGACCAATCTGCAGAATGCAGTGGGTCGTCTACAAGAGAGATCGCTGTGACAGGAGCATTGCAGATATTGACGTGTAGTTGCTGGCCTGGAAAGACTAGTTGGCAGTCGACGTTAAGAGGGGTTATTTATTGGTGTTTAATGCACTTTAGTCTACTTCGGTCATGAACATCAGAAGGGATTGGCCATGGGAGGATAGCGAGGCGTTCACACTCGGAGGCTTAGAGCCAAGGTACACTGGGTACGATCGGCATCTAGAGCATCTATAGCGATGATATCAATCCTTTTATGTTCAATGTTGTCCGTGCTGGATTCTTGAAGAATCCATGCGGCTTGTATAGGCGACAATTTGGGCATCTAGCGCTAGAATGTCCAACCTCACAACTGCACCTATCCGCATTGCATCGCCTGCTATACATCGCTGCAAGCCCTTTGTCTCGTTGTACCTGACAGTTCCTGCGCTCTCTCCATCGTGTATAGAATAGGGACGATATACAATTCTCCACGCACTCGACTGTCGCTAGAGCAGATAGCCCGTCAATGGCAGATTTGTTGTCTTATCGCTTAGGGGGGAAATAGGGAGGACAGAGCTGCTTTCTGCTTACCCCCGTGCAATATAAAGGCATTGCGCTAACCTCTGTTTTTTACTGATATTCTATGTATATACTAGGCAATAATAGACAGAAGTCGAAATCCTAAATGAAAGCCTGGCACTTGGAAATGACTTCAGGCACTGTTGCTGCTATAGACAGGTACAAGAAGCTGCTGTGCTATGATATAATTCGGTCGCTCTCTGCCTTGGCCGGAGCTCAGCGAGAATATTCATGCCTTAGTGCCTTGCGTAAATTTTAGATAACTAAAGATTTAGATTGCATTCTGTCGTATCCAGCCGATACTTGTAAACATTAGTATACTAGGTAGTAGGCGTCATGGACGCTGGGCGCGATGGGCGCATTGGCATGGATCAAAGGCGTCTTGGCACTCGATCTGGATTTCCACACAAGCCTGGTAGAGGGAGTCCTCTATGCCTATTTTACTTGTTCATTTGCTAAGCCGCCTTGACGACCAACTCCCCGCCGTGCAGGATTCGCGTGACTGGGCCAAATGCGGCTGGAATTGTACTTGTAGCCTTGGGGAGGCCGCAGGGTTCAGGGTTCCGGGAACGTCGGCTGGAGTCTTCATGTTCATGCTCAAATCGCATCCGCCTGTCCCTACAGCCTGCTGGCTACCGGAGCGGGCTAAAGCAGCGTGGTACTACTACGTAGTCGCTTCTGCTCTGCGCGTCCTTAGCTCGCTCTCTCTCTCATGATCGCCGTGCTCCCATGAAAAGCTAAGCTACAACTGGCTAGGACCTGCAGCAATATTGATGGTCCTACTGCCTATTCGTCGTTCAGTCGACCCCCTGACACTACCGCCACACAATTCGTACCTTAAGGTTGCTACCTTAGTAACGAACTAGGTGCATATGATACAATGGGTTGTTATATAGAAGTAAAGAAAACGTCTCAACATATAGATTCTCACCTATTCCACTTTCTTCTCAAATCTTCTTTATTTTTTTTAAGCTGAGCTACTTCGTTACAATTCCTTTTCCATTGCATCGAACAATGGAGCCTGTAGTTAATGCAGCTACTATAGCCATATTCCGATCTCTAATCAGCACTATACGAACCGGGGCGTTCGAAGTCGAAATACATCGCCTGGAGCTCGACATTCTCCAAGTACGCCTCTCCCGCCAAATCGAAGCTTTCAGCACCATCAACAATATGGAAGCCATGCAAAACAACTTGCAAGCATACGAAGAACAACAACGACAATTAGCGGAAATCATCGCTGCAGTCCAGCATATCCTCTCCATTGCCCAGCAGGACGCTACAAGGATTAGAGGCAATGTCGCTGAGGGGGCCAGTGTTGGCGGCAGCCTCCTGGCCTTCCTCGATAAGTGCAGGGCCCAAAAAGCGAGAGCAATCAGCAGAATGCAATGGGCTATTTACAGAAGAGATCGCTGTGAAAGGAATCTTGCAGCTATTACTGCGCTGATTGTCGAGTTGGAGAGATTAGCCAGCCGCTAAGGCTATTTGTCTGAGCTTTTAAAGCGTTTGATCTCTGCATTCAGCAACATACTAGGAAGTTTGCATAAAAGGGTAGCGAGGCGTTGGATAATTGGAAACAAGATACACTAGATAGAACTGGCATCTATAGCAATTTTTTTTTTTCTTCCTGGAGAATTGGCACTTCTGTCCTAATCAATTTTATATAAACATTCTGTTCGGAAGATATAATGCAGCATCCCAGTTCTGTTATCTAGCATCGCAGGTGCATGACAGCGATCCAGCTATAGCTTAACAAAGCAGTTAATCTATAGGTATATATATATAATAAATTCTCCTATATTTAATCATTATATACAGGTAAGAATAGTAGTGGTAGTAGTAGTAGTAGTAGTAGTAGTAGCAGTAGTAGCAGTAGTAGCAGTAGGAGCAGTAGCAGCAGTAGCAGCAGCAGCAGCAGCAGTAGTCCACGCTATGGCTGGAGTGCTGAATTATCTTCATTTCCCCTTGTGTTTCACAGTCCTACATGAGTGCTCGCCGGACTCAGCAAATGCCACTATCAAGTACAAAAGTTCAGCGTCTAGTATTTATTCAACCATAATAATATCTTTGCTTTTTTACAGTCAATCCGACCATGAAACACGTTGAAGTTTCCATATCCCTCCTCCCAATGCACACAAACGTTAAGTACCCAGCCCGAAATAAACCGCTTCGAAAATATACCATACCCATAAACCAAGATGAAAACCACACACAACAAGAGAAAGCCAATAGCTTAAGCAGGAGCCTTCCAGTACTTGGCAGGAGTAAACGGCATCTTGGTCACAACACCAGCCCTCTTGCGTCCTCGCACAACAATGTCAACCTCCGTACCAGACTTGTGCTGGCCATCCTTGATGTAGCCCATGGCAATGTTCTTTCCGAGCGTTGGGGAAGGCACACCACTAGTGATCGTACCAATAGTCTCTCCATCCTTCTGAATCTCCGCGCCCTCTCGAGCAGGCGCGCCCTGAACGACAAAGCCGACTCGTCGTCTGTTAACACCAGAACCACCCTTGGACTTGGGTGTGAGCTGAGGGAGAATAACTTCAGCGCCGTGGAATCCGCCTGCCTTGCGGCGCTCCGGAGAGATGATCCAGCTAAGACCGGCTTCGACGGGAGTGGTAGTATCATCCAGATCGTGGCCGTAAAGGCACATGCCCGCCTCGAGACGGAGGGAGTCACGGGATCCCAGTCCAGCCATTTGCAGACGTTCGGGGCCACCAGTCTTGATGAGAGACTCAACAGCCTTGACAGTGCTCTCCCAAGCAGGGTACAGCTTGCCGTTGAAAGAGATTTCGAAGCCGTCCTCTCCGGTATAGCCACCGCGGCTAATCAGTACAGGGTGAGTCTTGCTACCATCTGCAAGCTTGAGCTCCGCCTTGACAGTGTTTCCAAAGTAAAACTCCTTCAGGTTGATATCAGTAGCGAGAACCTCGCTCAGAATCTCAGCCGCCTGAGGGCCCTGCAGGGCAATCAGTCCAGAGCCATCCAGTCTCGTCCACTGAACGTTGCCGCCAAACTTGCCCAGCTGCTCATCAATGTACTTGGTGTCTTTCTCAAGACACGCTCCATTAGTCACCACATAAAACTCATCCTCGCCGATTCTGGTCACAATCGTGTCATCCACAATGCCTCCCGTACCAGGCCACAGGAAAGTAGTCAGCTTGCCGCTCATGGGGGCAACATTTCCCCATGCCGAGGGTGTCACCTTCTCCAAAAAGGCCACTGCGTCAGGACCCTTGAAGATGTGCTGAACCATGTGGCTGACGTCAAAGATTGAAGCATGGTTCCGTGTAAAGTGGTGAGAGTCCGCCAGAGACATGGACGAGTACTGGACGGGCATGGAGTATCCCGCAAAAGGCACCATCTTGGCGCCATTGGCAACATGGAAGTCGTACAGAGGCGTCCTTTTGAGCTCCTCGCCGCTGGAAGCATTGGAGGCGCATCGGATGCTGCCAGCAGCGGTTAGCCGGCCGGCAGAAAGTGAGGTCTTGACGCGGGGCGTGGCCCGGGCAAGTCTGGTGAAGCTCTTCATGATGACTCAATTGGGCGCTGAAACATGCATATAAATAGAATCAGAGAAGAAAGATAGAAAAGCAAGAGTGGAGATTGAGAAAAAATAGTGAAAGGGAATGAAGACTGGGGACGGGAGAAGAGAAAAGAGACCAAATGCTAAATTCGTCGGAGCGTTGAGCGTCGATAAGTGTTGATCAATTGGGTAATAACTTTGATTGTGATGGTGGGGCTGATTCGGGTAGTGGCGGATTGCAGCGCCAATGCAGATCCGCTCTCCGATATCGAAGCAAAAACCTTCCATCCGGGGTTCTATAGTCGCTATAATGTTTAACCGACTGCAAACTACCAACGCATTGTGACAATATTCCTTCTCACCAAAAGTAGCCAGGAACATGCTGTTGTCAAAAGTTCTGCGTCTTGATTGTCATCATACACAGTCAGAGCCAGGGTCTAACTAATTCCCAACTCGGCTCATAGTTATGCCAAACACAAGCGATGCCCCAAGTGATACTACATCTACAGAGGCATCCAAATAAAATAACAAATAACAAGAATAAAGAACAAGTCGAGCTCCTCCCCAGTTCTAGGTGAATACAGTCGCTTCGGCCGCCAAGACGGACTCAATAAAAATTAGCAGGGTCCAGTCGATAACGATCGCCCATTCATTACTTCGTTTCAAAGGTGTACTTTAGCCAGCCTCCCAACGCGCGCAGACTTTCCCATCGAACGTTCTCGTCGTCTGATGCCATGAGCTCCATGATCCGTCTCTTCAAGCCGACCTTTTCCAGTTGTGATCGTTTCTCGGGGACCTCCTTCACAAGGCAGCCGATATCGTTGCATGCAATAGCCAGAACTTGCTTATCATTATCCCAGGGCTTTTGCATGATTTCGGCCAGCTTGCGAGGGATCTCGCCATTCTGATACTCGAGAATTTTTCTTGCATTTTCTGCCCAGAAGACGGTGCTGCGGTGAGGCGGTGACCAGCGGAGGTGGCCAGACTGGACTTCAGCCACGTATTCGTCAAACGTCGTCTTCGTCTTGGTGTATTCTTCGAGCAATTCTTTCAAGCTCTGAAGATCCTCAAGCAAGTCAGGGTCCGTGAGATGACGGCCACTTAGATTCTCTAGCAGTGCAGGCAGGCGGGCGAGAACGGCAGTAGGGAGAAGCGTCTTCTGATTCTTCTCGAGCAGATTGTATAGAGTAGACAGGATCAACCGAGTTGTCTTTTCCTTGGGCGATAGTCGAAGAAGGTGAGTGTACAAAAGGATAATATCGTATTCGCTATCATGGTCAGTGAAAAGTGCCAAAATATGGACAACTTGATCCAGATTATACAAATGCGAGATACATACTCGTTCAGCTCATCTCCAATATCCTCTGATTCAAAGCTTAGCTGCCATAGGACCATGAGAACATGGTATAAAAGCTGCAGACCAACGCCTCCGCTCAACGAGCCCTCAAAGCCGCGCGTGCTGGTAGTGCCACTCCAGAGACTAGCTGATGAGTCGCCTCCATTGCCAACACCGGCAGCAGCTCGGAGGATGCTAACGAGTGGCGCGACGGTCTCGGTGTGCTGCTTCCAAAAATGTACCCGGGGAACGTGTCCGAACAGCAAGGACGAGTACTCTTGCACGGCAAAATCCTGCAAGCCTGCATCGGAGCTCTGTGCCAGGCCGGACAGGTAGGTAAAGATCAGAGGAAGCGAGAGGACGGTGGCTCTAGAATCATCCTGCGCCAGAGCCATGAGATTCGACAAGGCGTGTGCGGTAAGCAGCGGGATTGGGTCCTCGTTGGAGTGGGCGCGGAACAGTGGTAAGAAATGCTGGTACGGCTCAGGAGATTTTAAGAGTGCCTTGGCGAGCGAAGGTACGGCTAATTGCGACCACGGAATCCGTCAGCGGTAGCTCTAAAGATGGAAAGAAAATGAATGATGAATGATAAGAAGTGCATCAAAAAGTAAGAAACTTCTCTATGAGTGGAATAACAGTGTATGCGGCTGTGTTGATGCTACTTATGACCATAGAACACTACTTGAAGCCGCGTGGAGTCGAGAGTTGAACTTACCATCGAGCAGGTCCGCTAGCAGTACCAAGATATACTGGACAAGGTTGGCATTCTTTCCTGCCTTCTCCAACACGCTGGGGCTGCCATTGCCGCCAACAAACAGCAGTCGATATCCGTCGAGGTCTGCCGTGACAATCTCCTTCCTCTGCTCGGGCTTCTTCGCCTTGTCGACGGCGCGGATCTTGGCATATTGGTCTTCCGTGAGGCTGCCCGCTCGAACGGCGCCGTCCCAGGGAATCGGGCGCTGGCGAATGTTGCTCTGCAGCGATGCCAGGTAGGTTGGCGGATCGAGAGACATGGCGGCGATATATGCTCGGGGATAAAATGGATGGATGCGAGATGACGATGGAGCAAAGCTGCAACGCGCGGATTACGGACGGGCGACGAGGGAGATATCAAATAATGGACCAGTAAAAAGAAACTGAGAGGGGAGAAGAGAGAGAGGCGGAATCAATTGAAGAGGCGATAGCAGCCCACCAGCATCCAGCAGGCTGAGCGAGGCTGAAGATGCAGAATTAGGTGAAGCTGGAGATGGAGAGTGTCACTGTATGGCGCAGCTCTGCTCTGCAGCGGAAGCTCCCATGATGTTTGCACCCCACCTTTATTGGGCATAGTTTATCCGGCGTTCGGCCATAGATCAGGGACCGCAGAGCTCCAAGCCGCAGCTTCTCAGCTAGACAAGCCACCCCACCAGCCACTTTTCCAAGCTGAGGGGCACATGTTAGAGCGTTGATGATGATTGCTTTGCTTGATTGCATCCATGATTATTTGAAGTTTGGCATTCGCTGCTTGCTCACCAATTGGCATTATACATTCAAAATTGATGAAGAGATATTTATGAATAAAGAGTACTAGGAAAGCTCACTTGCGGCAAGCTGAAGCCGACAAAAATGCCGACTTGCCTATATGCTTCTCCGGAGCACTTTGTAGGCTCCGAGATGCTCTTGGAAACGGCCACCCTACACTCAACTGAAAGCGCAAGAAAGAAGCTTTGCCAATCAACTCACATGTAACTCTTTATAGTAAAGATTCGCTCTCCTCCCTTCTTGTAGCACTAAATATCTGCATACTAGAACTTCGAGCTGCATTACGCACACTCATACACGCATGCATCATGTAGTTATGCAGTCTATTGTAGAACCGCATCGACGGACGAGGCGGTCGACATGCAGCAGCTGCCATGGATTAAAGATGGAAACAAATTGTGGGAAACCAACGGTGATCGATCCATCATCTCAGTCTCAGCAACGGCTCAGGCGGAACAAGGTCAGCCCAGCCCTGGTCCCAGATCCCTCGCTTCGCCTGTTCCAGCCCATCAGAGGCTGCCAAATCGTGCGGCGGCCCAATGAGGCAGTTTGATGGAAACCGACAGACTGCCAGCTCATCCATCGCCTCGGGGCGGGCATCTGCCACCCCGTGTAACTTGTCTGTGTGCCAAGCGTATTGGCGTATTGCCTTGTCTAGGTATAGAGATGTTGACTTGCTCGTATTTACTTGGCCAATTGAGTGTCTGGCTTGGCTACTCCCGGCACGTTGTTAAGATTTTGTCTTGGCTTTTCTTTCATTTTCCTTAGTGACCGCCTTATCAGCTCTTGAGGCAACGCACACTCAGACACCCAACACTAGCAGCAGCAGAGACTCAAAAGTCAGATTTCGGTCCGAGCGGCCCTTGCTGCATCTTGCATCTCTTCCCAGTTCTAGTCAGGGGCTCAAAAATCTTCTTTCCTTTGTTCTTTCTTTTGGGGGTGGAACTTGTCTTGCTCCCGCACACAAATGCCACCAACTTAGTACCCAGTAGAGCGCATTAGCCTCGCTCCCGCTCTCCAACACAGCACGCATTTTGCCTGTACCTTTCTCGTGTCAGGTACCCTCCCACCTCAAGATAACACTGCTAGCACGTAATAGTCAAGTTGCCCGCCCTTTGCTTCTGCTTCACCGCGGCTTGCGGCCCGTCCAAACGGTGCCTGTCAGAAGCAGAAATGTGTGTGCAAGTGTGACATGCCCGTAGCTCGTAAACGCAGCCAAAGCTCGTGTGTTCCTAGCTGATAACAGCAGCTAGAGATGATAGCTAACAGGAGGTGTGGTGGGTATGTGCAACAAGTACCTCATCCGTTCTGCATGACGGATCCATGATATGGCCCAAGTCGAGGGCCTTTGTCGAGTCGGTCAAAATAGAGGGGCTGGGATTTTGCTGCTTTGGTGTGTGTGGGTGTAAGTGGGAGGTTGGGGATTGACAACTTTTACAGCTGATAAAAGTCATCGTGCAGCGCCGAGACCGCCAGCTGCAGCTCCCATTCTTCCTTCTCTCGGGTCTCCCTTTTTTGACTTTGATCTTATGCAAGGTCGATAGAAAAAAAGACGCCATTCTCAGTGTAACGGCGCTTTTTTTTTCCTGTCTTCTTCATCGCTGCGCAGATCAATCCAGGCCTCTATCTCAGCGAACTCAACACCGCTACTACAAGGGCAAACTCATTGGGCCGATCTCACTCATTGCTTTTTGAGTGTCCCGACTTTTATCACATTCCAGCTGCTTCTCTTCTCCTGCCCCGAGACACTAGAATCGCTTCTTCTCCAGCTCCAACCAGCTTCTGGGGAGCGACTCCGCGCCTCACCATGCGCTCCCTCATTGCGCTGCTGGCCACGGCGGCCCTCGTGTCTGCCGGCCCATTCCCCAGAGACGACCAGAGCGACCTGGGCTACGCCTTTCTCTTCCAGCGCGATGGCTGCGACGGCACGCCCTGCGGCTCCGACAGCCAGTACTGCTGCGACAGCACCGAGCTGTGCACCACGCTGAGCGGAAACGTCGCCACGTGCTTGGGCGGCTACGGCGCATACACGAGCACCTGGACCGAGACGAGGACCTTCACCACCACCTACTTCACCCACTGGGCGCCCGTGCCCACGCCCACCGCCGGCGTCAATTGCGTGCCGCAGGACTCTCAACAGGCGGCCTGCGGGGCCATTTGCTGCGCTGGGTGGCAGACGTGCGCCTTCCAGGGCCAGTGCTCGGCCAAGCCTGGCTACGCCGAGCCCACGCCCGTGGTGATCGTCACCGACGGCCACACCACGACGCAGTACTCTGCTCCGTATCGAGTCACCGGAACCACGACCATTACTAGTGTTCAGACGGGCACCAACACGGGCGCCTCTGCAACTGCCACCGGCGATGGAGAGGCCATTGGCGCCGGCAGCAAGACGACCAACGGCAACGGTCTTAGCCCCGGTGCCATTGCCGGTATTGTGATTGGAACTCTGGTCGGCGTGGCCCTGCTGCTGCTTCTCTGCTTCTGCTGCATCGCGCGGGGTCTCTGGGCTGCCATTTTCGGCAAGCGACGCTCCAACGACAGCAGCGTCCGCGAGGAGGAAGTCATCGAGGAGCGCTACTCCAAGGGCGGCAGCCGCGCAGCCTCGGCCTCGGCCTACTCTCGCCGCGATCGCCACGGCGGCTGGTTTGGCGGCAGCAGCCGTCCGGCCACCTCTACCGTCGTCACGGATCGTCGTGAGAAGCGAAAGAGCAGCAGCGGAGGTTGCTGGAAGTGGCTTGGAATTGGAGCCGTGGCTGCGACTCTCTTTACGCTGCTTAACCTCAAGAAGGATAAGCGGCCAAACTCTCGCAAGTCGCCCTCGCGGTACAGCAATTCTTACTACAGCTATTCCGACTATACTCAGAGCAACAGTACGTTTACTTTTTTTATTTTTGTCTCTTTTGAATATGAAACATTTTTGCTAATTTTCATTTTAATTCAGCTGCTAGCTCTAGCACCGGTCAGCAAAGATCGCGCAGCCGCCGCAGCAGATCCAGTCGGGGCGGACGATCACAGTCACAACGATACGCCAAGCGGCCATAGTCTTGCTGCTCTTCTGGCTGCGACGTCCTGTACATGAGCCTTGCGACGCCTGTTTGTATTAATCTTGTCGCTTGTTCGATGTGAACATATTAATCAGGCAAACGACTATAACGTTTGGGATCAGGCCTTGCTCTTCTATATGCCATCCCCTAATTTATTCTTCCCTCTTTTCCTTGTCTTTTAATGGTCATATATATGGCGTTTGCGGCGCAGGAAGGCGACATGTTATGAACATCCGTTTGCTCATATATATTTGTCGATTTTTCTTCGCTAATTTATGAGTTTTGCTTTTTTTTTTTTTTTTTTAACGTGGAACATAAGTATGCTTTGACACGAGGGGCATGAGAGAGATGAGGAGACAAGAAAAAAAAAAATCGGGTGCAAAGGGTGGTCATGACTGCTACTACTGGTACTACTGCTACTACTGCTACTACTGCTACTACGATGATGAAGCATGAAAAGTACATACTATGAAAGACCAAGACGAAATGAATATAAGATGACTCTGACACTAAAACTTGCTGTGTGCTCCATTTTGATGTGCGTGTAATGATAATGTATGAAATAGCCAAGATGAAAATCCAAATAAAGAGAATTGAAACAAGATGAAATGCAACAAGATGAAATGATATGAAAAATTCAGCTAAACAGAGTTTGATCGTGGCCCTTGTCTAAATGAGATGCAGAATTTACTGTGACTCCTCTCAAGCGAGTTGCATAAATATGCGACTTCATTTCTATCATTAGGGCTAACTGGAAGTTTCATCGATGTGAAACATCAGTGCCATGGTTCATCTGCTAAATTCACTTTTCTCAACGACTGTATCCCTCTGCTCCAGCCACGACAACTTCTCATTCCCAGTCCATAAGCGCGGCAATAGGGCGCATTATGCATGTTACGGCAGAACACTAGTGTGAAGAGATTGAACAGAAAAGAAGTGGTCACATCGCTTTCACTTTACTTTTAATTTTTTTGTTTTAAAGAAAAAGTAGCCCCGTTGCTACGTGACATGCAATGATGAACCTTCGCCACTCCGGAGTCCCAGAAACGCAAAAGAAACAAAGATCCTTGTTTGGTACACTTAGTTCTCCTCCACGACGTTGCCCTTCTCGGAGACGTACAGACCGTCCAAGAACTAGATTGAGTAAAAGTTAGCATTGTTGATCCAAAATTGTGAATCGATATGAGAGTGCAGTATTGCGGATGACTGAAGGATTGAAAAGATTTCCCATTCAACCATAACAGCTTCTCCTTGTCGAGTGCACCAAAATCGTGGTGAGCAGAATTCCGTACCTTTCTGATATCCTTGTTGCGCACCCGGCAGATCTGCTGGATATCTGCGGCGCTCTGGGAGACGTTCTCGAGTGAGTTGCCGGTCAGGATGAGCTCATCCTTCTGGGCCTTGGAGACCTCGACATCGACACCCTCGTGCATGGTAACTCGTCGGACAATCTTCTCGCCAATGAAGTTTCGGATCTCGACCTCGAACAGACCAGACTCCTTGTTCTTGTCCAGGTTGACGTTGATGGGGAAATGGGCATAGACGTATCGCATCTTGTACTTGAAGCCCTTGGTGACACCGGTGATCAGGTTCTCGATGATGGAGCGGACGGTGCGGAGGGTGGCAACATTTTTACGGTTGCCGTGGTGGATCTCGATGGAGATGGTGTTCTTCTTGGGGTGACCGAAGTTGACAGCCAAGTGACCGAGGTTCTTGGTGAGCTTGCCTATAAGCCTCCAGTGTTAGATACTAGCTTTCCTGATGGATTTGTCGTCGAATCGGCCGTTCAAGAGTTCGTCTTGAAGAGCGATTGGCGGATGGTGGTGTTTCGTACCTCGGGGACCCTCGACAGTGACGATACGGGTCTTGATGCTGACCTTGACTATTCGCAGGAAAAAATTCCATGTCAGCTTCATGATCCTTGAAATCCAAGTGCAGCATTTCCGATCGATTCATCCGAGTTTCCCTTCCTTTCCCGTCGTGGCCGGTTGATTCCCCATTGCCGTATGCACATCTCCAAGAGATCGTGAAGATATCCCACCTCCTTCTTTTTCCCAGCCCAGCAAAGACACAATTCCTCCGGCGTAATCGATCGGATCTGCAATTCAAATGAAGTCGGAAAAAAAGAAAAACTTACCGCCCTCTGGAATTTCCAGAATCTCCTGGGAGTGAATGTACCTCATGGCTGCGGTGACTTGGGGATTGTCGGGGCGTTGAGGGTATCTGGAGTCGTCCGTCCGCGGTCACGAATTGTTTGTCGAAATCGTGTGGGCAGGAAAAGTTCTAGGGCTCGCTCCACGTGAGTGCAAAGTTCTTGTGCAGCCGAGCTTGAGCCGGAGTGGGTACCATAGTGGGGTCTGGCGAGAGAAACGACGAGGCGTGACACGGCACGTGATGTTGAAATTCATGCAATTTGCTGACTTATCAAAGGTCCAGCTGGCGATGTGACGGGTCTAAGCCACAGCCAATAATACGACATTCAGTGGATGTACTTCGTGATGGACGGCATAAATGAGGCAGCAAATCTAATAAACAGTCTTCTTCCCGGTCCAATGTAATCATGCAAACTCAGAAATGAAAGCAACATATTTTGAGATTGAAGATGAAAAAGAATTCATTTCAATATTGGAAAGTGCTTCACTCTCGCATATGCCTGATTCACGTCTTCACGTCTGATCAAGCCTCACTCTCGTGCTCTACTGGTAGTACAGGCTACCCGCCGGCCTTCGCCACCACGCTATGACCACCGCCGTACTCTGTACCTCCCCGCCTACACGATTTCTCCACCAAAGCTCTGTCCTTCTGCGAAAGTCCAGCCAGCATCGTCCCCCACTAGCCATAAACGTACGTCAGCGCCGCCTCGTAACCTCAACGCGACAACCTCTGCCGCAGCGGCGCATTCTGTTCTTTTGCGACTTTGTCTGTTCTCGAGTCCAATTGCGTATCCAGAGCCGAAACTAGGCGCTTGGCCTTTGACTTGCGACTTTGTTCCCGCCCTCCACCGAACCCGGATCCGAACTGCGAGACATATACGGCATATCGACAACAACAAGGATAGGGTGCGAGAGACAGAAGTCGAAGACTTACGACGAAGACGAAGAAGCAGAAGTAAATCAGAGAGGAAAGAATCTCGTAATATACCGACGAACCTCTCGAATCGAGACACACACAACACATAGAGGAATAGCGGCTGCATCTCCTCCCTCTTCACCATGTCGTACTTCTTCTCAACCCCCGTCGACATCGACATCGTCCTCGACGAGCCCGACGACCGCACCATGGTCGACGTCAAGCTCGACAAGAACCGCCGTGAAAAGGCGCCCTTGTACATGGACGGCGAGTCGGTCAAGGGCGCCGTCACCGTGCGGCCCAAGGACGGCAAACGCCTCGAGCACACGGGCATCAAGGTCCAGTTCATCGGCACGATAGGTACGCAGCTAGACCACTATGACCAGCAGCAGAGCAGCATCTTCCGCCGCCGCCGCCGCCCATCCACATCATCATCTTCTTCTTCTCCCTACTACTACTACTCCTCTTCATCATCCTCCTCCTCCCTTGTCTCGGGCGCCCTCGGCCTCCTGACCCCGCAATGGACCCTGCCCTCCATCCGCCTCGGCCTGCAGCAGCGCCAACACAAGGTTACTGACGGGCTGGTAGAAATGTTCTTTGACCGCGGCAACCACTACGAGTTCCTCTCGCTGAATCAGGAGCTCGCCGCGCCGGGGGAGCTGCAGCACCCGCAGACGTTCGACTTCAATTTCAAAAACGTCGAGAAGCAGTACGAGTCGTACAACGGCATCAACGTCAAGCTGCGCTACTTTGTCCGCGTCACCGTCTCGCGGCGCATGGCCGACGTGATCCGCGAAAAGGACATTTGGGTCTACAGCTACCGCATCCCCCCGGAGATGAACAGCAGCATCAAGATGGACGTTGGTATCGAGGACTGCCTGCACATTGAGTTTGAGTACAGCAAGAGCAAGTACCACCTCAAGGACGTCATCGTAGGCCGCATCTACTTTTTGCTGGTCCGGCTCAAGATTAAGCACATGGAACTATCCATCATCAGGAGAGAAACAACCGGTGCGGCTCCGAACCAGTACAATGAGAGCGAGACCTTGGTGCGCTTTGAGATTATGGATGGCTCTCCCTCAAGAGGAGAAACGATTCCCATTAGACTGTTCCTTGGCGGCTTTGACCTGACACCGACCTTTCGCGACGTGAACAAGAAGTTTTCCACACGATACTATCTTAGTCTTGTTCTTATTGACGAAGGCAAGTTTTCAACTACCTCAGCAATGAATCCTATGCTAACTATACTTCTCCCCTACATTAGACGCCCGGCGGTATTTCAAGCAGTCAGAAATTATCCTCTACCGTCAAGCCCCCGACGCCCCCGCCGTCCCAGGCGCAGCCCTCCAAAGCCTACCCCCTCCCCCTGAAAACAAAATTGCCCCTGCTGCGGTTCAGGCATGAAGATGAAAATTCAAGAAATCCAAAGTGCTCATTGCTTTATACTCTCCTAAAAGCAGATCTATACGAGCCTCTCTTCTTCCCTCTTTGAGCCTTTCCACAACGCAGCGGCAGCACATGCTTCAATTCTATTATTCCTCTTTTTTGTCTTGTGTCATTTTCTAGCATAGGGGAAGGTTTTTAAAACTAGCGGCGTTACGGGAAGATAGTAGTAATGTTATTGTTTCACGGAAGTGTGCTGTTCGTAGATGATATATATATGTACATGTATATAACAACGATCAAAAGAAGAATCGAAACACCAAAGATGCAAAGAGAGAGAAAAGGGCAAAGTACATAAGATTGACTCAAGTTTCAATGCTAGAAAAGAAAACCAAAAGTTATTCCGTGCTTATTTTCCCCAAAAGGTATCTAAACCCATTTCATCCCTTTCCTTTCAAGTCCTAGGGATGATACATGCATTAAAATCTACATACAAAAAGATTTTTTTTTTCTGGTTTGTTTTCGTCTGAAATCATTCATCCATTTCTCCCCTGTCTCACCACAGCCTCTCTGTGCTTTCTTTCCTTCATCTAAAACAAAGAGTGCTATCTGTCGCCTCATGCAATATCCATTACATCGCCTGCCTCAAATCCAAACTGATTATTCTGAATCGCCGCAATCCGGTCCAATTCATCCTGGTACTGCTTCCTAATGTCGGCCAACGAAACGACTTTACGCTTCGCAGGCGCATCCTTATCTCCCGTAGGAATGCCCTCGTCGAAAATCCACGCCTGCTTGGCATCCACGCAGCTGAGCGCGTTGATGAGCAGCAGGTACTGCTTTGTGACTGGTGTATCAAGCACGTCTTCGCCCGAAATCTGGTCTCCTTCTCCAGCCAGCCTCAGCTTCTGAATCTTGTCGAGAATGACGGATGCGGCGCCCCGGAAATTGTTGTGCTTGATTCTCCAGGAGTAAAGAACCTGGTGGTAAGGGAACGCATGCATCACGTCCATGATAGACTTGCATCTTAGCGACAGAATATCGTCGACCTCTTGCTGCATTCCGGGGAAGGTCAAGGTCACTAGCTCAGAGTTATGGTACGTCTCGCACATCTTATCCACGAGCTTTCGCAAGTTGTACTGTCTCAAAGCCTGGTCCTTCATCGACAGCAATGTGGTGTGAGCGAGCTCAAACTGAGATGTGGCTAGGGCGGCGTTGAAAAGACGGCTCAGCATATCTGTTTTGATATTGGCATTCTCTGCCGTGCTGCCGGTGAACTGAATTGATAACCGAGCAAATTCAACCACATATGAGTAGGCTTTTTGTTTCTCAAACAAAGCTACAATGTGCGAATAGTACTGAGCCAATCCGCTGTTTAACAGATTCCATTCCGTATCATCAAGGAGGCCGCTGCTATGACGTTCAAGCTCGACTGAGTCGCTGCCTGCAACTGGGGTTAGCACATGTCCATCATGTCGAAAAAGCTATTCATAAATCTTACCCATTCCAATAGCCGCCTTTCGGAAATTCAGAGAAGCAGATTCGAAATCTTTGAGCGCCAAGAAGACTCTACCATGAATATATATCGAAAAGGGATTCTGGTCACAGAATGGCTCAAGCTCGAGTGCCAGATCTGCTCGGTCACGCTTGATAAGGGAGCACTGGATAAGTGACGGTGATACCTCAATGTCCCCATTGGGAGAGCAAAGGTTGGTAACAAGGTCAGTGATGCTAACAGCAAGGGGCTCTTCCGTAAGCCCCGAAAAGCCCAGCAGATGGCCAACATTGGCTTCCAAAGCAGTCACAATCTGAACATCGTCTCCCCTTTTTGATACAGGGGACAGGCTGTGTTCTGGTAGTGGGATTGCCAGTTCGGTTGTTGACAGCCACTTTAGAAGCTCCAGTCTCTTCAACGTCGCGATGAGTTGCCGGAAGACGGTACCAACATCTATTCTGTTGTGTAGAGCATCCTCTTCGTTGTCAAATTCAAACTCCATATGGACGAGAAGGATGAGCTGACTGAAGCAAATCTTCCACTGCAAAGCCATGTGCTCTTGCGCCGCTGTCATGACGAGTTTTCTACCGAACTCTGTCAGTGGGTGGCTAGGGCTTCGAACTTTGTCGTCCAGCGGCGTAACCATGAGACCCAGCACCTTTCGGTAGAGCTCATTTGTCACAACTGAGAAGTTGGTGTCTAGTGTGTCCACAACTTGCTGGGCGTCGTCGTCTGTGATTCCTCGCCAGAACCCAGCCTTGTCTGAGAAGTACTGTATTCGCTCAAGGTCCGTCTTGGATGATTCTCCAAACAACTCGGGCCTCAATGTAGCATTGCAAAGCTGTATCAAGTTGTCCGGGAAACCTTCTACTAGTGTCAGTCCGGCGCCGATTAAATCTGCCTGCCGCGAAGACCCCTGATCTGGTGCAGCCAGGTTATGGTAGAGCCGTTCCAAATGACTGCATTCTCGAACAACAGAGACAAGATCTGAACAGACAACCCATACCATATCAGCATCAGCATCAAGGGTGATGCCAATGGCCTCCCCTCGCTGCTTGTCAAGCTCGTTCAACAATCGGTAGAATCTTCTCCATTGTGTCTCGCTTGATGCTCTGAACTGCTCATAATCCATTTCTCCTGACGATCCTCGATCCAAAGAAGCAGTGGAGCCAAGGACTGAGCAGATAGACTCGGCTAATCCGCGCCCCTTGTTATTATCCTTTGAAGATCCAAGTCCGCGCTCATAGATAGTAAGCGCCGCTTCCAATGTCGTCTTGGTAAATTTCCCGGGCTGCAAAATCATCTGTAGCCACTTCTCCGTCACATCAGAAGGATCGCAAGGACCGGACGTCTGTACTGCAAGGCTTCGTGGTTCGGAAAACACGCCGTCCCAGCCATCCTCCCATGATTGAGCCATATTTTTGCGGTCAAGCTCCAGACGCTGTACTCGGTATGTCATGTTGTTCTTCCATAGACTCCACAGGTTAATCTGTCCTTCCTCTGTTGATCCCAGCACGAAGTCTGCCAGTGTCCAAATGTCCGAAGAAGATGGAGTGGCGGGGATTAAGGTGCATTTTGGAAACAGATCCTCGATTACAACATTGTGGCTACCTTTGGCAACAATCTTCCAAAACTTGAATTCTCCAGGGCCAATTGGCGAGTAAGTTGCACAGATTCTCTGTCCTTGGGTTCGGCCAACGATCCGGGCCAGATTTGACTGGGCTGGATCAATCGACCACTTGCCCATCTCCTGCGGCGACCTCTCAACATTCAACATGTCCAGTGACTGCAGGATTTGCCCGTCATTCGCATTCCAGATACGGATTCGGTGGTCAAGGCAGACGGTAACTGCAAATAGACACTTTTCGAGTCCGAAATCAGAAATCTCAATGGATGTTGCGGCGCTGTACTCCATGTTGGCGTTTCCGTATTTGATGAGGTTCTTGCCCTGGAATGGAAGGAGACCTCGTAGACTCTGTGTCCATCCTTGAACATTGAAAAAGGTTTCTTTCCATAACGCAGTAGATGCTAGATAAGATGAGTTAGATATATGAAAGAGGCAAGAGTTGAGAAAAGAGCATTAGTCTTTCCTTCCAGACGCTCTAACTTACCGTCATCTCCCTTTTGCTTGTCGAAGCGTATCATGCCACCATCATTGACCGTAACAATAAGGGTATTCGCCGATATAGCCACCATTCGGTGAGGATATTTGAAGCTTAGACCCGCTGGAGCCTGCACTTTGCAAATCTCGGGCAGCCCAGCATCCACCGCACCTTTCCTCTTGAATAGATCCGGTCGGAGAGTGAACGTGTAGAGATAGCACGACTGGTCCAACACATGCACACACAATGCATCATGCTCTTCCGGATCTGAGAACACCACGCATCCCTGCTGGATAGGCACGGTGAAATGAAAGTTGATAATCAGAGACGCATCCGCAGCCTTGTCCTTCTTGCCAACATCCACCGCCCGAATGCTCAGCAGCGTCCCGTCCTCCAGCACCCTCCACAGGAAGCTCCGCGGCGAGTCGTGCCATTTCCGTCGGTAAATCGAAGCCGCAGTCGCCAAGTTCTTCAATCGGAACGTCGTCTCGTCCTCGACATCGTGGGCCGGCTTGGAGCGGCCTCGGCTGCCAGACCCAGACGGCACTCGAATGGTGACAAAGGACGATTGGGAGGGAGGTTCGAGGTTCAAGCGGGTCTCTTTGAAGAGATACTGAATCTCACCCGAATCCATCGCGCCTCCCCGAAGCGCATACGCCTTGCTCTTTGGGAATTGAAACGGTGGCGGCGAAGAAGTTGGCGCAAAGTCGGTCGTTTTAGCGATGCTCAAGGTCGGTCGCGTTGCAGGGCAGAATTTCTGTTTCGACTTGAGCATCGCGCTGCGCTAGCCCGATTTGGAAACGAGCTTGGTGGGCAATTGCTTGCTATGAATTCACTCAACCACAGTATCGTTTGCATATTCAAACATGTATTTATCTGATACTAAATTGTAGACAATTACTTTGAACGAGATTTATTAAGACTAGATTAAAGTAGTAATGCTTCAATCCATCATGTATATCCGTGCACCCATGATTTATGCATCTATTCATCCATTCACTCCTCTTCATAAAGCAGACACGAAGAGGTAAACAAAGCTTCCATAAAACGCCGAAAATCAAAACCCCCCATATGACTCCCAATCATTTCCATACCTCATTCCATGCAAGATTTTTTCTTTTTCTTTTATAAACTCTTAATCCTTATCCTTATCCATGTCCTTTGGTGCAGGATCAGTAATGCCATCCTCAGCAATGGCAAACAGCGTATCGCTCTCCGGCAAGCAAGGGCTGTCGTAGATCTTGGCAATTCGAGTCTCAGCACGACCCTTCTTCAAGCTGATCCGCGTCGTACTGGCATGGGCAATGATATTGCCGCCAATTGGCTTCTTCGGGTCGGGGTTGAACATGGCGCTGGGTCCACCATCGACTTGCGCGACGACCTGGTTTGTAATGACTACTGCAATGCCGAATTCGTCCGCAAGCCGTTGCAGCGTTCTCATAAATTTGGCCAAATGTGTCTGGCGATTTGAGAGCTCGCCTCGGCCAGTAAAGTCTGTACGATAGAGTGATGTGGCGCTGTCGACAATGAGAAGGGAGAATCGTGTCTCGCACATCATGGCCGCTGCCTGGTTCAGAAGCTGAAGCTGGTGATCTGAATTGTATGCTCTCGCATATGCAACATTGTCCAACACTTCTTCTCCGGAGAGGCCAAATCGGTTGGCAACCGCCAATAATCGAACGGGTCGGAAAGTGCCCTCAGTATCAATGTACAGGCATTTGCCTTCACCACCACCCATGTCGAAAGGCAGCTGACACGTCACAGCTAGAGTATGGCAGATTTGACTCTTTCCTGTTCTGAATTCTCCGAATAATTCAGTGACGGACCCGGTCTCAATGCCTCCGGCTAAAAGCGTATCCAAGTTCTTGGATCCAGTCGTGATAGAAATGAGCTCACTGCGCCGTTGGTGCATTTCAGTGGCCGTTGTGAAACCCATAGGTACAAGTTTTGACGCTTGAAAAAAAAGTTAGAGTCTCAGCTTCAAAGATTCTGGTAGTTTTCCATACCTTCGGCCAGAATCTTGGTCGCCTTCTGCTCTGAGATGCCCTTAATCTGCTCAAGAACCCTGCGCGGGGTATAAGCCACAGACTCAACTGTGTTGAATCCGCCCTCAACAATGCTTTGGATTTCACGCTTGGTTATTCCAGCCACTCCCTAAGTATCAAATAATCAGCTAGAACCCCAAGATAAGTCCAATTAAGAGCATCGCCAGCTTACCTCCAAAGCTGAAAGTGGCGTGGGCGCACCAGGCCCAGTGGCACTCTCGTCGCCCATCTGGCTCCCGTCATATTCATCAGCCATTTTAGGTCACCGCAAACGACGAATTTGTATATGTAAAGAAGAAACGAAGAAAATGCACGCCGTACGAAGAATTTTAACGACTCAGTGGCCACAATTAGGCAGAATTGGGGCAATACGAGCTTGGGATGTTGACGAACAAGGCGCGATCCAACGCGTCGAGTCAGGCTAGCAAGGGATAATTTGACGCCAGATCACGTGAATTTTTTACTTGATTTCTAATTGATGCTGGGGTCGTTCTCCATAGAACAGGCATCAATTACACATTTCACATTGGTAATACGGCGAAAATGGAGTTTTGTATTCATGAAAAAAAAAGACTGTATTATTTGCATTTGCAAGTATTGCTCTAATATGCTACCAAAAAGCCAAGCCAGTGCCAAAAGAAAGTCCAGACGATAATGAAAAACGATCCGTTAATCCCAGTTATCCCTTCCAACTCCATCTAATGCAATCGCAGAAAGGCAGACATTATCAGCTAATCCCGAGGTAGGCCGTAGTATGATGATTGTCTTTCCGTGTTTGTAAAGTGCGGGTTTAGAAAACAGTGATGCGGCGAGTCTCAAGCTTCTTCGCCTTGGGAACACTAATGTTCAGAATGCCGTCCTGGAATCCAGCACTCACAGCCTCGTGATCGACAAAAGTAGGGAAGTGGAAGCTGCGAGAAAACTCTCCAATGCTGCGCTCAGTGAGCCAGTATCTGGCCTTGTCGACAGGCTTCTGTGGAATCGTCTTCTTCTCTTCAACCTTCTTCTCCTCCTCAGTGGTGACTACTTCAAAGCCCGATTCGCGCTCGCTAGCCTCATCCTCATCCTCGACGGTAGCCTGGTGAGAGCTGTTGGAGTTTCGGCGCACAGGTTCTTGCTTCTCAGTAGCAGTCTCAGTGGATGGAGTGTTCACAACAGAGGCTGATGGCGATGTGCCAGCAGCGTATGATCGCTCAGTCTTGCCGCGGACAACCAGTGTCTGAGGGTCAGCGAACTCGATGTAGACATTCTCCTTGCTTATGCCGGGGAGTTCGCCATAGAGCTCGTAGGCATGTGTGGTCTCGCGGATGTCAAACTTGGGCTGCCACTGGGGAGCAGTTCGGCGCACATTGCTGCTTCTGCCGGTCTGTTTGTTGTAGCTGTCGAAGTCATCGAGGAGGCGGAAGAGAGGAGTGAGAGAGGCCTCAGAGGGCTGGCAGAAAGCGCGAGGGAAGAAGGCCATTGTGTTTGTGATTGGTTGGTGTTGAGTTTGAAGTATGTAATCAAGTTGATGAAATAGATTGCTAGATAGCGTGGAGATTTGTTGGAAAAGCTTTGCTTTGTATGGTAGTTGTTTGAGTGTTTGTGTTTGCTGAATATCTGAATGATGTTCTGATGAGGAAAACAAGATTCACTTCTGCATGACTTCATAGCGCACTTTATAGTGAATAGCATCCATTCAATTGACTATCTGGATCAGGCAGGCAGCTGACGAAACCGATATTCTAAGGAAACACGCGAATCTACTGGCATCTACCATGCGTTTCTGTTGCGTGCGGTTTGCTTCATAATGCTGCTGAACAAGCTGCGCCTGCCACTGTTCCAGGCTATTGGTGGCGGCAGCGAGGTTCTTCTGGCAGGCACTAGAAGATTCCACTGGAACTTACACTAAGCAGCCTAGGTACGTAATCAATCTGAGAGCTGCACATACGTGAATTACGTTGGCAGCAGAGTAAATACACATCTTCAACATGAGTTACTTGGAAACGTCCGATATCACGACTTTCACATGAAGTCAAATTACAGAGTTCCAACTGCTTGCTACTATATTCCATCTATGACGAGTATGACGAGCTTCTTCAAGCCTCACTGTGGCTCAACTGTGAAGCTAGGCTAAACTGCCAAGGTTGCTAAGCAGGTCGTAAGTGGCGCAAACGCCACAAACCGAAAACAGCCACATTGAGTAACAGCCTCTTTACAGGTTAGGCAATGGAGTGGCAAGGAATGAATTCATATTTGCTCTTTTCTATAAGATGCTGCCAATAGATATCTTGATTTGTAGAGGCTGCTATTTATAGTACTTTGTCAGCTGATTGAGTTCTTTTCGACTGCGGTATCTAACGGAAGTTATTTTGTTACAAACGCATCTTTGGCCATTGAATCGTGCGAGACTGTCTACCGCCTACAACTGCAGCACTTTGCATGCACCTAGCAATTTATTTCCCGCAAAATAGCCACATTTGCTAAACTTAATATGCCCGCTCTACACTTACACATATTCACTCGATTTTTAGCTTTACAATAAATATTCAACTGACATTGGAGTTTGTAAATCAAACATCACCCCCTGTAAGAGGCAGCGATCATCGTTGGCACCCTCGTAGTGATGAGCGCGGTCGGGACTTTCTACCAAGGCATCTGTATTTTTGCTGCCGACTCTGGTCCTCCCAATAGTTTGGTCAATCTCGTCTTCAAAAATGCATAATCCGCCGCCCATTAGATATAAAAGATAGAGTGACATTAGAAGTGCAGCGTCGAACCAATAAGACTGCAGTGCGAGATACACCTATATATGTCCTTAGCTGCCCATCCAATTTTCTGCCGTGATGTCCATGGCATCATCTCCATGATCATATAATCATCAGCCCAGAAATCTTATACATGTATCTACAGAACAAAGTATGGCTCCCATGGGATCTCCCTGGGAGAAGCAAAGTCGCTGAAAAGGAACAAAAGAAGGTGGTAGTAACAGATGATGACGAACAAATATGATGTAGATGTCAAGATCGGGCGTACTAGTTGTACGACCCTATTTGCTGATACCTGGTTCCCGCACCAACAGATGGCCTTGCGGCTGCCGAACCTTGTGCGTTGTTGAAAAGGCCAATAAGTCTCTGGCCTATAGAAGGCTCGATCTCGGTTCCATCTCGGGCAATCTTGACCTCTCGATTCGAATTCCACGGGTTTCGTAACCCACGAATCCGATGAAAGGGGAGACGGGATGTAGACAACCACTCGACCCTGAATGGCTTTCCCCAAGACCTATCGTCCTCCTCTTCGTTCGAAATAACATCGTTGCCATCCAGGCCATTGTTTTCAGCATCGCCATCTTTTTCAGTTTCTTCTTGATATTTTTCCCAAAATACGGTTCCTCTCGATGGATCATCGATGATGCTACCTTTGGGAACATATTCAGTCGCCTCCGTGATGATTTCTTTCGATAAATCTACTTCGGTCGTCGTTCGAGGTACGGGAGTAGTTTTCTTTGTCGAATCTAGAGATGGGCTAAACTCGGAAGCCATCCGTGCATATCCAAAGTACTCTCCAGATTTATTAGCTGAAAAGATCAGATACACATTGTTACATTGCTTTGATGTTGTTAGCCAACGAAAATAAAATGTCTCATTCAGATTATTGAAGGTGTTTGCTCTGCCTACCTTGAACGCCTTCGTCAACGTTTCTTCGTTGTGAGATTGCGTTGCCCAGATTCCCGTTCGAAAACTAAGTTCAAGGTCATCAACTGTCAAACTTTTTAGAATAAAGAATCTATCAAGCTTTGTTGCCGGCATCCCTGACGAAACAACTGTCGGGTACTCTCCATCACCGGGAGCACTGGCTGGGTCCGAGTTATCAATCTTTGTCGAGGATTTACTCCTTGGTTGGCTGATCGGTTTAGAAGTGTTGGTCGTATCTGGGATTGGTCCGGTTGGTGCAGGCTGGCCAGTAATGCCGTCAATTTCGCTCTTTCGTAGTCTACTGACGAGCCGAACCGATTGAAATCTCGATTCATGGAGTTTAATTTGAGCGGTGGCACAAGAATCCTCGTCTTTGAAATTAGCAAAGGCGCAGTTGCTTTTGGCAATCAAAAACAGAGACTCGAGTCCTCCTGTCTCCTTCGAAACGTGGTGTACGAGACTCATCAAATCGGTCTGAGGTGGAAGATTTCCGATCCAAACGGCGTTACCTGGAGCCATAGCGCGATTAACGACAAATTCTAAAAGAAAAGATAGGAAAGGGATAATAGATTAGGCAAGGAGATACGGAAAACATACCAGTTTGTCGTGGCTTGCGTGAAGAACCTCGAACGGAACTCCTTTGTTCATCTAAGGTAATTGTCAAGATTTTGGTTATCATGGGAGTGTCTGAAAAGGGGTGCAGAGAGAATTACCATGTACAGGTTTTCGGGATACGAATGGTACTTGCGGCCCACCCAGGGGTTGACTACGAGCCAGGGCTTCCGTCGCTGCGGGCTGAACGATTCCTGCGCGAGGAGGCTGGTTTTGGGCGATAACGTGTTGCATATTCGGGTTTTGGACGGGATACTGAGCCGCCTGGGGGTAATAATACTGCGTATGAGGATGCCCCATGTCCATCGGGTTCGGGTAGTATGCCATGCTTTGTCTCTGCAGCATCGTCGTGTTGATCTGATTGATTGGCATGTGGTTACCGCCATAATATGGCGACATCTGGTGGGTTTGAGGAACGTAGTAGCCCTGAGGAACCATGTTCATCAGCGAAGGACCAGTATACTGAGGCATCTGCTGCATGGGAGGGCCCATAGGCGGTGGCGGCGGTGGTCCGTTATGATATCTCTGTTGAACCCCTCTCTGGAACGGACCGCGATGATAGTTGTTGTCCAGAGGTAGGGCGTTGGCCATGGTCGTCATGTTGTAGGGGCCATGGCGATTATTGACAAAGTTTGAAGCGGGAGCCAATGTTGGCTGAACAGATGGCGTTTGCTGTGAAGTTGCGAGGATACTCGGAAGAGTTTGGTGGTGATTATCGTGCCCCGAGGTTGTCTGATCGTGATCTTGGTTTTGAGGCACTGCAGAGTCTTTGGTAGTTGGCTCAGGCATGATCAGGCCAACCTTCTCCGTCCCAGAATCGGGAGGGGCAGACCCGTCGCCCATTGAAAAGGGCGGAAATAGATAAAAACTGGTCGATGCGCTAGATCCTTGATCCGCCGGAACAGGTTGAATCTTATGTGTTCCCGACTACAAGGGGGCTTTGGGAAGGAGCAGACCGTGTAGTAAGTAGAAGAGAGAAAAGCTGAATAATCGTGATTGGCCTCTGATTATCTAGTTAGATCGCAAGTGTTGATAAAAGCCTGAGTCGCCCACGTCCAGCGAACTGTATCCTTGCATACTCTGGAGATGATACGCCCTGGCGCTTGCCACAAATCAAAGACGCCCACAAAGCAACGCGCCCACTAAGGGAACGTTACTATATCTTTACTCTGATCTGAATCTTGAGACGGTGGCAATGCCAAGTTTTCGTTCAATAGCAGAGTGAGGGTATTCCGTTTGATGATAATAGGACTTGGTAGACATTCAGGTGACGTGGGCCAAAAAGGTACTCGCCCTCAGGGGTGCAGCAGACACTATTTGCCTCCAGAGCGGAGCGACAAGGAACAGCCAATCCCTTTCTGGGGAAATCAGTGTTCGGACAATGCGCGCTATGCTGCTGTAATAGAGAAGTGTGCCCGTAGCAGGGGTGATAATACCCTATGGGGAGGGGGGTTTTTGGCGAGGCAATGCACAAGCTGGACAAGCCCCAAGGCCGGGAGAGCTACAAGGCCGGCAGTTCCTCGCCAGAGAGCCCACTTCTTTGGTGGAAATCTGGTGATGACTGGCAGCAGTTCTCCTACACACTAGACGGGGGGAGCCTTCTGGAACACTGTATCAACAGGTTCTTTCCAGAAGATGAACAGGCTTGATGAGAAGAAGAGAGTCTATGACGGCCGAGACCCAAAGGATATCAACGGCCACTAGCCACATCAGATCGAGCCAGAGGATTGTGTCGTATTGACATACCTGGTACAAAAGATTTTCTCAAGTGGCTCAGCTACCCAGGGCAGGTAATAATAGGTAATTTTGAATTAAGTTGGGAAAAAAAAAGATGGCTGAGCTACTGGTTTCACGCCCTTTGTTGCCCACACCTGCAAAATAAACGTTTCATAATGAATCAGTAAACAAGTTAATCAATCGTGTTAACCTTGTCGGTAAGCCACGGTCAAAACTCCTAAATCCAATAGATTAAGTACTATACTCACAAGTGTCAAAGCTTCTGTAGAGAGGAAACTATGGGCCGCTCGGTAAGTAGGTAAGCAGGCAAGGCCGTTCTAGATCTGCAGCCTTGCAAGTTCACCGTCGTCAACTTTGTTCGGGGAAAGGGGTGTGGCTCTGGATAACCTCTGCAGGTTGCCAAAGATGGAGAAGATCTTGGACAATCTCTGCAGAGCTGAATCGAAAAGTCAATGACGCTGCTCCCGATTATGCCTGGGACTGGCGAATCGAGGAAAGAAGAATTGCGTTTTCGGTCTCGGGAGCTACAGCTGTCCTACCCCCATTTAATCCCCTCGAGGAAGATCAAACTAGTCAAAGAGGTACCTGGAGTAAAGGTCTCTGCGTGCAAGAAACGTTTAATGATTACACTGTGGCTGGATCGGAAGATACTTGATTTTCTGATCCAAATGCTCAAAACCTGAATGATGCTTCACAGCTAAAAGGGCAATGCCGCTATGATTAGCTTCTAGTATCTCAGGGTCCGGGCACAGTGTGGCCAAGCGGCATGTACAAGCTGAGCACGAACCAAGAGCAGGATATTTCTGGGATTTCAGACGTACCCAAGGTACCGGCTTGGAAATCCCTACCCTTTTGTCTGGGCCGGAGCGAGAGCAGAAGCGGAGACTTGCTTAGCCCCTGGTCATACTTGTACTAAACATAGCCAAGGCCGCATGGCTGCCAACATTACAGGTGCAAATCTTTGCGGTTCCATCAACAGGGCCACGGATGAGCAGCCCAGGTGGCTTGCTGTGCATGAATTTCCTTGTGAAGGAGGTGGAGTCTTCAAAGACAAGGTGAGGTGGCGCCGGGCTGGACGGACGCCCTCACGCGTGTATACTTGGCAAAAGACTGGGTACTAAGCTTTTTGCTGCTACTGGAGCTATACTGTCTTGACAACTGATAACTGATGTAGTGTACCGTTCCAAGCAGGGCAGCAGGTGGAATGTCATAGCTATGATGGGGACTATTATGGAGGGCGCCCTGGGGGCGTGTGGGCAAGGATTGGGGGCTGGCCATGGATGGAGCCCCCCCGAACCCGAAGGAAACAAGCAGGGGAGCAAAAATAGTGCAGAACAAGCAAGACAGGTCGCCACAGAGGATAACTAAAAAAAATTATAGGGCAGCAGCCAGGGAAAAACAAAGGGACGAATCAAACTGGCATGCGGGTTGACAAGTCAGCTGCTAGCTGAGCCCTGGAACTAACATCTGGAAATGTGGCGGTGGATGGACAGCCATCGCGAGCCAAGTTGCATCAGTCACACGAGTTTAAACAAAACCGGAATCCGGGAACCCGTATGTGGCTGCCGGTTCGCCACCACGCCGAAAATGCCACGATCCGCTGCTGGCCATGGTGAAAGCTCCGGACGAAAAGCATCACCGCTTGGCCAGCCTCATCACATACAGTATACACTGGCCCGCAACTTGCTCCCAATCCACAATGGGCCTGCCAATGCAATGCCACCAGCTCAGCTGTCGTAAGCATCTTCACACCATCCGCAACGAACAGCTACGTGTCGAGCGTTTTGTCTTTTGGGGCCAGCAGAATCAAGCAAAAGCCATCCACGGGGGGCAGCTTCACGCCGGCGCCTGGCTTGCGGCCGCGGCTTCACCGAGACTAAGAGATGGCTTCCGCGAGCCTATTTCGCAAATCGTGGGCTTGTCACAAGCAGAGGCTGATGCGTGGGACCCGAGGTTCCATCATTTCCATGTGGCCTCTTTGCCTTTCCTTCGGTCTATTTCGATTTGCTTTTCCATATGGCGCGCCACTTAGCCCATGGCTTATATCGGCCGTCAAGCCACAGAACCCAGAGGGATGGACACCGCGCCCATGGCTTGAAACGACGGCCTGGGCGACATCCACTGCTCGAATTTCCAGCTGTGCCCATAAGGTGATTGTGGCTCTGATCGGCAAGGTTATCCCCCTTGGACGGAGTCTCGCGCCTCGGTCGCTTGTTAGTCGAGGATCCATATACAGAGATTTCACGACTGCAGCATACAACGCCTCTCTTCTCTCTGTTTCCACCAAAGTACCAATCTCCATCCCTGATCACGGGCCACAGACAGATGCATGTTCATGTATGCAAGCGCGAGGCCGAGCTGCGGACACAGCCCGCTGGGCTCGAATCAAAGCCCGTGATGTTGCCTCAATACTCGTAGCGGCGTCGTCCTGCATCCGCAAAGTCCACCCAGAGGGCACCAGTTCCTAGCTCGAATCCAGTATGATCGGCGCCGGGAGCTCTGCTGCTCAGAAGCGCGAAGCTGATGACGGAGCTTGGGATATCGAGACTCAGTATATGCGCAGCCGCCAGATATCACGTCGTTGAGCGAAGGCCCAGGGAATCGTGTCGATCACTTCCCATCTCTGCTATGCCGGCCCACCCACATATCCTTAGCAGCCAAGCCTCCTCAACGCAAGGGTATGAAGCCCATCCCGCGACCTAAAAATGCCTGAATCGACTACTGTCGCACACACACCATGCCATTTGCCTATGGCCAATGCTTCAATTGATGGCTAGCCGCCATGGGGAATGCCAGTTTCCCGATTATGCTGCTATCGGATTCCGCCCAATTGCCCATATACGGGCGATTGGGTCTGTCTCACGATGCCCGCCCACGGCCCTGTAGTTCGTAGCAGTCGGTCCAAAAACCACCACACGCTGATCCATTGCTCGCAGCCCTATCCCGCTGCTCTAATCATGCCATGATCTCCGCTGCCTTGGGCCTATAGTCGCAGGTCTGCTCATCGGCTGCTGCTCCGAGGCCACCAGCCTTCCAGGAGGCTCCCATGAGGCGCTTCCCCGCGAACACCGCCACCACCCTGGCCTGGACCCTTGAACTTGGACCCTGGTGGGTACGATGAAGTCAGAGGCACAAAAGTGGACAGCGGCCAGAAAGCAGGTTCTGGCCAAACCTTGACCCCTCGTGAGAAATTCAGTCCGCGAGCGCCACACGCACATCCACCCACACCCGTCGACGTAGGCGGTACAGCCACACATGCACTTACACGTCCATAATCAGGAACGTGCGGATAGAGCAGGTACTTGAGGCAGCGCCATCTCGCGGTAATCCGCACGCCACGTTAGTACCAGGCGGTACGTGTTTGCTCGAGCACCGCGGCGTACCTGCGCAATGGCTATCAAACGCTAGCTCCTTAAACAGTATTTCGCCCTCATCTTCTTACGAACTAGGCAATAAACAATACCCATTCCTCGAATTCTAGGGACGAAATCCGGACCGTATGCTCCGGGGAGAACGTTCTCGGCACTTACCGCAGAGAAGCAGCACAAGAAAAAAAAGGTTTCAGATGCCACAATCGTATGCCATAGACCATGGCGCGGACTGCGATGGGTAAGGAGGGCTTTGGGTGCAAACTTACGCAGCACATGTGCGAAATCGTCAGCCTGTCTGCATTAGCGGATGAGTTGCTGCGGCATCTCAGCAAGTCATGTCGTGTCATGTACAAGTAGGTTACAGCAGGTAGCTCCAGAGTTGCATGTACAATTACAGCTGGAGACGGATTGCGAGTGGCTGGTGATGCGCCGCTGAGGCTGGAGACTGCCAACGGCCATCGTCGACGCTTGTTCAGGGCTTCGAGCTGCACGGGCGCCGATCTTGCCTGGCTTGGGCATAACGGCGCTTCGAACGCTGGGCTCTGCGCGCCTGTCATGACGACATGGCAATCGCAAACCTGCTTGCGATCAAAGGGTTTGCGATACATATCAGATGCTGATGATAGATTGCCAGCTGCATTTGCACATGATTCCCCGCATTGTTTCGTTTTGTGACGTAGCCGTGGGCCGACGTCGAATACTGCTTTTGCATCTCTCACTTCCTTTGCTCCCTGCGTCTTCTTGCACCTGTACGCAATCTGCGTCAAAGGCCGCGAGATCATGATCTGTGATGCAGAGGGCTGAAGCGCTTCAAATGACAAATGACGCCATTTGCGAGATCCCAAGTCCGATTCCAAGGCACATTTCTATTACTCCGCATCGCTGGGGTCCCCAAGACACTACTTGACTACGTCTCGGCCGGAGTGGGACAGCGTGCTCGAACGTACATGTAGGCGTCCTGTCACCGCAAACTGGGCCATTGAAGCGGTGCTAACTCGTCCTTCTGTTCATAAATCCTTCATAGTGACAAAAGGCCGTCATTGATCTCGTGCTCGGACGATGTGACAATATTGGTGAATCTCAGCCTCGGCCCATGTCACCGCCCTCCAGCTCTTATCCCAGTTCATCGTCTCAGTGGCGAAAGTGTCTGCAGTTCACGTCCCATCGCGGCTCCGATCAACAGGCAAACACGCGGCCCGAGATGTGCTATTGGCAGCACAGCATGAACGGTGGATCGTCCTGTCAATTCATCAACAGACAAGCGACGATTTTTTCAGGAACGCCCCGAATGAGCGCAGCATATGGGTCGCCAAAGGGAGACGTGAAGCGATAACCGTCTCTCTCGCCACGATGGCCGCATTGCCACCTCAGCTTTGTCGGAACCATCAGATTCCATCTGCCCCCCAATCGAAACCAAAGGCGGCAAAATCATTCGTCGCTGCTTTCCGACTATTCATCCCTACTTCCAAGGACCCCAGCGCCAATCCATGGATGGATATTTCGGACGACTCACACGACTCTCCCTTATTGGACAAGCATTATGCGGCCATTTGACCGAGACAGCTTGACGCATGAGCCGCAATTCTACAAAGATACATACATAATACGAGATTGAATATCTACTTTGGGGGGGGACTTCCGTCTACGAAGTACCTTGCGCTAAACGAGGGTCAATGGCACCGTTTGGATTCAAAGAGGAGAGCACCCCTGCCCCTATGATAATGGCAGTCCGCCCTACCAGCGCGCTCAGAATCATATGGAATTGGACAGGCCGCTGTGCGCGCGGGGCATTGATCGGCCGTTGTACGACGGGCACTCGTAAAATGAGAGAGGCCTCACCACGTGGACGAGGGCCAACATGTACTGCTTGCCACGTATGCGTTGTAAGGTTTGGACCCTTGCACTTGGCCAGCAGGCCCTAATGCAACAGAGCCAGGCAGCGAAACAGACCTTTGGCATCATGTTGTCCCCCATTGGCAGTCTTTACGAATTGCGGCGAGTGTTTTAGCACGGCGAGACGCTTTGGACCCCTGAGAGCTGCTACGGGCAGTCATGCGGAGCTCCACTGGCGTGCGCTATGTGTTTTTATTTTCCCATGATGCTAACTTGTTTGAATCTGAGTGATGATAGTGATGAGGAGTACGTGGTAGGTAAGTCGTCATCTGCGCGCGGGGATCAAGAAACTCTCCTGTCCCCATTCGCATACAAGTAAGATTGCCTCCGCACCAGTATACTGCGCTCTGAGATCAGACGATAAGGGGGCGACACTATGCGGACTGCTCTTCAAGCATCGTAAATTATGAGAAGTGAATGCAGAACAATATGTCTATAAGCATGCTTCTCGTAGACTCCTAGCTACGAGGAGCGAGTAGGTACTGTGAGTGCGTTCAGTCATTAGCACCGATATTACCGGAATACTAGGTACATGTACACAGCACCACCACTACTTTAGAATTCAATCAATACCGGATGATACCTATCAGGTACGCAGCCGCACCAATTGTATCTACCGCGGTATTACCACAATGACGACTGCCCAGAATAGGAAGCCTTTTGATATTCATTATGAGCATGGGAGGTCTATTGATCTACCACTCTCGGACTGAACGGCCTTCTAAGCGCTATAGATCTGCAGGCCATGATGCGTCAAAACTCAAAACTGTTGGTATCTTATCAAACGTCGAAAAGACCCAACAACAACTGCTTAATTGGTCTTGAATGGTCAGCCACTACTTGTATATTCAGTCCTTGCCACGTTCCCCTATGATTTAACAAAGCGAACCTTCTTTTCATACAAGTACTCAGACATGCGGGCCATAAAAAGGCCATTTTGATTCCTTCTGGTCATTACGAAAAGACTTGTCCATCTGTAATCAACTACATCCGCCGTCAATTGAATTTGTACCTCCCGTCAGGCAGTGTTGGTCTTAGGGGCGGCTAGCAAGTAGACACCCATTGGAGGACGCTGAAATCGGCTCGGCTGCGGCAGAGCTCCATGGGGATTGGCTCTGCCGGCAGGGTTGGTCGTCCAACCAAAATGCTCAGGAGCATTTCTCACAACGCAATGAGCTAGCAGTTCGAGTTGCCTACCAGTACAGGGCTACGCTTTGTCTCCGCCTCCTCTTGCTGATCAGTCTTCTCTCAGTGGAGTTGGGAGCACTTCGCCACCACTCAGAGCTCGCAACGAGTGCAGAGTTTGGCGATGGGTGTGGAGGCAATTTGCTACAAAGTACCGTATGTATGTATGGACGGAATGGACTACTACACATTTGTAGGTAGTACTGCCGAAATCCTATGAACGATTTTCATGCTCTGTACACCGCCTTCGGCTTTAGATCTAGCTGCGTGGGTGGTGTCATTGTAGGCTGCATGTCAATATGTTCTGAAGCGGAGATCTTGATAAGAGAATTCATGGTCACGCGGGAGAAGAGTCCAGGGGTGCGTCTAAATCAAGCCTTCTTCGGGCGTTCATGTTTGAATGGCTAGGTATTATTCATCGTTATGCATTTCAATAAACAACAGAAAACCACAAATCTAGTCCTTCTTTAGAGGCAAAAAGGCCTCTTCGATACCGTCCTTTGTGATAATCAACATCTGGAGAGTGTCACCGACCTCGATGTGACGCTCCACAGCACCGTCAAAGGCATCTTTGACAATGGTCTCGACCTGCGGCCGCGACAATGGACGACGCTCCCTCTCCTTGAGATCGTGGCCCTCTCCGCTGCCGGGAATGTACTGGTTCTTGAAGTTGACCTGGTTGTCCAGGAAAGGCATAATCAAACTGCCCGCAGCTCCTCCAGCTCGGCATTGCTCCCTCTCATAGCTTCCAACCGGGTCATAAGAGTAGACAGCACCCACGCCCTCCTCGTCAAGGCCACCAAGCATGGCGTGCGTGTAGTATGGGAAGAATCGCTTCTGGTAGAGAATGGTGGAGAGACGCTTGGCACATGCGTTGAGGGACATTGGCTTGCCGTGTCGGTAGCGGTAGATCTTGCAGATGGTATCCAGACCATCGCGCAGAGCCTCACCATCGGCGGCAAATCCGCAGACGGATAGAACTATGGTGGCGTCGTCCTGGTTGGCAGTGGTGCCTCCGATCTTGAACACTTTCGGAGACATCCGGGAGTTGATGCTGTAGCCGCTGGTGTGGCGAGTGTCACCGGCCATGATGGTGAAGTCGGCGCCCGAGATGGCCAGAGTAGAGCCGCCATTGTCGGTGTAGCTATTGCGACAGTTAATGAGCTGCGGTTGATGAATCTCCAGAGCTGGGGCACCTACGGGTTGAAGGCATGCTCTCGAGGCTCGCCCCGTGTCTTGGGAGCATCTGAGAAAGAATAGTTGGGCCCGTTCATGAGCGGGTTCTGGCTGAACATTGCGGCCATGTCTGCGGTGTTCGCTTGGTGGTGGTTGGTTGACAGCTTCGGTGGCGATGGAGGTGGTTGATGATTGCAAGCTATGCCCTGTCGTCAGGCCTGATGATGCTATATCGCTACAGCATGCACGCGTCAAGTGGGAGCCTTGCTAGGCTGGGATTGGGGGGGTAGCTTGGATGACTAAGCTCGGGTGTTAGTCGTGCAATTCAACAGTGACCACCCCTTTCAAGGTGTTAGGATTAACTCCGTGGTTTCGCGCTGCTCGACAGCTTTTGCATTCTTTGTCGCAGAAAACCGTCTGCGCAGCTCTACGGGAGCTTGCTTTTTATTGTTTCTCTTTTGTCAGCTATATCTAATCTAATCTAATCGGTAAACATCGAGATCGGAGACACCATGCGCGACATCCGCGCCAGAGCGCTGGAAAAGATAGCTTCGCTATCAGCTATCGGACCCGCGACCTCGTTTGAGAAATCGGATCTCGAACGTCTCAGCAGAGCGTGTAATTCCGGAGGCAAAGCAGCCGAGTATGCACAGGCAAACCATAATTCGAAGCCAATCGGCTCCATTGGACGAGTCCCCATGGTCAGCTCAAACTTTCGCGCATCTTAGCTTGCATGTGAAAGGGCCCCCAGGAGCTAACCAATCAACTTTGTTAGTCTATTCGCGAATTCGAAGTCCTCCTCGCTTTGTGCAAGACCGCGCCGAATATCCAGTCCAGCCAGAGCGCTCAGAAGCTCTCGTACCGGTTGATCCCTTATATCCTCGATATCCATACCCAAGTCTTTGTTTCTTCGCCCTTCTTCCGCAAGATCGAGCCGTCGCCAACCGAATCGCTGGCCTTCCACGTTACGGCCGCGCTGCTGTCGCTTGGCAACAACTATCACGAGCTGCACGAAGAGATTTCCAATGGAATCTGGCACTTCACCAACGACTGTAATAAGGTTGCCGAAAATGTGCTGTCGCCGCATGTTGGGGATCCGGAAAACCCCCATCTAGACGATGCAATTCGTACTGCTACTATTGCCCTTGCTCTTGTTGGGTTTCTCGATGCTGTATCTGCCCAAGTCGACTTCTGGGGAATTGATGACCGCCTATTTCTCATACGAAAATTCCGCCAGCTTCTCTCCGAGCCGTTTCTAGTTGCGGTCGAGACGGCATTCTCGACTATTCGCAACTCTCTCAGCCAAGACCGAGAGGTCAAAGAATGGAAGAGACACCTGCGCCATTATGCCGCCTCAGGGAGGCCCCTTGGGGCAATGCTGCTGCAACGCAGCTTCATGTGGCTAGTCTTGGCGAGCAGCTCTCTGATGGTTGCGGACGGGCCACGCCTTCGGACAACCCACATCTTGGATATTCTCATGTCCAAGGATGGAAACCTGAACGGTGTATCAAACTCAGGCTCAGAACCTGATGTTAGCTCCGTTGAGGCCTATGCCAATCTTGCAGTGGAGCAGATGAACTACATTGAAGCCGGTGCTGACTTTGTACGTCTTGGGGCACACTCTCAGCAACAGCTTGCATATGCGGTCAAATCCGCTGCCATAATTACATATCTGAACTGTTCTCTGCTCAATGAAGAGGTTGCAGATGCAGACGTTCTCACCACTTGGCTTCAGGAGGCATTGGAAGATCCTCTGCAAATGACTGATGAAACTCTGGCGTCTACGGTTCTTCAATGCCTAGCTCTGAGCTGCCGCATTGCGCCATCGTTTTCTTCGACTGTCAGCCGCGTGCTTCCGCGATTCCTGGTCCAAACTGCACCACAAGGCAATACTGTGGGAGTGGCATCAAAGAGCTTGGCATATGTTCTGAAGCTGCTCTCCAAGGATGCAGTCATCAGCACTCTTTACACCCTGGGCAATGTGCTGAGCCCAGGCTCCGACGCAACGATTACTGGCCCGCAAGCAAATGGCACCGCTGGCGACGCAACTTTGGCCCCTGTTTATGTTAACAGACATTCTACAGGAAGTGCCATTTCTCTGCAGATGAACGGCGAGGAAGAAACGGCCATCATCTATGGAAATGTTGTTCAGGCGATATGCGGCATTGCAGCAGCGTGCGATGATGAGAAGATTACTGCTCTTGCTCAGTCCATGCTTCTGCAAAAACTTGACAAGGTCAACGTCAGCGTGGATACTCAAGTCATCGCTGGCGCAGCTACATTGGCTCTGAGCGGCGGCCAACTAGAGTTCCGCTCTCTTCTCAAACTGTACTCGAGGATATGCCATATCGGCGTCGTAGAGAAAAAGGACTTCCTTTTGGGCTCTGTCAGAAGAGCCCGTGCCCACATCTCTGCCCGCTTGCGTCGCGATTCTCCCTTGTTCGACATCTATTGGGAGCATTTGTTAGATAGCATCATTGCTCTAGGAGATGCTCACGCGTCTGGGCAAACCACCAAAGAGTCAGACGTACAGCTCGCTGCTCTGGAGATTGCTGAACTGCTCCACCCGCTCGCCGTGTTCATGGCCAGCAATGATCTCGCCTCGGAGCCACTAGCAAACGACGATTCGTACGCTCTTCTTAGAGATGCGTGGTTCAACATTGTGGTACATGGCTTCATGACAACCACTGATCGTGGTAAAAAGTACATCAAAGAGCTTCGCCTCATTGCCGTGCACTCGCCTGCTCTGGTGGCCAGTCAGCGCAGTGAACAAGTTGAGAGTGACATTGAGCTCAATACTGTTCTCAGACGGGGGCATAGCAACGAGCGAGAGGCAATGCAGAAGAAGTTCCTCAGCGAGCTTGTCCCATCAAAGGCAGCTGACATTAAGAGCCTAAGCTACCGAAAGGTCATCTTCCTCCAAGCCGCATACATGGTTGAGAGTCTTCGTGCCGACGCTGGCGATTGTACCAAAGCGTTGACGTACTTTTTGGAGCCGGCCATGCGAAAGGGCGATGTGAGCAGCACCATGGAGGGAATCGCCGCGAGTGTTGTCGACAAATACTTGAGAAAGACACTTATCGGCCTTGACCCGAGTTTCACTTCCCAATATGCCGCCACTCAGCTTGTTTCCATTTTCTGCAATTGCTGTCATCGCATCGAACGAGTCCAGCAGGCTGCATTTGCTTGTGCAGACCGCATCATCAAGGACGTCCCTTCAGCATTATGTCATCGAACGTCTCTCTTTGCCCTGTTGGAGCTTCTTTCACTGTTGTGGACGAGTTGTCTCGAGGCAGAGACTGACATCTACGCGCCGAGGTCGATATTCAGTTCAAAGCTTGGCAATGTGGTCCTAGAGCTGTCTGACGACTACGATTTCCGACGATGGACCCTTGATATCCTTAACCGCAAGGCAAAAGCCTGGGTAACCGCGGCTATCAACTTGGCCCCGTTGGACGTAAAGGGCCTCCTCCAGACGTATTTGTCAGAATTTGAGGACGATGGCGCATACGGCCATGTTTCGCTCGGTCGATCTTTTGCTTTGGAAGTTGGATCCATCATTCCATCAACGGACAACAGACTGCAATCTCTTGACCGTGTTGGTGACACGGCCCTCAATACGGCGTCTGATCTCATTGCCCAGTACACTACTCGTCAAGAGTATCGCTATGGCGAAATACTTCCAGACCGTGGATCTGAATTGATAACCTTTATGAATTTGAACCGCCGGTCGTCGTTTGTGCAGTCCACTGTTATAGAGAGCGCTAATGCCGCCACTGCTCTGGCTCACATTGAGGCTCGAATTTTGAGTAAAAAGTCCACCTCCTTGAATGAGGTTCGAGAGATCCTCAGGCGAGCTGCTGCCCTCCTGTGCCGTGGTGGAAAGGATGAATCTTCGGTTGCTCGCTACCTGGTGAACATTCCTTTCGCTTTGTTCACCAAACAATCAATCAAGCTGGGCGTCTCGCTTTGGCTTGGCGTGATGAATGAGAACCCGCGACTGGAGCCCAAGCTGCTGAATTCTATTGCTCAGCAGTGGGAGTTGTCCATTTCTCGCAGAGTTGGGCTGTTCCATCCCGCTCTGAGCCACCCCGATCCTTTCTTCCTCAAGGAAGAGTTTGCTCCAAGTGAGCTGGAAATGTTGGCAAAGAGACGACAGTTGGTGCACGACATCCTGTCTCCTCATGCTCGCTTGCTGCAATTCTTCAGCAGCCACTTCAACGCCACCAGGCTTGGCTGCCCCGACATCCAGAGGATCTTTATTCGCATGCTTGACTTGACCCTTGACGCTGTTAGAGATTGTACGTCTCATCCGCTGGCAAGAGAGCTACGCTTTCAGATTGTCCTCTTTGGTCTCCAAGTGCTACGATGGAGCACCATAATCAGCTCAACTGCTCAGCATCGTCTCAAGGAGAAGATTCTATCCGCAGGTCTTTCATGGTTTAGAAGCTCGCCGAAGTGGTCGTTTGGTAGCAATCTTGTACAGCTTAAGACTGAATTCCGCCTCATTTCTGATGTCCTCTCCGCCATGAAGGTAGTTTCCTTTATTGGAGCCAATACGACTGGTATTAATTCGCTCCATTCAAAGGAACAGCTGCTGCAGCTGCTTCTGGAAAATGAGCAGTCGCGGTTGACAGTTTGGATCAACCCTCTCAGCCAGCACCATGCTCATCTGCCACTTCACCACAGCTCGTCAAAGGCTGCTACAGAGGCCGCCCTTTTGCCTCTTGTTCAAACTGCCTGGGGACAGGATCCTGCCATTGCCATTGAGCTAGGAACGAGATTCCATTACCCGCGGCTGATTCGCGAAATTAGACTGCTTCTCCTTGCGATGCCTGAAAGGGCTATTTCTGAACCTGAGGCTCTTCCCCTTATTCTTGGTGGACATCTGCCTGACGACGTCAATTCACAGCTCAAGGTAAGTCATCTAATTCCCGCTTTTTTAATCCTTTTTGAAAGGCTCTAACCCAAGTATCTTAGTATCTCCTCTTCTGGGAACCGGTTAATCCCCTCACAGCAGTGACTTTCTTCCTGCCCGCATATAGAGACCACCCCTTCCTCATCCAATACGCCATGCGAGCTCTAGAAAGCCACCCTGTAGACATTACTTTCTTCTACGTACCTCAAATTGTCCAATCGATGCGTTATGACAATCTCGGATATGTAGAGCGATACATCCTCGAGACGGCACAGTTCTCTCAACACTTTGCTCACCAAATCATTTGGAACATGAAGGCCAATGCGTACAAGGATGACGACGCCCAAATTCCCGATGCCATCAAGCCCACTCTTGACTCTGTCATGACCAAGATGATTGACGGCTTTGCTCCTGAGGACCGAGAGTTCTACCAAAGAGAGTTTGCCTTCTTCGACGAAGTCACCAGTATTTCAGGAAAGCTGAAGCCGTACATTAAACGGCCCAAGCCGGAGAAGAAGCAGAAGATTGAGGAAGAGCTTCGAAAGATTCAAGTTGATGTCGGCGTCTATCTTCCCATTGACTCAGACGGCATCGTCATTGGTATCGACCGCAAGTCTGGAAAGCCTCTGCAGAGTCACGCCAAGGCCCCTTACATGGCCACTTTCCGTATCAAGAAGCACAAGAGTGGGTTCGAGCAAGAGAACCAGCTGCTAGAAGGTACTAGAGTCGAAGATGAAGGCAAAGAGCCTGAAGACAACACCGTCGAGATTTGGCAATCCTGCATCTTCAAGGTCGGAGACGACTGCAGACAGGACGTGCTCGCATTGCAGATGATTGCTGCTTTCCGAGGCATCTTCCACAACGTCGGCCTCGACGTATTCGTCTTCCCCTACCACGTCACTGCAACAGCCCCAGGCTGCGGTGTCATTGAAGTCTTGCCAAACTCAATCTCCCGCGACATGCTCGGCCGCGAAGCCGTCAACGGGCTCTACGACTACTTCGTCTCTAAATACGGCAACGAAGACTCCCTCCGCTTCCAACAGGCCCGCAGCAACTTTGTCAAATCCATGGCCGCCTACTCCATGATCTCCTTCCTGCTGCAATTCAAAGACCGCCACAACGGCAACATCATGATCGACGACGCGGGCCACATCCTGCACATCGATTTCGGCTTCTGCTTCGACATCGCCCCCGGCGGCATCAAGTTCGAGCGCGCCCCCTTCAAGCTCACCAGCGAGATGATGGCCGTCATGGGCGGCTCGACCGACCACCAGAGCTTCAAGGCCTTTGAGCAGCTCTGCATAAAGGCCTTCCTCGCCAGTCGCCAGTACTGCGAGAAACTCAGCCAGATTGTGCAGCTCATGATGGACAGTGGGCTGCCGTGCTTTAAGCCTGAGAGCGTGCAGAACTTCAAGGATCGCTTCGTCATGGATAAGACGGAGCGGGAGGCGGCGGACTTTATGAGGGATCTTATCAAGAAGAGCTATTCGAGCTATAGTACTGGTATTTACGACCAGTTCCAGCTGCTTACCAACGGCATTCCTTATTAAGCGAGCTATTCTTCTGTTTTTGCCCTTTCATTCAGCCTGCCTGTTTATGATTTTCAATTCGATTCTTTTTGACTTCTTTTGAGAAAAAGCGCTAGAAATATGTTTTGGCAATGCCTGATTAAAAAAAAATGAGAGAAGAGAGGCATTAGAGGAGGAGAGGTAATATTTCGCATACAGTATGCGCCTACAAATTTTCTATTCTTACTACCACTATTAAAATACGAAAGTTATTTCGCTTGTCTTAAATTTTATCGCTTAATCCTGGAACACCAAACATCTATATCTAGGTAAACAGCGACAAGCGCAGCTAATTGAGCAACCCACAAACTCCCCAATCTAAAAATACCAGAACAAGGGCCTCGTAGCTATCTCGAGATCCCGGTAATGGAAAATATCGTACAAAAGCCGCTTCTCATGTAAGAAAACTAATTCATCAACCTGGCCGCCATCATGTAGCAGGTTGCTTGAGCATGTGCGTCGGCGCGTTGTAACTCAAGTAATCCACGTGAACAAACGCCCTGTCCACAATGGGAACGGATTCGAGGAAATAGGTTAGTACTTCACTCAGATCGTGGCTGTCTTTAAGTGGCGTAATGGCAGAGAGCACAATGTCCACCTCCACAAAAAGTTTGTCGCCCGCGTGATAGGCACGCAGGTTCTGAATCTGACGGATGGCGGTGGCAAAGCGCATGGTGAGATAGAGCAGCAAGTTTCGCTCATCGGGCTGGGCAGAGAATCCGGTCAGGTTGCGGATATGCTGGGCGGAAGTGCGGCTCCAGATAAGAATCACAAAGAGGGAGAGGAGGAGACCGCCGGAAGCGTCAAGCCACCAGATTTGGCCATAGAAGCCAACTAGAGAGAGCGAAGAAAGCCCGAGTCAGAAATCTAGAAGCTATCTATGGGGGTGTGAAGTTTGATAGGCATACCCAGTGGAAATAGAATGGAGCCGACATTAAACACGACATCAGTGATGGCATCGTCCGCTCTGTCAAGGGCATGGGTCAGTTTGATATAATCCACAACTATCGCGGGACGCAACTCACAAGGCCCGGACACTTGAATTCTTCACAAGACGGCACCATAGCCAGCAGCCGCCTTTTATTACAATAGTTGTTATCATGATGATGATGGCCGGTAATCCCAGCTGGAGGACTTGGTCATCAGGGCCAGCAAGTCGCTGAACACATTCAAGGCTGACTTGGAAGAAGGAGGTCACCATGATGACCGAGAAAACCAGCACGCCAAGAGGCTCCAATCTATAGCAATCAAGTTAGAATGACAAATGACAAACAACAAGCCTCAAAATCGTGTAAGACTTACCGTGACCGTCCCACGGGATAATTGTGCTGATCCCGCTGGCTTGCGGAGATGAGCCGTGTTGTCGTCCAGACGATGGCGGTGCTCAGCAAATCAAGGACAGCGTCGACCAAGGCTGCGAGGACAGACATGGAAGGAACAGAGATGATGACGGCAATTTTACCTGCCAGGAGAATGATGTTTGCAATGAGGTTGATCCAGATAGCAAAAGTCACAATGGGGTCGTCGTGATCCAGGTCAGCATCCTCCAACCACGGAAGGTTTGGGCGAGGGCCAGCTTCCTTGGGCGTGGCTGGCTGAGGGGACTGCGATCGCGAAGGCGGCTCGCTGTCGACGCCCTCATCGTCTTGGTGCTGTAACAGAGGCAGGTTCTCAGAAGAGCGGAAAATGTCCTTTGGAGTTCGCCTCTGGGGCTGGGGCTGGGGCTGTGCCCCCTTGAGAGTTGACGATGAGCTGCTATTGTTCATGGTAGTGTTATTGCTGATCGAGCCATATGTTCCATTAACTTGATCGAGATGTGACTGGGACTTGTATGAGGCCTGGGGGGTTTCTTCGGTAATGGTATCTGGGACATCAACGGATCTGAAGGCCGAGGCCTCGAGCTCATCCGCATATTCATTCAAGAGCTCATGAGGGATGGATGAATCAAGAAGACAGTCGATATACATGTACTGTTGAATAAGCGAGTTCGTCCTCCGGTAGAAGTCGCGTCTTCAAGGTGAACAGCAAGTCAGCTCTCCGAATATGCATTTCGCTTGCCCAGGAGGGAGAACTATCTACAAATGTTGAAAGGATTTCGGAGCAGGCCTTACATCGGTTTCCTCATCGTACCGAGTTCTTCTTCCGTCTTCCAGTACTGCTCCCAGCGATACCGCGGGTTGCTTCTCCCGATGAGCCTCAAGCTCCGCGCCTGCGGGCCGTGCAGAATCTGCGACAGCCGTCGCTCGTCCCGCAAGAGTCTCTCAATCGTAGCATCATCTTCGTTGCGCAACCTCAAGGCCCGTATAGGTCCCGTCTCTTCGTCTTCTACGAGATGGCGCGGCACCGGAGGCGACTGCCGTGGGCTCGATAGGCTTTGCTGAGAACGGCTCCGGATCAATGTTGTCAGGGTGCTTGTTCGGGTATGCAGAGGAGAAGAGTGGAAACTGTCCTCGTGGCTAAGCCAAGGCCGGGTTGGTGAGCTCATTTTCCGGGGCTTGTGCGAAAACCAACGCTGCTATGGGATTTGCAGAGCCAATTGAGCGCAGAAATGAAGAACCGATTGATAACGAGAAGCTGAGGCTGGCGTCGCACAATGCTTTTGATGACGTAGGCAAGCGCGAAAACCCTGCAGGTATAAGGCGTAGACAAAGGATAATAGCGCCCTGCCTCTGTCCTAGGCGATAGGCCGCCAGCCCAGCGTTTTAGATTGCATGTGCCCATTCATACGAGGTACTAGTCAGCCGTTAGGCTATAGCCTTGAGGCCGCCAAAGTAAGCCTCCCGTTTTTGGACCTGATGGCTCAACGTCATTGGCCCATGCGTCCAGTTGACGGGCATGAATCGAAAGCTAGTAGCTCATGGCAAGGGGCTGCATATCCACGAGCTGTGGACAAACTCTGATCGATATGGACGGTCTAGAACTGCTCCGAGGCTCTGCTGTAGCTGGAAAGAGGCGGCTCGTCGGGGAATATACATGCGCATAAGCGTGAGGTACCGCAGCAGCTCCCACGATGGAGGCGTACAAGCATGTACCAGCCGGAAGCCAGCTTAGCGCAGGCATAAACACCCATGCTTGGTCTTCGATTTCAAGTGCCCGCTTCCACCGATCCGGCGAGTAGGATTCGGCCCCGATCCGGCTGATACGAGGCCCTGTGGGCGGCATTGGCAATGCGCTCGTATACGTTGCCACTGACTTTGGATGGCTTGGTGAAGAGAGAGGCAAATCCTACACTTGCTCCGCCAAGAACGCATAAATGTCGCACAACGGCGTAGCAGGTGTCGAGTAAGCTGCGACAAAAGTTTGAACTTGACGATCCACAGAAGATGCTTGGGTGAGTTATCGAGCCGTGCTAGTTGATTAGCGCGATGCGTGGTCGGGGGAGAATAGATACTTTGGCAATTGGAGAAGAAAAGTAAACCTGTAGTCTCATCATAGGGATATTGGCGAATAGCAGAGCAACTTGCTCTCCGTGCTGGAGTTGCTTTTTGCCTGTCAAGCTTGGAGGCAGCGGAATGCAAGGGAAACGATGATGCATCGGCGATTTCGAATTGGCTTCATGTCTTGTGCGAAAAAGTCAATTTCTTCTTTTTTTTTTAATTCCCCGATAGCACGATTTACCATATGAAATTTGTAAGCACTCATTGGCAAAAATTGGGCAGGAGCAATCATAATCTTTATATGTTCATCTTCTGTCACAAGTAAGAAAGACCAACGTCAACTTTGGCCACCACTTCTTTCACATCTATCGCCTTCTATCATCCCAGACAAGCATCTGATTGCATATAAAACAAAAGACACATGATTTAGTAAACCACTAGGTATTTCTTATTCTTTTAAGTTAAGCTTTCTCAAAAATCTTAGATGCTGTACTTTTGTTCCTAGATCCCGGGTAACTGTTCCTGGCCAGAGCCCGAGTACCGATCGCAGGTACGGTTCCTGCGCGCTGCTGCCATGTACCTGCCCAATACAGCACATGGAAAAGAGTTTAGGACGCCTTGCCTTGGTTCTCCCCCCGCATGCATTCGTCCATCAAGGATCGAGGCCCACCGAAATCTACTGTCGACTATGCCTCATCCAGGCTTATGCGCTCCAGGACGAAGCGTGCACTAGCATGTGCTTGTCTGATGCCATCCAGCGTAAACGAATGGCCGTCCGGCGTGTACGAGGAAGCGACTGCTGGTTCACGGCGTTACGTTACGATGGCAGGCAAGGCAGAGCAGCAGGGTGGACTTTGGATGGAGCCATTGTGCAGGTATTGCAAGAAAAAATTGCATCGCCGGCGTCTCCAGTGGGCCTGTCCTTGAGCGAGAGACTGGCCCAGTTTGCCCAGATAGTAGTACATGTCATCGCCCGCAATCAGCCCATGACTGTTGTTCGATTTCGACGGCGACTGTGGAGGTGGAACCCCGTCCACATTCCACAACACTCCTGTACGTATCGACTCAATTGCTCGAGAAAAGCTTGTTGGCGCCGATCGCTCTCCAGAAGCGTGGTGATCTCTGCTCACCCTGAAGATCAACAGTGCCGATTGCCAGGCCCTGAAGCCGTGACACCGAGGGCCATGGATTCCTTTGCTACGCCTAACAGACGGGAAGAAAGCATGCCATCAACCTGGAGTTGACGCAGCCGGCCAAAGCTCTGGGATCGACGATGGGCCCTTTTCAAGCTGGAGTAGAGCCTTGTGCTTCCGTATTGCATCACACGTCTGATTGTCCTGGAAAAAGGTTTCTGGCAACGCCCGTCACACACAGGAAAATTAAAAGACGACTACTGCAGCGGAGAGTTGCAGCGCGAGCTACCAGACCTGTGCGAGTACCTGGCGTAGCACTCGGCAGACAGGCAATGGGACAAGGAGAGAAAAGTATTCGACTATTCCGAGTCTGTGGTGTCCCGTCGCGCCAATTCGGAAGTGGCGGACTCGATGACTAGTAGGCGTGTCTGGGACATGCTGTGCTCGACACCGGCACAGCTGAAGAACTGGCTGCGCTCCATCTAAAAACCCGAGGATTTTGCTTTCACCTCAGCCAAGAGCCGCGCTAGCCAGTGGCGACCATTTACCCCTGGGGCCAGAGAGCTGAGACTTTGACACGCCATACCACGCATCGAGGAAAGCTCATCGACAGGTCGGCTTGAGCAGCAGCCGCACGTTTGCTCGCCGTTGGCTGGGCGGCTTTGAGGCCCCAGTTATTCGCTGCCATGGCTATCCTGGCAGAGGCCGAGAACACGATGTCCCCTCTTGGGGAGAAAATTTTAAAAAGAGAGGCGAAGAAACGAAGCCAAATGATATGGACAGGGCTCTCCAGATTGTGTCTTTTTTTGGCCATACCCATGATGCTAACATTCCAGTTCGGACAAGGTACCAACAGCGCAGTTTCGCCCGCCCAAGCTGGATTGATATGAGCACAAGTAGAAGCTCTCCGGAATACTCCGTAGGAGCAGGCGTGCCTGTACATCAAGCGCACCATGCTCGCTGACTGCAATCAGCCCTTGAAGCTTTTCGGAAGCGTGCCAAGCAACAGGACAGTGCACCCCTAACGCCAGCACCGAAAGTCAAATCTCTTGCGCCTATGCATCATGTACGAGGGCTCCAGTTAAATGCTACCCCGTGCGACGGTACATGCTTGCTTGCGATGCATGTGCATACGCTCCAAGTACCTACCTATGCACGCACCTCGCTGATCAGGTCGTAATCCGCGACATCATGAACGTGTCGCCGGCGGCCTTGTCCGGGAAAAGGGCTGTGTTGATGCAGGCGAGTGTCTAGAGGCAAATATCTGTTGTCTGCGTGAGCACGAGATGCTCTTCACGCAGCTCGACGTAACACAAGGCCACGGCCCTACTGCTCTTGGCAAGGCACGCAGGCTTACAGTATGCCGGACCAAAATAAACCACCAGCTCCGGCGATGGGTACCAGTGGAATGGATCCCACTCGTGCTGCTCATGTATATGGGCTCGTACCTCACGGTGCATCAACTGAAAGCCAGCCCACACGCTCCACTCGTGATAACCGCCCGCTAACTGGACTAAGCCCCAGCCTCCACACGGTTGCCGCCCGGGCTGATGCTCCAGGCACTCGTATCTGAAGAGAGTTGAGGGCGGCGAGCAGCAGCTACAGCTACAGCGCGGCACACGCATTCTTGGTGCTGTCCCGTGCTGTTGCTGTTGCTGCTCTACTGTTGTTGCTGTGCTGTGCTGTGCTTGTGCTCGCCCAATAGCCAGAATCCGTTGCGCCGCCGTCTGAGGCCCGGGCAATTTCCCAGCACGCCTGTCGCAGCCGGAAGGCCAACCACACCACCTGATTCGCATCCAGTCTTCCCTGCCCTCCACCGCAATGGCTAGCGACAAGAGGCGCCTGGACTCTCCGTGTGCGGCCAGGGACGCCAGAAGGGGACGGCAGCGCAAAGCAGGGATAGGGGCGGGTTGGCGGGCTACCTGAGAAGTGAACTCCGTCCTCTACCCATGGCTTACGAGATCGGCCTAGCAGAACGCAGACCGGCCGACAGGGGACCAATCTGATGGTGGTTGATGGGATGGGATGGATGGACGAGCTAGCCAGTCAATAGCCGGCACGCATCTTAACGCCTGGCCTCCTCCCGTCGCTCTCCTGAAGTTTACATCCCTTTTTTTTTTGTTCTTCTCTCAACCCCTTCTTGCCGTACTCTGTACGCTGTCTTGTTCCTGCCGCTCTCTTTTCATCGCCCGTCGACGTCGAAATCGAGGATCTGGGTGTGTCTTTCTCAGCGACAAGTTGCGTTTTATTGTACTGCCTCGTATAGCCCAAGACTTGATCCGTTTGGCTCATTTCCCCCTCTCTTTGATAGCTGCCTCGGCTGCTTCACTCGTTCGACTTCCACTTTCTTGACCTTCTCTCTGGGCTTTTCTTCATCGACATACCTTTCGCTCTTCGCGCCGTCTCTGGACTTTTATTTGCTCTTGTTCTGGCATCATCCGTCGCTACTTGTAACTTTTTGGGCATTTTCATTCTACTGTATTCTTTGACTATCCCCATTTCACTACCAAGTACTATAACATTTCTTGCCTCGTGCCTGTCTATCTATTTAATCTTTTACCCTCGTTTATTCATCACCCTTTACGTCCCTTTTGCATCCTTTTGCATCCATCCCCCCTCTGCATCGGATCCTTTTGGAATTACAGCTAAGAGCCTGTGCTCTTGCGCGCCTTGTACTTCCGAGATTAATGTGAGTCCTACACCTTTCTTTGCTTAGCTTCGCGCATGCCGGACGCTCCCGGCCAACCACCTGGCCGTGTCTCAGCCAGAAATACCTGCCCGCCGCCAGCTTACCAACAAGGAGCATTATTGATTTCTCCTTTGCGAATCCATCGGCGCAATCAATCTCTGCTGCATCCGTGTTGTCTTCACAATTTTCATCTGTTTCGACACTGGCCGGGAGGAAACCATCGAATCCAGGGAAACAAACAAAGAGATGCATCAGCTGACCATTTGCTAATATTGATTATTCCTTTATGCAGCCGCCCATTGGACCTTGTGTCGCCCAACGAGCCTGACGCGATCGCTGGTGACAGCCACTCCGACTCAGACGTCGCCTTTGTCCATCACCGGACCTCGTATCGCTAGGGTCCTAAGCCTGCTGACCGGTTCCCACCTCTCGGCAGACGGAAAATTGTTAGGCAGCGTCGAAAAAAAAAAAAAAAACGATCGCCGCCAAGCTGCGAATTGGGAGGTATAGTCAAAATCTCGACCCAAGGTTCCCGATCCCGCGGCCTTCATGCCTAGATTTTCGGTTGCCTTTGCTAGGCGGAAAAGCAACGCAGACGAACTCGAAAATGCTGAGGTGACGCCCCCAGGACAAGGTACATTCAGGGTCTTGGAACGCCACGACTACTCTGGCGTCAAATCGTTCGACGGTGGCGTTAAGATGGCCAGAGCCAATGGAGCTATGCTTGCCAAGCCTGATTTCCAGGCCGACGACAACATGTTTTCTGATATGAAGGCGAACCGGTGAGTTGCTTTCTTTTTTTCTTCTCCCCCCCGCCCATTTCTGAACCCTTCTCGTTTTTCCTTGAAGATGGAGAGAATAAAAGGGGGAAGGAGTTTATATCGATACCCGAGACATCCAGCCATGTAACTCATTGATGATGTTTGGCCTCTATGCTGACTCTATTGCAAAGTGGAAGCGGCTTGTCCAATACCACGCATACCACGTCCACTGATACCTCTTCGCGCCATAGCAATGCCTCGACGGCACCCTCCTCGGCGGACTTTAGCGGAGGCAATCTGTTCCACGACGACAATCGAAATGGGCCACCCAAGAGTTCATCATCGGATATACACGGCCGCGGAAACAAATCCATCGGATCCAAGTTCTTGGATCGAGCTGGCCGGACCTTTTCGTTTGGTGGACAGAAAAAGTACAGCATTCCTCCGCCGCTGGAAGACCCCCCAATGCCGGATTTACCGCCGCCCATGCCCATCATGGCTGAACCAGGACGCACTGGATCTAGAGGTACGACTACATACACGCAGGCCCCAATCATTCCCCGCAAACCAGCTCCCCGCGATACCAGTGTTATAGACATGGGTGGTGACTTTGGATCAATGTTTTCAGGATCAGGTTTCGATAAGAGGGCCAGCATGGCTACGGTAAAAAACGACGACTTGGCTTCTCCCCGGTTCCTCACTGGCAACCCGCAAATCCACCACCAGATGCCACACAGCCCGGACACCGCGACGCCGGCCCAACCGCTGCTCGGCGCATGGAACACGCCCAAAGACGATGACATGGGCGATGACTATCCATCAGATGATGAAGACCCCCCGCCTGTTCCGAACCATTCATCTTCTCGATACCAGTCTCCCGCTCGACAAGCGCCTGTTAGGAAAGTATCACCACCTGAGCAACCCCCAGCTCGCCAGGCACCCACTCACCAGCCTCCGCCACCACCGGAGAGGCAGTCACCAACTCAGGAGTCTGCGCAGCCCGAAGAAGCACAAGACGATGAGGATGCAAAGCTTCTACAGGAAACTTACACTGCCATCCAGCTCTTGTCGGCTGAAGATGACGAATTTGACGAAAACCCTCAGCAGGGGCGATACCGGCGAGAGGAGGATAATTTTACCGTGGTTCCGCGAGCCAAGCCTGCACCCAATTCTAACAACGGAGGAGACGGAGCACGCCCTCCTATGCCCTCCTACACTCGATATATCCCTCCTCCTGATGGCGCGCCTCGAAACAAAGTCATGACCCCTGCGGAATTCGAAAAGTATCGCGAAGATAAAATTCGTCATGATAGGACAAATAGCACTACCAAGGATGATGACGAAGACGACATCAACTACGACGACGATGAAGACGAGGCTGAAAAGTCCAAGCAACAGGTGAAGCAGAGAAGAAAGCAAGAAGCCCACATGGCTGTGTATCGCCAGCAGATGATGAAGGTAACCGGTGAAACGAATCCAACAAACGGGCTTGGCATCCCAGCTTCAATGAGCGCACCGCAGCTCAGCCATGTTAAGCATCCTTCCCTTGACCCGGCGGCAGCGTCTGCCATGTCCGGCGCGTCTGGAGTGGAGGAAGACGCCGACGATGACGAGGAGGTTCCTCTTGCCATCTTGCAGGCGCATGGATTCCCCAACAAGAACCGACCTCCCACTAGGCTCAGCACCGTGGGATCAAACCCCAACCTTCGAGCCTCAGCTATGCTCATGCCAGGGCGTCCGTCGTCATCAATGGGAGAATCTGCTGCTGCCCGACGCCACTCAACCCTTCCAGCATTTGCACGCAATTTGCCTCAAGATCCCTTTGTCGGAGCTAGCATTGCCCAACCTGCCATCAGAGAATCTCTATCATTCAATGAAATGGGTATGGGCCCCAAGCCCCCGTCACCGCTTCCTCCTGGAGGCCTTGTTGGTGTAATTGCTAGCGAGGAACGCCAGCGAGCGATGCGACGCGGCAGCCCAAGTGTCGACCCCTCAAGACTCATGGGCAGCGGCTACAACACACCTGGAGGCACCGCAATTGATCCTATTGCTGGCATCCCCGCGCATATGATGTATGCCCAGCAGCAGATGGGAGGTGGAATGCCTGGCATGATGGCTCCTCATATGATGACACCGCCGCCGATGCTCACTGTTGGCGATCAGGCCCAGCTCCAAATGACGCAGCAAATGTCGCAATTTATGCAGATGCAGATGCAGTTCATGCAGATGATGGCTTCAAACAACCAAAACGGCGGGCCACAGCAGGCACCACCGCAGTTGCCGTCGCCGTATCAGCAGCCCTATGGCGGCCTGATGGGCAATCATTCCATGGTGGACATTTCCTCTCAACACTCCATGATGGGCGAGCAGACTCTGGAGCCTCGTCGTGGTGACTACGGTAGCATGCGAACAATGAGTATGGTGCAGCCAAACTCGGCACCCATGGCTCCACCTATGCCACACACTGGATACGCCGGTTCCATCCGGTCATCTCATCAGGGATATGCTCCTTCGATTGCGCCGTCAGAGCGAAGCAACATTGGCCTCCCCAATCGTTATAGACCTGTCTCCCAGGCCGTGAACCCGGCCGGTCTTGGTCATATGCAGTCTCAATCGTTCTCAGGGGCTCTGTCCGCTTACGACAGCAAGAACAAGACCTCGATGAGGATTGTGAACAAGTCAGCTTCTGACGACGAGGACGAGGAGGAGGGCTGGGAGGCGATGAAGAACAAGAGAGACAAGAAGAGGTCTCTGTGGAGAAGCAAGAAGAATTTGAGCTCAGTGATCTGAGCGAACGTCGTATCGATACTGTCCGTGTCTGTTTCCCCCCGTCTCCTTTGTCTCATCTTCTGGGCGGAAAAAAAAACAGATGTGTATGGATAACGTGGGTGTGCATCTCTCTCTGTGGAACAATGTGTGAATTTGTGAGTATGTGTGAGTGTGTTCTGCCTTGATTTGGATATAGGCGAACACAAGGTTGATAATTTTGGGGTATTTAACTGAGGCCTCCTCTAATGCTATGCTTGGATACCATGGTCCGTCATGTTATGCGGTGCGACTCGATAAAAAGAGCAAAAATATTAATTGGCAAGCTAGATGTTTTTTTATCGACGTCCGCTTGGGCGTCAAATTTTGGTCGGAACATTTATCTGGGACGGGGTCGCGTCACGCATGATAGAAATGGCTCTACGCCGTAATTGAATAATTTGTCTGCAACGAGTTGTTCTCCTATTTTCTTTGTCTGGCAAGAGGGATGGTCATGACTGCACTACAAGCGCTGGGGAATGAAGAGAGAAGAGAAAAAAAGTATAGTATTGATATAACGGAATCAAAGCAGATGTATCCAAAGCGCGTCTTTATTCTTATTGTTTATTCTGTCAAAACTTATAGTTTACTGCTAATGGATATTGTCCTACTCATCAACTGTTCATAATACCTAGCTGAAACCATGGAGTCGGTATCTGACTATATAGATACTTTGCCAGTGCTCGGTCAGCGTGCGTAATTTTTATTCATGGGTTTTTTGTAATATTTTTTTTCCGTCTTTTTCTTTTTTTTCATAACTCTTTTCTATTCAGGCTCTCAGAGATAGCTTTCTTAGCCAAGGATCTTGCCCGCAGCCAGCTCGTTCTTCTTGACACCCATCTCGACAGCCGCCAAGCCCCAGTCTTCTCCGTGGTTGTGGCCCTTGCCTTCAGCGCTTGTGCTAATACCCGCGCGGGACTTTGCCTGCTCGTCATTGAGCACGGTCAAGACGCCGAAAATGACGGGGATGCCAATGTCGAGCCCGACGCGCATGAGGCCCTGAGAGGCGGAGTCGGCAATGTACTCAAAGTGCATGGTCTCGCCCTTGATGAGCACGCCGATGGCGATGATTGCGTCAAAGGGCCCGCTGCTGGAGTCGCTGCCGGAGAGGGCGGTTAGGTCGTGGGTGGAAGCGCCGAGGAGATCGGTTGCTGAGGGGGCGCCGGAGGCATTGGACTGGATCTGGGAAGCAGAATATAGTCTGAAGGAAAAGATGTCAGTTATTTTCAAGCTATTCGAGGAATAATCGCAACGGAAGGGAGGGGCCGCGCCGAATAGGAGGAGGGAAGGCAATTTACCGCTGGACAGCAATGGGAAGCTCCCATGCGCCGGGGCAAGACTGGACGACAATGTTGGACTCCTTGACACCGGCTTCCAGCAGCTTGGCCTTTGCGCCGGCGACGAGGGGCTCGATGATGGCGATGTTCCAGCGCGCGTGGACGATGCCGATGCGCAGGCTGGAGCCGTCGTGGTGCTGAGGAGCGGGACCCTTGATGGAAGACATGGTGGCTGGCTGGTGATAAAAATGCTGAGTGAGTGTTTTGTTGTTGAGCTCGAGGTTTGTTGAATAATCAAAAAAAAAAAAAAGAGGAAAATAAAAGAAAGAATACGGAACTGAGTAAATTAGTTGGACCAAAAGCTATTGCAATGCGATCCTTCACGAAGCTTAGAGCTTGGTTAGCTGACGCTGACTGATGATTCCGGCGGGGCAAAGGCCTGGGCTGGCGGAAGCGGACATGGGCGGCGGCGGGGTAGAGGCGGCGGGCGGTATGAAAGTACCTTTTTGAGCTATTTGGGCGGAAACGTCATTTTGCTGCAGGAGCTGGATGGCAGGTGACTCTGGGAGCAGGTCATTCGTGTGCTGCGTGATTACGAGGCAGCTACAGCGGACTTTTGGGTGTGCCTTCCATGAAGTTGTCTCTCTAAGCTTGATTTAGCTGTGACAAGGTACCTGACTGACATGATAGTGGACTGCAGCTTCCTTTGCTCAGTCTTACCATTGAGTTAACTTGGGAAGGAGAGGTTGAGCAAGAGTCACCGCCTAGGCAGATAGAGACAGAAATAATGGTAGGCTTGATGTCGCGTCTTCAATGGTTCATTTCGTTTCGCTAGCCTTCATTGTTGCGATGCTGTAAAATTTCCAAAGTGTCACATATTTCATCATCATTGCAGCTATCTCAGCCTTATTAGAGACAACTATCCGAATCTCTACCAATATGCCAATATCAGCGCTTCCCCAGTCCACTGTTCGAAACCTAGGCTCCTCAGTTACCATAACCACTCCTTGCGACCTGGTCAAAGAGCTCATTGACAATGCCATCGATGCCGGAGCCAGCTATATTGAAGTTGCAGTCTCTTCCAACTATCTCGATACGATTCGAGTCCGAGACGATGGCCATGGAATCGACATCGACGACTTTGACGCCCTGGGTCGGCGAGCTCGTACGAGCAAATTGAAAGCATTCAGTGAGCTTGGATCGAGAGTTAGAGAAACACTCGGCTTTCGCGGCGAAGCACTTGCAGCGATGAATACGTTCGCTGCCGTCTCCATCACCACTCGGACACCGAAAGATGTGGTAGCGACTCGTTTCCAGCTCAAGCGCGCTGTTGGAGGAGCGGAGAATAGATCCCCTGTGTCAGCTCCCGTTGGGACGACCGTACAAGTTACGAAGCTCTTTGATACACTGCCCGCCAGAAAGCAATATTCTTTGAAGAACAGCGCCAAGTACATCAAATCTACCAAAGAGCTCTTGAAAGCATACGTGCTAGCTCGGCCTGATCTCAAGTTATCATTCAAAGTACTCAGCGAGACTACCGGCAGCTGGTCATACGCTCCAGCCTCTGCGACAGATATCAATGAGGCTGCTCTACAGATATTCGGAAAGCCTTTGGCCAGCAGCTGTATCCATGTGTCTCGTAACTCCGCATGCGATCAAGCCGAATTCCCCCAAGATAGTCAACAGATCGCCGAAGATTTTATACTGGAAGCTTTTATGCCAAAGCCCGGGTTTGACGTCCATGCCGTCAAAAGCAAAGGCCTCTACTTATCAGTCGACTCAAGACCACTCGCAGCTACTTGTGGCATAGCCAAGCTAATTACAGCCATTTTCAAGAGCCATTTAAACAGAGTCACAGGCAGCACAGAATCTGGTATCAGCATACCCAATCCGTTTTTGCGGCTCAATATTCGCTGTCCAGCCCATAGTTACGATGCGAACGTTGCGCCGCTGAAAGACGAAGTTTTGTTTGGAGATGAAAAAAAGATTATTGCTTGTTTTACAAGACTATGTCAGAGAATCTACTCCGAGCGATATATGGACCACTCATTTTTAACCCCGAAGCCGTCAAAGCCCGAACAGAAGTTGGGGAACTCGATGGTGCACACTGAGGACAGTGAGGATTTATACGCTGCGGAAGATCTGAACCCATTTCAGAGTACATCACTAGGAGACCATACAGCTGCTCAAGCCACCACATCGCTGCCTTTACCTCGTGAGCTGGATTCTCAAAGTGGAGTATCGCTAACTAGGATGAGGACATCGAAGATTGTCAATATGTCTCGTACCAGCAGCAATTCTACTGACGAGGACAGTACTATCAACAGCGTTGATATACAAGTGCCTCTTGCACTCTTGACTGCAGTTCAAATCCCACCTAGACAGAAGCCGCAAGTCTCCAAAATTTCTGCCTCAGAGAACATTGAACGATATCTACTCCCGCGGAAGGATCAAGAGTTTCGGATTGCAACTGATGAGACAGCAACCCAGACAAACTGCTTGCAGAGAAATATCCCAGAATCACCTCCCGGTATATTTGACCGTATGCCTTTGCAGCCCTTGACTGAATCCATGTTAAATGCGATGAATGGTCAATCAGAGTCAGAATCAGATGTGTCTAGTACAGAGCTCGAGACCTCAACATTGGATGACGATATAGAGATGACAAACAACGTCAATCCCAGAGAAGGGAGAGCCCAGCGAGCTTCACTCGTTCCTACTCTACCTTCGCTGGATCAAGAACACTCGGCGTTTCACTCTCCACGACAACCAAGAAATATTCCAGAATGGCCAACACCTCCTTCATCTAACTTTTTACGAAATGAGAGATCCTCCAATCCCCCGTTTAGACCTCCGGGGAGATCTTCTCAGAGAGAAAGCCCTACAGGAAATATCGCAGTGCGACCTCAGCTCAGAGCTCCGCCAACCGGCAGACTAATAGCTTTTCCATTGCCAGGAGAGAATCGCAACCGGCGGCGAGCAACACATGACCAGACAAGTGAACGAGGAGGTGACACGCCGAGAGCTAACCCGAGAGATAACCGACCTCAGTCATACTTCCAAGGAGTTCAAGGGCTGAATCGACGGGAAGACAGCATGAATAATACTTTTGAATGGGCATCACAACCGGATACCAGCCGGCAAAATGCTTCACAGCCGTCTTTCCTCTCACATGGGCCCAGTCATCGCTCTCATACTATGCAGGCGCCTGTAGTGGATAGTCAATCTCCTGGAATCATATCACGGCCCAGGGTTGCCCAAGATAGGCCAAACGCACGCGATAGTTTCCCAGTAACCCCTCAACGAGATATTCGCCCATCAACCAAAGCTTCTGTTTGCGATAAAGCCCCAAAAAGAGCGCCTCTCGAAGATATAGATGATGACCTTGAAGATCCGAGATTCTATCTTATTAAGAGGCAGTGTTCACAAGCGAACCATGGCATTGCGAGGCGACTGTCATCCCGCCGACTTCCCCTCTCAGTGACACCAAGCCATCTGGCCATGTATAACTCCTCAATCTCTCGTAGGATCTCTCTGACAAAGGTCAAGACTTTGGCAAAACAAACCTGTCTCCAAGGCTACGATATTATATCAGACGACAGGGGCAACACAATAGCTTTTGAAACCATGGAAGAAGCTGGCAAGATAGCATCCCGTCTTCAGCATGCAGTTGACTCGTGGAAGCAGACACAGAATCAGACGATTGAAGTGGAACACAAGCTACGATCGGCCGCCGAAGGTAAGAATACCGCACTTACTGACCAATAACTACTTTCTGGGGAATATGTTGGATGTTGGGGTTGATCGTGAAGTCTAGGTACCTAAAGAGGGAGGAAGAAAGCGAGCATCCAGCTGGGCATGCTCACCATGCAGCAACGACTTCCTACTCAATGGTAGCTACAACTCATCTGCCCCATTTCACCTTATATCCGAGGCTTCGAAGGTGATGCGGCCGAGAGATCCGGACGATGTTTGAACAGAGCGGATTACGGAGCGCTACACGCAAGGTAGCAGGTAGACGTCATGAAAGATTTGGCAATTGGAGGTAAAAAGTGGATATGCAAGGCGGTGATGCCGGACCGGTAATGCAAGTGGTAGGTAGCCGGGGCTGGACGTTTGGACTTCCGAAATGTCCTGCGTTCTTGAGCAGCAGGGCCAGGGGGCCAGTTGAGCCCGTAAAAGTGGCCTGCAGGAATATGATCAAGCAGCTTGATCCATGCCCAGGGAGAATTGTTCACAGCTGAAAGACGACCTTTTTCCTCTTTTCTGAAACATTTTTAGTTATTTTGCGGAGGGAACTGGCTTGATTGGGGCATAACCTGCGGATAGAGACGAGCTGGAAGGAGGATTCTGCCTTGAAAACTTCGTATTAAGCCAGGTACGAGCATTGGGGGTTCAAATCTTGATGGAGATCTCTCGCCAGGCAGTGGCCCCGGGCACTAAAGTACTGGGTCTACTATTAGGCGAGAAGATTCTATATGCGTAGAGCTCGTATAATACGCGGTTGCGCAAATGGTGGGTTAGATGGACGGACGCTTGTGACGTGGTGCTATCAGAGGAAGGGGAGAAACCATTGCGACTACTATTTTGTGTCGGGTATATAACAAATGGGATTAGTGTCTTCAATTGATACCTGTATTTTGATGGGTACGAAGAAGCAGTACCACCAAAGTTGGCATTACGGGTGATGTAAGGGCACCTCATACGAGTGACCGGTGCATATAAAAGCCACACGATGTGCTGCTTGATGCAGAATGCTACGCTGCAATGTCCAATCGCCAGCGCCAAAAGGGGGTCCCACGACAGGGACCCCGGCCCTGTGGCCTGGAATCGGGGTTAAAAATAGGCACAAAAGGGCTAGGATGGATGTCGACTAGGCGGCAACCCCTGGTAGATGGACCCAGAGTTGGCCAAGGGCACTTCGTATCTGCTGATTGATGGGCGTGAGGATCGACGCCACGATAGAAGCCTCTTTTTGTTTCTTTCTGACTGCTTACTGTGGTGGTAATGCGAGACCAAAACGAGCGCTGTTTCTTCTTGCTTCTTTTCTCTTTTCTCTTTTGTCCATCTCGGTATGGAGCTCACGGCACATACGATGTACGTCAACGTTTGGGAGATCCACTACATGGTCTTGGTTTGCAAACAGCCGTTAAAACATGGTTTCCCGCGTGTCAACCTAGGTACCTAGCAAATATCACACACATGCATTGAAGCTCGTATCTTTGCAAACTCTGCTACTATAAGTAGATCTGAGGACGGGACGGGCCATTTGATGGGTGAGACCGCGGGAGAGAAGCAGAGGAGGATATTGTGATGATGAAGGAATCGCATTCTACTGGATATCTACCGATATCAGCCAGCGGGTGCTAATGCACGGGAGTCTACATGCATGTGCGTGCTGAGCTGGTAATAACGTAAGCTTCTAGATTTAGCACTCCCGTACGGCAATAAGCTTGTATGTAATGTTTCTTTACATGAAGTCTTTTTGGGGAGTGCGACGTGGGCGTACAAGGGAATGCGTGCAGAGACACGAAGAAGGAGAGTAGAGCAGTGGGTAATGACAGTGCTACTAGTACTCTATTGCTGCTACTGCTTCCGAGTCTGGTGAATATGATAGTCAAATGGCTTGAATGTTCCTTTATACATGTACGTAGACTCTCTGCCTAGTAAAACTATAGCTGGGGTATTGGTTAACGTTTTCCTTAATATTCTGCCATCTGGAGCATTATGCAGTGCCCGTACACTTTGATGCCTTTGGAGAATGATAGGCCGAGAACTAGAGAAATCAACATAAAAGAGACTGATGAGTAATAGGATGCCAGCTGCCGCTGAAAATGTACGTGTAAATCGGCATAGGGCTGCTCAGTGTCGGATGAAGCCATTCGTGTGTAACGCGGGCGTATCCCTTGATGGAACGAGTTTGTGGGTGTTTCAGGCCACGAAAAAGAGGGCGCCATGGTGCTTTTTGGCGCTAACGGCCGGCCTGTTTTAGTGGGTTGCGGCGGCTGCACTGCCACAGCTTTGCTCCGGCCAGCGCGCGCCTCTTTTGGACTGAAACCCACGTTGACAGCCAGCAGGTTATCGGGGTTACAAATGGGGTGGAAGCTGTATTGGTGGGAAGATTACGTGCGCAATGGCTGTTGTCTGTCCATTGTGTTCAGCTGGAGATATTCCAGAACTGGAGGAGTTATTCCGGAGGAGAGGAAATAGAGCAGAAGATGATATAGAAAAGGAAAGAGAGAGAAAATAGGAAAAAAGGAGGGCGACACTTACATTGAGAAGAAACAGGTTTCAGTTCCACTCGAATTTTACAGAGTGCGCTGCTGAATGGATGGCTGGCTACTCTACCCGAACAATTCGATACCACCAGCCCGTACCTCGTACCGGGCCTCAGCAGTGATTTGGCGAGGCCATCCCGCGCCGCAGCCGCGCCGAAGCAGCTCCTGTAGGCGCTACTTCACCTAAAAAGCTCCCGCTGCTGCTCAATACGGCGCCAACACTGCCACTCTTCCCACTCCACCCTAGCTTCTGGCCCAGCTCCCAGGCCATCGTCTGCGCCAGCCAACATCTTCCAGACTTTTTTTTTTTCCTCTTGCACTTTTTGTCACATTGAACCCTTCACCAGTTTTTTTGTTTCTAATCTACAGTCCCTCGTTTCTTATTTACACTTTTTGCGCCCGCCTTCTCTACGCTCGTTCACACACTTTTGGTTGATCCGCTAAAGATGCGCGACCTCTGAATGCAAGCCTGCAGAGTTGGCCCCCTGGCTGTCGATGCCCACGATGCGTCGACCCAGTCGCTGTAGTTGCGACACCAACCACAGCAGCCACCACCGGCATGATTCTCGAATATTTCCCATGGCCTCGACCGAGGGCCAGCCTCGCCCAGCCTCGCCGCCAAGGGCCGTGATGGACTCCCATTCAGCCTCAGAGCTGGATTCTTCGCAGGCTGATGCGTCGTCGATGGAGGGGTGCAGCAGCAACAGCGTCCTAGAGGGATGCGTCATCCGAGCGCGAACGAGATGGTGCCACCCCAGCCGCATCCTCGCATTGACCGCGAGATCATCGTTCCTCGCCCTGATTCTGCTCGTCCTCGCCGTCGCAACGCCCGCCGCTGCCGTCATGCTCGAGTTCGACAACTGCCTTCCCGACTCGTACGTTTTGAACAAGCCACCTCTGCTGCAGTGGGTGCCGCTCTACCTTGATGCCGTCTTCGACACAAAGTCGCCAAACAACAACCTCCAGGTCATTGCCTGGGGAAACGTGACGGGCTCGCAGAATGTTGGGGCGCTTCCTCCCCCGGGCGATCCGTATTGGAAGGACGCCAATCAGACGAATGGCAAGATTGACGAGACGCCCTATGAGGATACGCTGGCGACGACGCTGGTCAAGAGAGTCAACGTCTTGACGTACGAGCCGTTCAATGACCGCTCCAACTTTTGCGCAGATAGTCTCGTCAACGGAACATGTCCTTTGGCGCCGGTGTTTGACTATACTAACAGGTAAGCCATCTGTTACCTAACAGTGTTATTTGTATCCATTTGTCTCCTCTCCCTTCCTACATCTGCCTTCTACTAATGACGTATCTTTACTTTGTTATCATACTGTGTCAAGCAGCTAACGGAATCTTGCCATCTAGCTCTCTTCCCTACGTGCTTCCCTCGGTCAATCTCAGCCATGACTTCTTATCTTCTTACGCTTTCAGCTCCTTCTCTCTTACCTTTCTCCTCATCAATGGCGACAAAGCAGCCACCAATATCGGCTGTGTTTCCGCCACCATCACCCCTGACCTGGGCAGCATCTCCTGGGTGCTCAAATTTATGCCACTTGTGGTATTGATATTTGCTGGCCTGGCAGTCCCATTTGCCGGAATATGGAGCCCCTGGGGCACCACCAACATCTTCCACTGGACATCCAACTATGGACGAGACGCCGATTTACTAAGGCTCGTGACTCCTGGATTTGGCGACTGTCTGCAGTATATTCAATTCATTATTCTTACTGGCTCGCTTACTCTTGCTTACCCTGGCTTCTTCCAGCCTGTCGTGAGTCAAGTTGGATGGTCTACCCTCATGTTCAATGAGAGCTTCTTCGGCAATACCAAGCAATGGCAGAATGTAGTGGATGGTGTGTATGTGACCAAACCAGGCACAATATACGGGCTACAGAAGACGGCACAGCTCATCGGCATGTCTGAGGTGGAGGATATATGGCCTGGCATGATGGTGTGGCTCCTCGTCATCATCGCTGCCGTTATTGTGCTCATCCAGGTTGGCTTTGCTATCCAATGGGTCTTTCGAAAGGTCAAGAAGACCACAGAAGAAGACCTGCAGGCAAAAAACCTCCCGTTCGTCATTGGCAACGTGGTGCGCATTGTCTTCAATTACATGCTGACTCCTATTGTGGCATTGTCATGCTTCCAATTTGTCGTCTCCGGCCAGTCGCCGGGCTACACTGTTGGCCTGGCTGCGCTGACCCTCGCACTAGTGATCGGCTTTGCATCCTATCTTCTCTATCGAATCATCATTACGCGCCCGAAGTCGGCCTTGTTTGATGATTTACCCACCGTCCTGCGATATGGGCCTTTGTATAATACATTTGCAGACGAGGTTGCTGCATTCGCCCTTATCCCGATATTGATCAACATCATCAGGGGCGTTGCCATTGGCGCTGTTCAGCCCAGTGGCGTTGCCCAGGTTGTGCTCTTGGCTATTTGCGAGGTCATTCAGATCCTGATGATCTACGCATTTCGGCCCTACCAAAGAGCCACCTCGATGAATATCTACCATAGCCTTTTTGCGCTTCTACGACTCATCATCATCATGCTCATGGTCACTTTTGTGCCCAGCTTGGGTGTAACGGAAGGGCCAAAGGGTTGGATTGGCTATGTCATTTTGTTCCTTCATGCCAGCGTACTTGCGCTTGGGTTCTTCCTCGGAGCTATACAGACCATCATCGAAGTCGCCGCAAGAATGCTCGGTGCCGGCGGAGATGATTTGTCTGGATTGACTCGCGGTGGTCTCTCCAAGATCTTTGGTATGAGGCAGCTCTCCAGGAGAGTTAACCATCGCCACGGACCGTCTCGAGCTAGTCAGCTATCTACCGCGGCCATGCTGGATGCCGATGACAGCGGCAAATCTGGGTATGCGATGCCAAGTGGAAGAGTCCGCAGCGGCTCTGTGGCCAGCCTTAGCGGAGTCATTACGCACCATAGACATCGGAGCAGCTCTGCTCTTGATAGTATGTATTCGGCACTGCCCCGCAACATCGATACTGCCAGTTCGTACGTACCGACAACGCCGGGTGAGGCCAGCACCTTCTCATTTCTTGCATCACCTTCTGCTGCCCGCCAGGGGCCGCCTGGCATTGCCTTGGAATCTACTGATCCCTATTACCGCCCCCCACGGAGGCGCCGTGAGATGACTGGCGATTCTGGACATACCGAAGACCAGCGCGACTCGCTTATCATTGAACCTGTCCCTCTGCCTGGAGGAACAACCGAAGCCCCTGACGCGTCCGCAGAAATCTTACGAGGAGGCACTCCAGGACCTAGCAATCTGGCTATAAGCTTCCCAGCAAACAGACCTGACTACGCAACCCGAGAGGTTGACTTTTATTACGGTGTTCGCGGCCCTGCTCTTAATTCTGAAGGTCCAGGCAGGAAGCTTACAACTGGTCCGGCAGACCCTACGGGGCCCGTCGCGACAGCGTCTGGATGGGTTCGCAGGCTGATATTTGGTGGTAAGACCAAGGAGAAGGGCAAAGGATTCGAAGTCGTTAGAAGTGCCAGAATGCCGCCAAACATGGTTCGAAATGGAGGCTTTGGCGATGAGACGCCGCCTGAAGGCATTCCTGTCGCCATGGGTGTTATTCGAAATGGACCCATCGACTCCGACGACGACGATGAGCCTCGAGTTCATCGGCCCAAGCGTCGCGAAGGCGAGCTGCTTACTGATAATGGTGATCCGCAGTCAGATTCCGATGAGGATGATGATGAGCCAGACAGCATCATCACAGATAGACTTCCTAGGGGACGAATGTCTCAATCAGCCACAGCTTTGCAATCGAAAAGAGCTGAAGTTTCTGACGATGATGGCGATAGCAATGGCGTCAGCTCAGAAGACTTATCTGACGTTGAGCTCGGCGTGCCTGATATCCCACGAAAGAGTTCCAAGAGACAGTCGGCCCTACTGGATGAAAGCATTCAGATTACGCCTGTTGTCAGGGTAGAGCCCGAAATCAGTCCACCTGGAAGTCGGGGATCTGATCGCACTCAGCAAACCGCGTCTAGTGTACACAATGGTGGCAGTGGTGGCGTATCGTTGCTGCCCCGTCTCCCATTTGAGCGGAGAGGTTCCGATCGACGGTCAGACCACCAGCGGCCATCCTCAAAGTCGTCACTCGACTTTCAAGATATGAGAAGCATAGACTATGCAACTCATGGGGATGATCCTGCCGGTTTTGGAACTGTTTCGCAACACAGCATCAACATGATCGATCCTCAGCACGAAGATGATGGACACTTGAGCACTGCTGCGTCTCTTGTAGAAGACGCGCATTCCGGAAAGGATGCTTAGAATGCTACTGATCGGTTTTTACCTGCACTACAACTGACGCCATAAACAAAAGCGAAAAAGACGAGTGGAAGAGATTGATCATCAGCGGCAACAAGCAGCGATCTATCCTTTTTTTTTCTTAGCAAGCTTCGGCGCATACGGTGGCTTCTGCTTTCTGTTTATTTTACTCTCCTTGATTATTTAATTTTTCCTTGTTTACTCTCCTTTTCTGTATAGAGTCGTACAGACGTTGTCCCCCCCCCCCCAGCGAGATACATGAGCGTCATGGGAAGTTCAATATTTTCTCTTTTCTTTTATTTGGTCATCGGTCAAAAGGTTGATACAGAAAAAATTTTCAGGATTCTGTTCAAGGGGGTTTTGCGGTAGCAGGCGTTTAATATTTCTCCTTTGTCTTATAACTCGGTACATTCCGAGCGGGAGGATTTTTTTTGTCTTTTGTTTAAGGCTAGGATGATGAAGCACAGTACGCTTCTGGAGCGGACATGCCCCATGTGTGTATAAGAGTGATTATGAGTTCTTGTTAAGAGGTCACTTCTTGCAAAGGCCTGAAGAGAGGATGGGATGAATATTGGGCATGTAATTAATAGTAGGCCCTGATGCAATGGATGCAATAGCCATACTCTATGTGTTTTGGTCTCTATGTGACGCCAATGACCTAGAAATATCATTTATGAGAAGACAGGAGACGCTAAATACAAAGTATGAAATAGCAGCAATAGCAGAAAAGGCTGAATACACAATACGGTAGCATTCCACCCCATCTGCTGGTAATCTCATCAAAGCACTGGTTTAGGTATACCGAAGGATAAGGGGGCACCACTATGGTGGCTTAATATCACCCAACTCTCTATTTCATTTACTCTATTCAACGAGATTCAGAATATTCTTTGTAGTAGTAGCCCGTAGTTTACAAAACCAACCTTATTTGACACTTACAAAACCAAGTCCCGTTCTGGCCTTCCGAACAGCCCGCTTCAATGCTTGTTCTTCCACATCAGTCCACTTGACGCTCAGCTCATCCCATTTCTTGCCAGGCGTGTTGTACTCTTTGCGCCACTTGGCATGCATCTGCTGCAGCTGGGCCATCTTCCGCGGGTCGCCGGAGCCGCTGTAGATGATGAAGCCTGTGCAGGGTGGGAGGGCAGCGTGGATACGGACAAGGCGTTCGGTAAGCTGGGTGAGAGCATGCTCTAGAGGAGAGGATGTGCTAGATCCGGTCGCGGTGCCGATGGTAACAGTGTCGGTGTCCATTTCGACATCTGCATCTGCTGCAGGGGGTCCGCCATCGCTGTTGGAGTTATCAACGCGATTCTTATTCCACCACCCTTGCAGAGATTCTAGCTCTCGCATCCGGCCCCAAACAAAGTCTACTCCGCCACCCCTGATCACCGCTCCGTCTTCATCACCGAGGACAGCTCGGATAATGCTTGTCGTTACTTCTTCGTCGGACTTGCAACCGAGCTGATATGTGGCTCCCGCTCCGAGACCTTTGCTTGGATCACCCCAATCAACAGCGGCGCTCGTTTTGCCAACTTCGATGCCACCAATGGCGGCGTCACCGCCCTGAGCTTTATAAGCTGTACCAGCACGTGCCAGCCTGCGGAAGAGATTCTCTCCTTGGGCATCGGAAGCGCCCCATAGCTTGCCCTTTTCACATTTCTGTTTGGCAAGATCAAGGCAGGTCTTGGCGTCTTCAATGCTGTTATGCCCCAGGACATCGCCCTTTTGAATTTCTCGAGAAAGGTATTTCTGGGCGAGCCACTTGAGCGAGGACTTTAATGGAGGGCCGCGCGGGTGGGGGTATATGATAGAAGTATCGACAATGAAAGGATGAGCAATTCGGAGGGCTTTTGTGTCTGATTCCAACGAGTGGCCCAGGAGAATGGTGCGTGGATGCAAGATCTCAAGCAATTTCTCCTGTATGTCTCGAAGGGTAGTTGTGACGGGCGCCAGCATCTCCTCTGTGATGCCAGAAAACCGCGTAACGTAGTCGGTAATAGGCTTGTCAGGTTTGACAAGCTCATCCAGCACAACGTCGCCATCCCAGTTGACGAGACTGATGCGGGTCAAAGAGAACTCGCTCTCGCCCGTCATGCACATCTCACAATCCAGCGCCAGGATATCCCTGCCGGCGGTGATGCTGCCTTGTTGAATTTCTGCCTCGGGGACATCGCCGTCCTCAAGTTTGTCGACCTTTGTGACAACGTATCCTTCTGGGGCAACGAAATTGTTTCGTTGCTCTCCTTCCGGGAGAAGAGCTGGGTGGATGACGAAGCCATTGTCTTGCAGTTCTTCAGTGGTGGCTAGAAACTCTGTGATGCATGTCCGCTCATTCTTCCATCCACTTGGCTCTTTAGCAGGCTTCACACCACCTTTCTGTGACGTCTTCTCCTTTGGGGCTGGTGCAGTGAGGAAAGCAGCCATTGGAGAGTGCATCTTGCCGTGCTTGTCATCACCAGGCGTCTTGACAGGCCAGAGATGGGGGAACATGTCCGCAAATGGCTTCAGAGGCTCCGGCAGCGTATCCTTGTCGAGGGTTCGTGGGTAATAATCATCAGGAGAAGTAGCAACATAGGCGTTTGCATCTCCATCTCCGGCCACATCCACATCCGCATCTCTAAGGCGGTTGAATGTCGCGTAGTTGACACCATCCTTGAAAAGCGCCTCCTCCAAACCTGGTATCATGATGGCGACAATCTTCCTGAACTGCGGTCGATGAGTGACTCCAATCCATTGGGGACCAGTACCGTCTGCAAAGATGTAGGTAACGAGATCGCGCAGATTGCTAAGATTAAGCATGGACTGTAGACGAGCCTTGGGCGAGAACGTCAGAGCTGGGTATCCTCCCTTGCCGGGGCGAGGCACCTTCTTCGCCTTCTTCTTCGGTCTTGTGACGGTCTGCCACTCGTCTTTGTCATCCGTCTGCTCCTCTGCATCGTGGGGGCTGGACCTCTTAAGACTGCTGCTTTCACTGTGGTTCAAGGAGGCCGTTTCGGCGGCAGTGTCATCGGTATTTACAGCGTCAGCCATGTTGGAGGCCTTGGACGTCTAGACAATGATCGATTTCTTTGACTGGCAAGATATCCAAGAAGGGCTGGATAGTAACCTGAGTGGGTTTCTTGTAATTTCTGAGAAACGAAGAAGAAGAAATAGATGAGAAGGGTTCTCAGCTCAGACTATGATGAAAAGGTTGATAGAGATCCGAGCCTAGAAAGATAGAAACGGTAGCGCTATTTTTATTCGTAAATCTGCAATCAAGGCGCAAGAGATACCGGAACCGCTCAATATCAGAAGTATGAGAAAACAGCAGCAAAAATACCAGCCAATGATGAAGATGCGTTTTTGAAGTCTGCATAGCCTTAGCGGCTGAACTTTGGCAGGGGTTTCACCAACAGCCTTCCCGTTCTTATCTAATCGCAACTTATTAGTGGACAGGACTCTTGTTTTAGGCCAATCACAAGCCACCATTAGTGCTCAACATCAACATCTCACTGTAGCCTCGCGGCTCCTTACGCGACTCAGCAGAAGTACCAATCCGTCTCATTTGCAAATGAGGCGCGACAGTTATCATCCTGATATCAGCCGATTCAGTTCTCGGTTTTCATATCGCGTTACCTCCAGGCTCTGTATAATTAGACTCAGACCCAATGCGCCGCGTCTCGTAAACCCTCTCCGTCTCCTACAAATCTCATCTCATCCGAGATCCCACAAGGCCTGATGATCATGGATTTGGTCGCCGTGAGATGTGCCAAATGCGATTCCAAATTGGGCAACCTCGCCAATTTATGGACACAGATAGGCAAAAAATACATAACGCCAGTGGCACACGCTGAGGAAAAGGCCGATGCGGACAAGATCTCGGCAACGGGCGCTGTTCGGATTGGCGATGCAGACACTCTAGTTGAGGGCTGGTATGAATAACATCATTCGCTATATTCATATTAAATAAACCCCATTTGTAGGCTTCGATTGCTAATCAAGATTGTCCTCCGGCATAGCGAGCTCCGAGATGCCGAATGTTCAGCATGTCATACAAACATTGGACAGAAGTGCATAACAAGCCCTCCGAATCATATATTTGCCAAGTGAGTGTCTTTTTTCATGAGTGTCTTTTGTCATTTCATTCGTTCAATGTGACGCTAAACGTAGAATAGTGGGCAAATCATATATCGTATCACATCCATATCTCTTAAATCAGCCAAAGACCTCAGGCGTAAGGCTGAACCCAAGATACAACGCACTCTCCCGCTTAGAGGCCAGTCAGCTGCAGCTCAAGCGAAGCTCTCCACCGCAAGCGGCAAGGCAGCGCCTCAGAATGAAACGACTCCCAGTCGAGATAGATTCGACATCATGCAGATCCAAGCAGATTTGGAAGTCCAGCAGGATGAGATTCAGCGAATTGGCGTTGCTGGATTTCAGGTCATGTCCAATTTTGACAGTACTGTTGCGCGCCTTGAAAAGCAGATGCGGCAACTCAGCGAGTCCATCGCAAGCGTTCGAAGAGACGGAGAAGGGCAGCAGGCAGACATCAAGTCCCTCAAGACACAGATGAGCGACGCCAAGCGGAGTGGCCAGAACGATGGCGGCGTTGTTGCTCGCTTGGACCAGCAGCTTCAGACTACGGATAGAGTGGTCACTGAACTTCGGCAAATGATACAGAAATCCAAATCAGACGCCACTGGCCTGCGTAGCGAGCTGAAAGCTGCGCAAAAGGAAATCACAGAGGTGAAAAAGGCAAACGCCCGCCTCAAGCAAGAAGCCGATGAGGCGAAACAGGTGGCACAGGAAGGTGTAGCCACGTCCAAACTGTATGCGTCTGAAGTAGCATCTTTAAGGAGAGAGATTGCACAGTTGCGGTCTGATCTTGCGCAAGAGAACGACCACCATCACTCGTCGGCGGGCGAAGATCCCTCGATCTCGTCCCATCAGCTGGACATCCTCGCTAGCAACATATCCAAGATTGGAAATCGAGCAAGCCAAGTAGAGTCCTTGCAGATGGAGTTTGACCTCTTCAGAACTCGGATACAGCGGTTAGAAACTCGAATGACAAACAGCACGCCCAACCCCAGCAGAAAGGATGTTCGATCAGTTGGAGAATACGGTTCCGTAAATGAGCAAGGCAGCCAGTCTCACTATGGAACGGCCACGCGACAGAAGCGATCAACCATAAGTAGAGATGACAGCCTCCTAATGAACACTACATCTGCGAAGAGAGTGGCACTCTCGTCGGATTACCCGAGCCTTGCCAATGCTAGCTATATTAGCAATGGCGAGCAGCAGCAATCGTCTCCCGGGGCCATGGCTTTGGTAGAGACTCCTGTCCAGCGGCGAACTACAGCCACAGCAAACAAAAGTACTGTAAGGCGCGGGAGATGGGGCGCCAAAACATGAAAAAGGAGTATATTGCTATATATCATCTATTGTGCCTTTTTCTTTCTCATGCGAGAGGGACACTCGTGTTAATACCGTCTGATTGCCCTTTAATTTGCTCTCGATTTACAACTACGGTTATGGCTAGGTCAAAACTCGATTTAAGCAGCAGCATCCCCAAAGTCTCGCTCCAAGACCTCCTTTCCAAGGCTAGCCAAGGTATCTACTTGCTTCACAACAGCAAATTCAAAGAAAGCCTGAGACTTTTCGCTGTTGGGATCTCGCCGCCATTCATCAATTAGAGACGCCTCCTGCTCCCTGCCGGCCAATCTCTCAATGTCATCCAAAAGCGCCTGTGCTTTTACAGCAAGATCCATCTTAGTGCCATACTTGCTTGGTGAATATCTCAGTACCATGATGAGCAGCATTTGGCAGAGCGAGACTTGATCGATTTCTCGCAGGGTTTGCTCGATTTTCTGCTCCAGCAATGCTGTTTTTGAGACTGGTGTGGTTGAGTTCTCCAAGGAAGCCGTTGTTGCAGCGGTATGAGTGAGGAAATTTGCTATGGTGAACAGGCCAGATAGTCGAATCGAGTGGAAAGGCGAGGTATACTGGTACGGATCGCAAGCCGTGGCAATGAGACACGCTACCGGCAGAGCAAAGGTAAAGTTTTCTTCTTCACCGTATAGCATGGATATCCTAAATAGGATGTCTGGTAGTGGCGTGACGGCCCAGAGCTCCTCATCAACCAGAGCCTTGCGCTTTTTATACTCGCTCTTGAGGAGTTTATGACGCTCTGATGGTGACTCGATTTCTGCTAAAGCATTGACGATGGGGTCAGCTGACTCGCTATATTGGTTAATTATGGACTGTTTGCTGGAGTTGCTGGTTGCAGGATGATGGCGGAACTTTGAGATATCTGATACAAGACTCTGGCTGTTGAGGTTGACACTGGGGGAGACGGCTGCGACCTGATAGACGTTGAGATTGTCTCGGCAACGAAGGCATTGGCAAACAAATTTGTAATGAGCCAGTGCTTCTCTTCGTTTGGGTAAAGGATCGGTGTAAACTACGCAATGCGCGTTCACATAATGGTTAGCTTATAGGTACCTACAGTAGTAGTCGAAAGAGAAGGAAACGTCATTGGCACAGGTAGAGGCTCTTCCTTACAGGTATAAGCCAATTCTATCTCATCTCCGGCGCGAATGGGATTCTCGGCAATGAGGAGAGCGTTTCGCCCAATAAATTGGACTGCGGCATTGGGAATGCAGGAGTGGTTTGCCATGGCCAGTGTGGGCTCGAGAAACAAGCCAATGACACCCAAATCGGAGTCAAATCTCTGGAAAGAATTGTTTTGAATCTGACGAAAATCAGAATGCTGCGTTAGCAGAATACTATTCTCCCTTTTCACCATTTGCCATTCATAGTTTTACCTTGCACAGCATCTCAGCTGCTTTCCGAATATCCTCCTCTGCTGTGCCTTTGCCAGAAAACGCACAAGCCGCCATGGCCATGATTTCGATGTCCTTCCACTCTTCACCTTTTGCCGCTTTCTTCTCCAAAACATGGCCTTCTAGACCTTCCAATCCATCTTCAATCTCTTTCCCCAGTATAGCCTGAATCAGCGCTCTAGTTGGCGTCGGCAACCGCCTCCTCCGATCTTCATCTTTGATACCCTGCCGTAACACCTTGCACTCGCGCGAATGGACTGCTTTCCAGGCCGCTGCTTGGCATGTCGCGTCGCAGTATGAAGCCGCGTGGCAGCGGGAGCAGGCACGAGGGTTTCCCGGACGGAGACAGTATGAGCAGACGATGTTGAGACACGAGACGGTGGGGAGGAGGAGGAGAGGAGTGAAGGGAAAGATGACTTCGCCGGGAGAGAAGGATTGGGTTGCGTAGAGGCCGCGGCCTTTGGTGGGATGAGACCGTATTTGGAAGGGTGAAGATGAAGAAGCAGAAGAAGACATATTATTTCTAAACTCGTCTCTCTTATTTCGTGCGTGATTTGCTGGGTATTTCAAGTGCTTGTCCAGAAAATAGATTTTTGGTGTAGATGGGTGAGCCTAGCATTTTTTTCTAGGTGGGTTTGCAAATGTGAGGTTGGAACTTGGAGGGGCAAATGGCTTGAAGTCGCGGCATAGCATATAGGTCAGAACGAATAACGGGACAGCGCAATTCCACATGAGAAGAGAATCCAAGAAAATCTAATTTCTCTATTTGTTTGATATAGAAATGGGAAAAAAGAGTGCCAGAGTGATAGTCGCCGTTTCACCAATGATTGAAAATTCAAGGGTATCTCTATTTACAACTACATGTACTAACAAATCTAAAATATACAACATATGGTGGAAATCTATAGTTCACCATGGTTTGGCGCCTTGCCCGCCGATTCGCGCGCTGCGGCCAGTCTCGTTCGCAGCTCTTTGCTCCAAGCTCCCCTGTTCAACTTGACCATCCTCTCGACGTTATAATCCCAGCACCCGTCATCCAGGGCTGTCTTCGCAGTTTCACACACTGCATTGCTCGACGCCTGACCCTTCGGCCACTGACCAAGCTGAGCGCCCATATCCTCGTCTAAGAAGGTATCTAGCACCAGCTGTCCGACTTTTCTCTGTGCTCCCGCCCATTCCTCGCCTTCTGGGACAAAGACACCCAGGAGTTGCTTCATGCCATCGTTTGCGAGGAAGTCCTTCCTGATCTTGTCGTCTTTGATGAGACCGTTGATGGCTGAAACTACAGCCTTGACTTTTCCGGGAGAATCGCCAGCCGAGGCAATGGGGTAGTAGAAGAGGTCGTGGGTACGGGTGCCATCACGAGGGCACGATTGTTCCATGAGCGGGTCCCAGATCTTGGCCACTTCTTTCAGCGCCGAAGGATTGTTGGAAAGGGCACCCGCGAGAATAGCAGCTGCTTGTTGGCTTCGCGGAGTGACTCCTTTGGGAGTCTCGCCGTCATGAGATCCCATCAAGCAAAACAGTGCCTTTACCACGTCTGAATCTTCGGTGATCTTGAGTCCGTAGTAGATGTCGTGGGATAGTTCTTCCAGCCCTTCAAGGCTATGGTCAAATTCTTCATCGCTCGGGATAACGCCACTCTTGAGCATCTTAAAGGTCTCTGCAAAGGCAATAGCCTCCACCTGTGCCTCTCCTCCTTGGGCCGGCTCCTTCACCTTGCCAACAGTATCGTATTTTGGTGCTCCCTTGGGCACTTGGGCTGTTTCCGGCTGCTCCTGGTCGACAAGTACCACGGCCTGATCAATGGGGAGGCCTTCCAGATCAGGATTTGTTTCGTCGGGTACGTTGATCTTGGCCTCTTTGACTCCTGTCCAGATGTTCAAGCGAACATGGAGTCCACTCGGTAGTTCTTGGTCGTCACGGACTGTTTGGAACTCATCTGTCGGTTGAAAGACTCGAGGATAACATTCTTCGGGATTGGAGGTGTGACAGATCAAATCAGATTTTTCTGACACTGCCTGGGGCGAAGGTTGTGATGATGATGCCGCAACTGGAGCAGCTATAAAAAGCAAGATACCCAGAACCAATGCAAATATGATTGGCAACGACTTGCGTTTAGACCGAAGAGAAGGCATGTTTGGTAATATTTCGAAAGAGTGAATATGAAGTGCAGCTTGAATGTGAGAGTGGTTGCCTGCTAGAAAGCTTTTCCACTTTATCCTCTATGAAGCTGTGGTAAGCTGATGATGAGTTGCAATGGCAGCCTGTCCCTTGTATCCTGGTAGTACTGGGACTGTGTTGACGCCAGGCGCCTGGAAAAGTATGCAAGAAAAGGTATGTTTTCGAAGAAGAAGAAGAAAAAGAGAAAAAGAGTTTACGATTCTATTTCATTAAAAAAACGAACAAGCAGTCTATGAATGAGTCAACGCTTGGAAAAGGACACTTAAGAAGATGGGTTAGGTGGACCTCGAGAGTTCTTGTAAGACGAGCAAAAAACTGTCACTGCGCAGAGGCGAAATCTGGCTTCTGAATCTTGGCGGCATCCCATTGGCTGAAAGGATGACTCAGCAGCATACTCTAGAAACTGGAAGAAAATGGCTTATTGCCACTCACTCAGTTTGTAAGTTCTATCTACGTGTTATTGCGAGCTGTGACATGGCGCAATAGTTTTATGTAAAATGGTTTTATCCATGTGTAGTGTGAGATATAAAACCGCAGAGCGAGGATCGAAATGAGATGCTGGTAATTGCCTGCTCATCGCTGTCCCGGTTTCGGAAACGAAGCCTTGTCCCATACATAGTTCCATGGGGTTGGGAATGGCTCGTGTCTCACATTTTCCAACCACCTGCGGTGTACCATTGCTAAAATCTGAATGCAGAGAAAGCTGTCATGGGGGCGATATCGTCGCTTCCGTAGTAAATTCACGGCGATGGCTGGTTTGTGGCTACAGTTGATGGATATAAACCAAGTCCCTCACTCGGGAATCCTGAGAATATCTGGTCTAATACTTTACTGCAATATCTCTCCCTCCCTGCATTACAAGGCTTTCTTTCCCTTCCAAAACCGAGATAATCTCATTTAAAGAAATTCTTTCTAAAATGTTGTCTTTAGCATTGGTATTCATCTATCTCTTGGCTTGCTCAATATTCGGCGTACAGGCTATGCCCAAGGAAGCTCATTACCTTCGAAGACACGGCTATCTCCACTCTCGAATTCAAGTGCCCAGCCTACGTCTACCCCGATGGCCCAGGATGAACGAAGCGGTGCAGAGCCCAGACTCCTGGTCAAATACCCGTCTTGAAGAAGGCTTAACATACAAAAACGCTTATCTTACCGAAAAACACTTTTTGGAAGACGAAACGGGATTGTATACTTTATGCGATGAGATCTCGAGCCCCTTCTAGGTATCGGGTGTCTTAAGAATTGGGAAATACATATTGAATGTTTGGTGTAATTATCATGATTTATCGGTGCGAGTTCGGAAACCATATCACTCTTCTTGTATTTTTTCAGGCATGGCATGCAATTGATTTCTCTTCTCACATTAACCTCAATACGAAGAATTGGCTCGATTTGCAATGTGATCAATCGCATGTGCAAGCCTCCTAAAGAATTTTTGTTATTCATACTGTGATTTATTACCTAATGCGTCGCCGGAAACATTCGCTCTGAGCCAAAACGCGGGCAATGCTTAAGCCCCGAGCCCATTAGAAATCCTCCTCGCAGCAGTCGTGAGACAGTTGCCGATTCAAAACATCGCACGGCCTGGCGCCTCTCCCAATCGCATAGCAGCGCTGCGCTCCAATATATTGAATGGGTCGGGTCCTGTTCTAATAAATCGATTGAGGTCACGCGTTCTCCTTTCCTCGAAGCTCTGCAACTGTTAAGAGTCAAGCTTGTGTCACGATACAGATTCTGACATAGCAAAGAAGAAAGAAAAGACTATCTGGGTCATTGGAGTGTCAATTTAGGCTCAATCTTTCTCCTCCTCTTTCTCCTTCTTCTCTTTTCACCCTCGCTAGTACCTAATACGAAGGAAGCTTATTTAAGCTACCCTTTCCGATTTATCGAGCTCGCTTGCGACCAGACGAGATCTCTGAATGCTGCTCTAGAGATCGCGATTCTCTTGTGCGCCGCACTCCTTTCTTTTCCACCATCGACGCGCGCACACGCACACCAGCACTTACAACAAAACTGCGACAAGATGCCATCCCCACGACGAATGCGCCTCCTCATGGTGGCGGTGGTGATCACGGTCGTCTTCGTCCTGTTCTACAGCTCCGGCATGCAGCCCGAAGCCGATGCCAGCCTCAAGGGCTTCTACGAGAAAACAAAAGACGCCATGGAGCGAGGGGCGGCGCGAGGGCAGGCAGTGATCAATTCCAAGACGGGAGAGAAGGCGGGCCACATACCTGCCGACAAGGACGGCGACGGCGACATTGACAACGACGACAAGGTGGCGGCGCAAGAGCTCCAGGAGCGGCTGCAGGCCGTTGCGCAGGAGGCAAAAGACAAGGCCAACGAGAAGAGCCCTAAGCCCGACATGCCTAGCAAGATTATCGGGGTGGGAAGCTCAGCCGAGGGGCAGGAGAAGAAGGGCCAGGTCAAGGTTGGCAGCGGTAGCGGCAGCGGCAGTGGTGACATTGGAGAGAGAGTCAAGGCCGAGACGACACGGGAGGAGACAAAGGAAGAGCACGAAGCCGAAGTCGAGATCAACAGCATCTTGAAGAAATCACCGGGTAAGCAGGCTATCCTAATGCCGTCTCTGCATAATCACCTCTGATTGCTAACCTTTATATGTGTGCGCCCGTTCAGTCATCATCTTCTCCAAGACTTACTGCCCGTATTCGAAGCGTGCCAAGGGCATCCTCCTCGAAAAGTACGCCATCACGCCCGAGCCTTTTGTCGTCGAGATTGACGAGCACCCACTCGGCCCTGCTCTCCAAGACTACCTACAAAAGAAGACGGGCCGCAGAACGGTTCCAAACATCCTGATCAATGGCGTGAGCATTGGCGGCTCCGACGATATTGTTGCGCTGGACAACGAGGACAAGCTCGTGGCCAAGTTCCGCGACCTGGGCCAGGCACGCGTGGAGATTTCCGAGCGCTTTACCACTGGCGCGCATCAGTAAGATGTGCGAACTAGTAGTAATTAGAGAAAGGGTTTCTTCTTTATTCTTGCTGTCTCTGGCCTTTTGCTGCTTGGATCGAAGCTGAGAGTGCGGCTACAAATAATATCGGGGATTGATACTACATAGGTATGCATTGGGCCAGCCAGCAGGGCCCTGGAGCTATTGGCGTGGCCATAATGCAGATTGTCAAGTACGCATATCTGGAGTTTTTGGCGTTTCACAGCCGCGTTTAGGTACGAGTAATCTTTTGTTATCACGGTACATTACTATTTAACGGCAGGGAAATGGGGTTCGAATTTGAAAGTATTTATTCATTTGCTTGCTTGCGCTTAAAGAGGGAAAAGATGGAAAAGCGGGAGGAAAGCCGGGTCACGATTGTTGGCTGAGTGTTCCAGCTGTTTAAATTCAAACTGTGATATATCAACAGCTTAGCTCCAAATTGGCCATGCGTACTTGCATTCGGCATTTGACATGAAAACTCTCGAGATAAGCCGTGGGTGAGGATGCGGTCTCGTCCCAGATAGCGTGATCTCTTGCATCTACTAGTGAGGCATCATGGCGGTTAATATAGGAAAGGGCAAAGCATCAGCGTGCCTTCTCTTCTTGGGTCCAGTCCTCTGAAATCGCGCACCCACTCTTCTTTCTCTCTTCTTTTCCTACTTCTCTTCTTCATCTTCATCCTCGCCCCCTTCTCATCGCCCATTTCTCTCCAGCAACACCTATTACAGCGGCCGCAGCACAGCATCAATCCAGTCTCAGTCACCGGGGCTTCAAGCCAAGACGGCACCGCTGACCATTCTCTTACCTATTTATCCAGACAAGCCCAGTCGCTGGCGCCTGTCCGCCAAACGCCACCAAGTCCGCTACAGCACGGTCTCGTCCCAGCCCCGCAGGCGCTATCTGTTATCATCCAGCACGAAAATGGTCCCCCACCAGCTGCAGGGATCCGCTGCAGCACTTCATGTTCGAGGCGCCTGAATGGACGGCGCCGTTGCGTTTATCAATGGCTGGGGTTAGGCCTGGTTCATGTTGTTTAGCTGCCGGATCCTCCAGGTGGCAGCGGTAGCAGCAGGTGCAGCGGCGCATCTGGTGGGCGGGATCAGGGTGCTACGATGACGGAAGAGCCAATGCTGAACGACGTTACGGATACGCCAATCATCACGGGCGAGATATGGCTGCTATACAGGAGAGAGAGCCAACACTGATGGACGGTCAGCAGGGCAATGACGGGAGTCCCAGCCAGGCAGGAAGCGGCAGTGTGTCTCGTGTGTGCCACCCCATACACGCAGCACTGGAGAATGGAGAAGACGATGGGAAAAAGCGTGGGGATGGCCGGTAAGCCGCCTGCTGGCTGCTTGGACAGCTGAGGCCATGCCCAAAGCAGCCCCGGCCCAGACTAGGATTCGCGAGCACAGTGACCACACCATCAACCGCGAGCTGAGCCTACAGTACAAGTGCTACGAGTATTATCTATGCTATTTATCTCTCGTCCTCTAGCCTGCTATTAGTCGTTAGCAGGCAGTTGGGCATCTCAGCGCAATAAGAAGAGCCTGGGCGCGCCACCCCCTCACGTTTTCCTCTCTTTCTTTCTCTACAATTGCCAGTTCAATCCACTGCCACAGCCAAGCTTGAAAACATTCATTATTTTTCAGCGCTTCTTGTGCTTTCCGATCTTGTTAGTGTCTAGGGAATTTCTTTTACAAAAGGTCCCCGTTTAGCGCCGCACAAGTGGCCATCAAGCAGCTGCCTCTATCTTTTTCTCGATATTGACACACTCCACGGCACTATTCCGTACGCTGTACCTGTTCGGTCAAGAGACGGTGGCTCACCGACCGGCGCTCTCGTTCCGAGTCGCATCATCAAGCTGCAACCTTGCGTCAATTGGCTTCGCTACAGCCTATTTGACCCTTGAAGAAATACTACGCATCCTACGCTGGGTTATATTGCCTTCTCTCACTCATACGCCTGTATACGCGCATAGACAGACATTCCCTCATATACACAATGTCTGACGCTCCCGCCAATACCACCTCTGCCTTACGGCGTCCCTCCACCAGCTCCGACACATCCTCCCTCTCCTCGGCCTCAACCGCCTACACCACTTACTCTTATACCAAGGAAGGCCAGCCGCTCCTCGATATCCACGAGAGAAAAGTAAAGAGGGGACTGCGCCAGAAGGCTCGCGACATGGTGCACGACATGGGCAGCCCACCCACTGCGCGACAAGATGCCAAGGACGGCAAAGAGACGCTCAACCATGCTCCATTGGGCGGCATGATAGGCGAACCCATGATGAGGCCAGGCAAGATTTAGATGGACACGTCTTGGGCTGGCTGGTAATATCTGCCTGTCTGTCTATTGGCTGGATTGGGAGGTTACCGTTGCAGTGCAGTGCTGTACTTGGACAAAAAAATTATTACGATGGAAATGAATCTGAAAAACGGTCTCGGCGTTTGTTCTTGTCCGATGGTTTAATGAGGCTTGTTTGTTTTTTATGTATCTTTGCAAATTTAAGTCGGTGAGCGCTATGGCTACTGTTTATTATCTTATTACTTGGTTCTCTCTTTGGAATGAGAATAGCAGTGTGAACTTGACTTTGTTGGATTCACATGCAGTAACATTAAAATTGGTATGAAATGTCGCATGTAGATATACATGACTATCCAACCCATCCATCTGAGCATCCATCATGATATCAAATGCTCATGCACGTAATTGCTATATCTGTTATGTAACCAAGATAGAATTGAAAAAGAAAAAAAAAAGGGGAAGAAATCCCGAATGATTACCCGAATCCCACAACCATAGATAGACCATCCCCTTCCTGGGGAAAAAAAACCCCCCGCCAGCGTAGTCCAGCGCTGCGATTCTATAAATCCTAAAAAAAATACCCAAATAAAGAGCCTTCCCAGATATATCGCCCGGTGCCCAGTTCGACGCATCCTCGTCAAACCCGTCTGATGAAAACAAAATATTGAAATATATAGTTGAAACCAAACTTCTTACCCAACGCCGAGTGCCATTCAAGTCTCCAAAAAAAGGTAACCTTTCATAAAAAGCTCTGTGTGTTTACTATTTGCTGTCCGATTAAACTCTCAGATTATTTTCGTTATTTCTTTTCGTAGCTGTTGAATTCTCAATGAATGGGAGATATTTCTCATTCTATGAGTTGATATGATTATACACTGTCACCGTGTTCCTGTTCATGGTGGTACCGGTATATCTGTTTCGCCTGCCATGAAGTGCTCAACGGCATCAACCCCAACTTGCCTACAAGGAATTGTTAGCCTCCAGAAACCTCAAAAAGCCGAAACCAATATCAAACAAGAGAGAAACGAAGAGGAACAACTGGTAGTCAAAGTTTCAGGGCAACTCACGTTGTCAGCATCAGCCTCGTAAACTCATCCATGTCATCCGGCCGAGCATACATCCAAATCTCTTTGAAGCTCATATCCGTGACGCAGTATTGCGGCTTCTCGCGCCACGCGCGGAAGAAATCCACCGAGGAGGTGGCCTCCCAGAGATGCCGCGAGGCCGTGAAGCTGTGGCCGTCTTCCCAGAACTCTGGAGGGGCTGTTATTAAACCATACTCGTCAACTTCCTGGCTTACACGCGAAAATTTGATGGGAACACGAACCTTCTTCTGACTTGAGGACGAAGACGAGACACATTATGGCAAAGGAAATCATGATGGTCCGCCTTGTGCATTCTACCATGATCCAGCTCTAGAGATAAGAGGAGAAAAGTCAGTATGTGGGCCAAGATAACGACATGGTTGCTTTTTCAGTGATGCTGAACTCACATCCCAGCTCTTTGGTGGCTTGTCTCTCATCATGTGCGCTGATGCTGGCAAGCCTTCTTCCAGCTCATTCTTGACCGCTATCAAGTCCTTCACCCACGCCAAGAACACGCTCATCTCTCTCTCCGCCGCGGCCCTCATGCCCAAATCACCATCAAAGATGCGCATCGAGTTCAACAGCAAAAGGGCCTGCACTCTCGCTAACCGATCCGCGTGCGTCGTGGCTCTCTCGCCGTCACGATGGACTTCGCGTACGGCATCCAGCAGCACCTTTAGCGTCCACCCCTTGGTCTGTGGGGTTTGAGAAGAGTATGCCGTGGCAGCGGAAAACGCCGTCAGAATTGTCTTGGGCAGCTGTGAGGACCAGAGGCGAGGGTGCAAGAATGGCGCCTCACGACGCTGAGCAAAGTCTCTGTACATGTGGGAAATGGTCTTGACGATGAAGCCAATCTTGCTGCGGGGGTCGTGAACCTGGCAGACATCGGCTGGAATGCACTGATCCTCGTTCTGGAGGATAGAAAGATCACGGATAGGCTGTGGTGGTTGTAAGTGCTGCGAATGTGACGATTGCGGCTGTTCTGTCTGTAGTGACGGCGCGATGGGAACGGGAGGCAGGTCCATCTTGCCACTGTCTCCAAAGCCGCTCAGATCCCACAGACCACCGTCACCTGTGCCGGTCCCATTCATCAAGTCGACAATGGAGAAGCCCAGGTCTGCGTGAGTGTGATGTGAGTGGGGATCGCAGCCAAGCCCCATGCTGGCATCCTGCTGGAGGCTCTCCGGGCTGGTGTTGGTGCCGGTTGTGGTGCTGAGGCTCTCGATATCAAAGCTCATGTCGAATTCGGGAGGCATCTCTGGTGTGGTGCAGCTGCCCTCAACGGTTGATACTGAAGCACACGAGGGGATCGTTGTGGCGGTGGAGGCCCCGGCTGGAGACTGTTGCTGATGCTGGAGTGGCTGCTGGTGCTGTTGCTGTGGTTGCTGTTGTTGTTGCTGTTGCTGCTGTGGTTGACGCTGATAGACGCAATCGAGTCCTTTGGCCGCACATCGAGTGCATCGCGGCGTGCGCTTATCGCAGCGTCTCTTGCCGCGGACGCAGGCATTGCAGCTCTTCTGGCGCGAGGCCGCAGAGCCGCCGTCAGCGCTGATGCGGTCCATCTTGCGCAGACCCGAGCCGATGCTGCTCAGCGAGCTGCTGTCTGTGCCGCCAGTAAAAGAATCCATTGGCCTAGGAGGGGGGGGGGGAAGGTGAAAGAGTTGCTGTAGATGTGCTGTTGCTGTTGCTGCTGATGCCTATCAAGCGAGATCATAGACGGCACTACCAAATCTCCGCGCTACGCCAGCAAGCGACAAAGAGACCAATTGTGGAAGAATAAAAAGCAACAGATGATAAAGAGATGTGATAAGGAGAAGAATGAGACGATGTATGAGAATAATAAAAGAAAGTTTGGGCGAGTGAGTAGCAGTTCCAAGAAACAGAATGATGGGAAGGAGTTAGGGAACAGATTATCGCCGGCGGGACGATAAGATCTAAGAGGACGCCGTAGTCGCGGAAACTCTAATACTGCGGCGCGCTCATTCGGCAAGCTGTATCTTTTCAGCTAGTAGCCGCAAGATGTAGGAAAATAGAGAGAAAAATAATCCCAAAAAAACTTGGTAGATCTTAGAGTAAACAAGAAAGACGAAGAGGAAAGAGAGAGAGAAAACCTTTCAAATCCAATTGGACTCTCAAAGACAGAGAAACTCTACGCCATCATGTTACTTACAAAGACAAAAAAGGAAACCAGGGTCCGGCGTGCGTCAAAACGCAAATTCCCCGGTGACTGAAGCTGAATCCGCACCCGAGAAACCACGCCCAAGTCCGCAAGTCCGCCAAAAGCCAGCTCCGCAAGTCCGCCGCCTTTTCTTAACAGTCCAAGCCTCAATTTGTATGAGGCTTAGAAGGGGGCATGGCAGCAGACGGGCCGCAATCCGAAACTCTTTTTCTCCTTCTCTTTGCTGACGGCATTTTACCAAGGACGGCTAGGAAAGAAAGAAAAGGAGTCAAGAACCAATTTAGTTTCCTTTACAAAAGTCGTGGAAGCCATGTGCTGCGTGTCTCTCAGGTACAGAGTCAGTATTAGCGTCGACGTTTTTAGCTGCAATGCAACGACGACCAACTCTCCCCCCACACTTTGGCTCTATGCAATCTCTCTTGAGCATCTGCTTCATCCTATTTATTAAGTGACGCGTCTTGCGGATTTTGACAAATTGAACAGAGACTAATATTGCTAGGACACGATTCTTTCGATTTAAGAGTCAAACGGTCTGATGTACTTGCAGCTGATGAATCACCAGGCAACCATTAGCCACTTAAGACTACACCCGCACTCTACCAAATCTCACCATCAGTCAGCATCAGTCACCATGGTCCGTTACATTACATCACGTCAAATATCGAAAAGCGTCTTCGAATGAACAGGTTTCAAATGATCTCATACAGAAAAACCGACATACAGTGACCTAACCAGCAACATGCATAAGTGTTGCTCTCATAGTTGCCACCGGAAACGCAAAGTACCAGGTTGCCATTACATCTGATCGAATGGCATGCCTCCCAATTCCCTCCCAAGCTTTCTTAGCAAATGGGTATATACCACTATCATGGCCCTCGCGTCTTTAACAATCAAAGCGTATCTGTCCCTTTTATAAAAAAAAAATCCATGAGCATGCCTCCCAGTTTCCTTTCCCCTTTCCTCCCCTTCCACCGATTCTTGGCAGCCCGGATGAGGTAAGCTTTTGATTATCCACTGCCATATTTTGGCGAAACTCAAAGACAAATTAAACGCCTCCCTGACCAGATTGAATCTGGTACGAAAACCACACAATTTCCAGTGGGTTTTATGACAAGAATTGAAAAGAAAAAAAGAAGGAAAAAAGAAAAAAGAAAGAGAAGAGAGAAAGAGAAGAGAGAGAAAAAAGACTGGAAGGTAAGAAAAAAAGAACGAAAGAAAAAAGATAAACAAATTGTCAGGCCAAAGAAAAGGCGGCCAGTATGGCTGCTTTTAGAAAAGCTGCCGGTCTCCGTCGCAATTATACAACGGCCTCCAAGATAGAAATCTAGAAGGCATTAACGATCAGAGAAAGAATCGAAAAGAAAATCAACGTTCTAATAACACAGATTAAAGCCAAGGCTTCAAATATTGATCAGCAGCAGCTATATCTTTTTTTTTTTTTTTCCACATCTGGCATCCGTGGTTTCCTTCTAGTCATAGAGTGGCTAGACCGTTCAAGTCGTGCCTTCTTTACACATGTTCACTCAATCATGTGAGCACGGTGAAAGGCATGGAAAGCGTAGATGCTCGTGACCAGGGCGCAATCGGTAGGTCGATCAATAACGTCTTTGCTAGTAACGCTCTGGTCGGTACCCATTAGATCGTGGTGCCTCATACTGCACACCCGTCATGGAGTCAGGGCCATTCTGGATGCCGTTGTTAAGAGACCGGAGAGGTGGCAGCTCAGTCCGGGGAGCACTTGCATAGTGATCAGGCGAGTAACCAGGCTGGCTAATGGGCGCAGAAGGCGCCGCTGACTGGCGATTCAGCTCTGACTGGCGATTCAGCTCTGACTGGCGATTCAGCTCTGTCTGGCGATTCAGCTCTGTCTGGCGATTCAGCTCTGTGAGGCGACCCAGCTCTGTCATGAGCTGGGTGTTGTCCATTCGCAGTCCTGACACCTCTCGCCGTAGCATTTCGTTCTCGGCTATGGTCGCGTTATAGTGATTTTGGAGCGCTCGAACGTGCTCAGCCTGTCTTTGATGCTCCGCAATGGCTAGTAGCTTGTTAGTTTGGGCAAAATTCATACAAGAGAAGGGTCTACAAAAACGAAGAAGGGGGGGTGGTGATTAAATGTTTACCTTTTGTGAGAATCTCCCACTTTGAAGCCTTTGAGCCACGCTCCTGCGGCATCAAATCGCGTAGCTGATCAAACAGCTCCTTCATCTCGGTTCTTCGCTTTCGCTCAGCCAGTTTGTGACTTACTCTGAGCTCAGGGGTTCGGCTATAGGGCTGTGATCCCGTGGCTCCGTTACTCTCCTCAGCTTGAAGATCGGCAAGCTGCTTGTGCTGCATGCTATGGTGGTGCACAGGCGGGAACTCGGATGAGTTCATGCGGGAAAACTCAGCCCCATCTTCAAGTCTGCGCTGGCCCGGCGGCAGCCTGGACTCGGTGGTAAACTGGCTGCTAGCAATAGACTCCGTAATGCTACTACGACGCGATAAATCGTATGAAGATTGGTTATTGGCTTTATCATCTTCCTCCGCCGGGAAAGCCCACGCCTGACCCTTAGTCGGCTCGGCAGCACGGGCGATATGGCCAGTTGTTGGTCCAGTGATTGTAGGGGCAGTCCTAATCACCTTTGTCTCTGGGTTTCGTTCAGCACTAGGCTGGTAGCCATTTGAAATTCTATGGTGGGCAAGAGCCTCCAGACCGGGCCTGGGGTTCCGCTGCGCATGGAGTGTGTTTTGGATGGACGTCGAAGATTGATTGTTGCTAGTGTACGGAGAGCCTCCCAGGCGCATATCACTAAGGCCCTGGTTGATTCTGCTGTCCACGCTTTCACGTCGGCTGGCCGCATTATTAGCGAGCCCTTCTCCCAGCATTGGCCCTGAGAAGTGGGGTGTATCTAGCGAGGTTGGTCGGTCGAATCTTCGCTGGTCGGCGCCGTTGTGAACAATGGGAACATTGCTAGGAGAAACCATCGAGGCCACGCTCATGTTACTAGCAGAGGGGGAAACAACCGATTGGGGCAGCATATTGGTGGCTACAGGGGAAGGCGTCTTGTCAACTGAAGAATAGCCAGATCCGGCAGGGCTGAGTCCAGGAACCGTAAAGGATGCTGCTGAGGTATCTATTCAGCAAATTGTGAGCAAAACAAAGGAGGGAGGCTTTTTGAAACTTCAAACAAGCAGACTTACGCTTGCTAGAGTTGTCGTGGGTGGAATAAAATCCAGAATCGCGAAGTTGAGGGGCGGCTGCGGTATGGGAAGGTGCTCGATCGTCTGTGTTAAGGATGTTGTTGAGGCCGGCCGGCTTGGTGGGCAGCATTCGCTGCGGTGCCTGCGCTTCCATCCTAGCCGTACAATACGATGGAGACTATCGCGAAGTCGGGCGCGCAAGGGAGGAAGTGTAAATATCGCCAGCAACTCGTGGACGAGGTCCAAGGCCAAAGGCAGACTGGCCGCGCCGGTTCGAGTTGGTGACTCTGCAAGTCTGATCACAGAAGACGCTGTGGCGTACGATCGAGTCGATGAGAAGACCAATGTTTGGTTCCTCACGGTGATAGACAAACACGGGTAGAGAATTGGCGAAGTGCGGGTTCCTTTGGCAAGCGAGCGCGAAGCGAACCTCTCGCTCAGGAAGAGGCGCGAGCAACACACTCAGCAAATTCGAACTCGAAGGGGGCTAGAAAGCAGTTGTCGCTAATCTGAAGAAGTGTACTGAATAGCAAGAAAAAGAATAGAGTGATGCAGTAGACGTTCTAAAGGGTATAAAGTAAAAAAGCTCGACTTGAATACTGGTGGGAGAGAGGAAGACGAAGAGGAAAGTGAAGAGAGGGTAAAGTTGGGATGTGAGATTTGGAACTAGAATTTTGGGGGATCGAAAGAAAAGCCCGGATAGTATAGGCGAGGTGGTCTGCCAGTGTACTTGTAGGGGCAAGGCTAGATAGAAGAGCTCTGGTACCAACTCGCAAGGGCTCAGGGAGTGGAAAGTACCTGTACCTGCAAGAATGCCACTGACAGCAGAGGAGCCAGCCTCGAAGGTACCTTTTTGTTTCTCAGAGCCACCTGCAGAGTATCCAAGTCGGTTGGTACTACTAGTAGTAGAGCAGCCACGAGCGCATTGCAATTAGCAACCAGATACTTTTGCATCCACACAGACGCAGCACGGGGGAAACGGGGGAGGGAATTGGAGACTGGGTCCAGCGAGGCCTTGGCCAGGATCCAGGGGACATCCACAGCGGGTACCTTGTACGAGTGCGTGCAACAACGGAGCAAGCAGACCAGGACAGGACGGGCCTGCAGCGACTTGCGGTGCTACTGCCAGTAGCAGGAGGTGCGGCGTACACGCGTGTCTCGGCCCCAAGCCTGCCCGGGGTAGCAGTACTTGGCCTGCCTGTACCGCCTGCCAGGATGATATCCAATGATATTCGCGGTGCTACAGAACTACCAACTTCGACTATCAGCGGCAGCCATAGTCTACATTTCACAGAGATCAAGGCCCATCCAGCACTGATGCTCTGCCCACAGGACTGGGGCTGCTACCTTTGCGTCCACTGTGCCGTAGCACAACTCAAGATATGTGGGCGCGGCTGCTGCCACCACCACAGAAAACAGGCTTGAGGCTAATAACACCGAAAAATATCGGGAGGAGGGGAGCCACAAAGACACACAGACCACAGGCCGCAGATGGGATGTGCAAGCTGGTTTCTTGGGGAAGCCAAAATCAAAGGCATGGCGCGCGTTCGAATTACTCCTCTGTAGGTACCTCAGGCAAGTATGGAGTACGACCACTCGACTCGCTCGCTGGTGCTACTCCAGACTGAGAGTGGAAGTCAATGCAAACAAATGCAGGCAACCAGGGACTAGCAGCTGCAACTACAAGCAGCAACTCGTGCGCACGGAAGCCATCCATACCTGAAGAGTACAAGTTCGAGTTTAGTTGTTCTACCTTAGTTCGAATAGCGGCAGCGATTTTATACACACGCCCTCTAGGCACTGTATCCCCTGCCCCCGGAGTGGTACCCTACTTGCCTGCTACCCTAGGTACGCAAACGTGTGGTAGATATTCGTGCCTGTGCTTGTGCCCGTGCTTACAAGTAGGTAGACATGCTCGAAGGGCCTTCCTTGTTCTCCCTGGAGGCTGACACGGATATTTACAGTATACTCTTTGAAGCACCACTGGCAGCTTGAGGTTGTGCTCAGTGCCATTGGGGCAGATCTGGCAGCAGGCACAGCAACTGATACTGTATGAGCCCAAGAGGGGGCGCCTTCTGTTGCAACGGCAAGCCCTCGAGGCCCTTTGCCAGCTCGCGGCGCTTCCGGGAAGCTGCTTGCGGGAGGATTCAGTTTCAAGCAGAGCCTGCCAGTGGCTGGGCTGTAGGGCCATGATGTGTCGCTGCAAGGCGCCTCGTTGTGGCGAGGGGTCCAGGCCAAGGTTGCTGTGCCTTTTAGCAGTCCAATAACCGTGCATCCAGCAAAGGGGCAGTTTGTGGCCAGACTGTGGCATGAACCATGATGCTGGTGGTGGCGCGCTACCTGGCGCTCACAATACTATTAGGCCCTATTGAGCCACGAGCTGAAAGCCTCGCATCTCCCTGGCTGCCCTCTGTCACCGCCACGGCGTCTCTGTACTGGGCTGAACGGGCATCGAAACGGCAGCATGGCGGTCAGTGGCCTCGACATGATCCTCGAGTTCCACCCGCAGCGCAGGCTCTACCACACTCCAGATTCGACATCCGTCCCATGTCAGGCCGTAGGGCTAAGTTCCCCGATAGAATGAGCACCTCCGTCCGTGTCGATGGATGGCAGCGCTAGGCTCGATGCATCTCCGGCGCACGAGGGTTTCGCACAGGCACAGGCAATCCGTGCATGTGAAGACGATTGGCCCGGCTGCGGACGAACCTGCTTGGATGCCATGTGCGAGCAGATGTTCTTCTGCAGGCGGTGTCGCACTGACTGCCGCCCAGGTCGCTAACGACGACGCAACGCCCAGTTTCTTACGTTCTTGTGGTCTCTTACCAAAGACGGAGTCAAAGAGCCTCTTGTTCGCGGAGGGCCAGTCAGAACTGAGCAACATGTATGGGGAACTGCTCCATACCCGATTGCCACCGCCAACCGCAAAACACGTGTTTAATGCCAGTGCCTCGAGCTCCGTTGAGGATCAAATACGGGACGTGGATCGGGAGGACGGGGGTCTGGCTATAATCGCCGATGGAGGTAGCAACCGCAAGTTACATCTGCGACACGTTTCGCCCTGGACGGCACTTGCGCTTGGAGCAAGGCAAAAAGGGCCAGCTCCACTCCAAAAAAAGAAAAAATTGCCATCCTCCGTGCTAAATCGTGCTAGCAGCCGAGCCAAGCCAAGCCAAGCCAGAATCATTGAGACGAAGCCTGAGTGGAATTGAAGCAGAGACAGCAGCGGTACGTATCAGCATGGCGGGAGGCTGGAAGCGAGCGAGAGTCTCGGTGATGCCACACACGGGAAAGGCACCATTTGTTTATTGTTTCTTTGCAGCAAGATGCTTCCGGATTTACTCGCTAACGGGTCTGATAGAGATGGCGTTGTGTCAGCGTTTGCCTGAGGCGTGGATACAGCTTCGCCTTGTACTCCATTTGGCCCTTGCAAAAAGCTGGCAGCTGCTCCCTGCAATTGCAGCGTCTCCCATTTGGCAGGTGCAGCACGGCAGGTCACCTCTCTAGGTACCGTAGTTTCGAGCTATTGACGTCTTTATTCTTCTTCTTCCACTTGGTCGACTTCATCTTGCCTCATCACATTGAGCACTGCGTGTATTTGGCCATATCCATGCCATTTAGAGAGGCGGCAAGGCTGCTTCCGTCCAAGTCCTGGCGATCTCCCCGTCTCCATGCCTATACGGGGAAAAGAGAAATCGCAGGGCAGCTCCAAAGGCCCCATCAGCTAGGCACAACGGGCTTGGAGAGATTGCCATCCGCTTTTCGATTATTCGCTGCATAGCACCGCTCCTCAATATCTCGAGCCCATGGAAACAGAGAGATAGCAAGCACGTATGCCGCCGGCATTTAGTACCAACCAAGCCTCGCTATCTTAGCTTCATCACATGGAAAAGAGTTAGCGGTCGCAACATTTACTAATAGACTAAGCAGGTACCTATCTTCTAAAGATTTGCTACTGATTTTCTCCATGTGCAAGTCGGAAAGGGGGATAGCCAAACAAAGATACATACGAGTAAAGAAGCGAACGACAGAAGACGTAATACAGCGATTCGTCGCCTGCTACCGAGCATACCAGCCAACTATTGACACGCCCCTTGGGCATCCAGACCGTTGTGCGGGCGCAAACACGTTCCTCATCCGCCAAGCTGCGAGAACGTGATTCCAACCCCAGTGGCAAACCCAATTTATACGCGCCAGAGTGAGCCCTACAATGCAGAATCGGAATGGACACCGAAGCCAGAAACAAAAGTGTCTATCTTTAGTCGAACGTGCAACGAACGGGCCTACATATACGGTGATGACGGCATAAATTGCCCAATACAGTCCAGAGTACCTCGCAGCAGCACTGCCAAATGCGATTATGAAGACTTCACATAAAGTGCCTACACGCTACAGTATGCAAGACCACAAGGTACCCTGCAATGCCCGTTGTGACGGTCTGTTCAGCCATTTGAACGCCGTCTTTGACAGCCCATCCAAGTCGTTTGGTCGCGCTCTCAGCAACCAGACTTGGACGAGAAGGGGTGGAAAACCCGCCGGGGTGATTGGCTAGAGTGCCCAGGATGACAGGCCTTGGGGCAAACCGAGCCAGGGCTCCTCGTGCCGCTGTGGATGGGATTGACTTGGTGTGTCCACAGGTCCACTGCAGCGTGCATATGCGCGATCTTCCGCCGCCACGTGAGACTCGTTCGGCCGCCGCTCTCATTGGGCGTGAAGGATATCGGCCATATTACGTCGGGGCCGGAGATAGCGAACTTCGGGGGATAGTTACGCTGACCAACAGGCAAAATGGGGAATCTCGGTGGTTTATCGAAACCAGCTTCAACGTGCCACAGGATCGTCAAATATCACCTCAACTCGACGGAGCACAAGCCGCTTCATTGCTGACGCATTGGCCACAAGTGGTATCTGCATACTGCTGCATCGCGCATACTTGCAGCTAGCACAAGTCCGTACTTACGCATTGAAACATAAGCCCACACGATGCAAGTCATCAAGATGAAGAAAACAAGGCAGCACAATGGGGGAGGTACACTGATGGCTTCGTTTTATCGACTTACAGCACTATGTCGCGCCAGAAGAACCAGAGGCTCGCTGGAATGTTCTTGGGCGCTTACGCTGCCCTCTGGGTGGTGCTAGCAATAACGCTCCGTACCAGAAAAACGGAAGCGGAATGCATGCGGTCTTGAAGTGATGAAACGGCGCGCCTCTCGGCGATTCGTCAGAGGCATAGCGGCGCTTATGGGGTGGGAGAAGCTTATAATGGCTATGGAGCTGTGTGGCACACCATGCCAACAAGTGTCAAAAAACCTCGTGGCTCGGCAGTCTAGCATGCCCTGCACCACTTACTCAGGCACCGCACTATCGTCTTTCGGCTCAGCCGGTGTCAGTCGTTTAAGCATCGGTCGAACCGTAGCTTTCGACACAGCCCAGCCCTGCCTTGCAGTCAGAAGCGAACTCGCAAGGCGTGGAAAACATCCGGAAAGAAGCATACTCCGCAACTCGACCGTGGTTATGAACAAGATGGCCAAAATTGACCGACGGCAGAGCAAAAGCTTGTCCAGAACACTCTCTTATTGAAAACAGGTACTCCGTGGTGCAAGATCAGTGTATGGCTTGATGCTAAGCAGGGCCACCTATGCCCTGCCGTCTCGTTCTCCTTTTGCTTTTAGTCTTGTTCCTGTTCATGGTCCGTGCGATACAGTTACCTTTTGCTCAACTCCCCAAGGTCCACTCGATAGCTCGTCAAGCCCAGTCCCACCTGGAGAGTGTATGTTAGAAAGGTATCCTTGCAAGTTGGCGTTTCTATCGATTCATCCTACAACTCTACAACCCACGAACTTTTCGCCTGTGCAGGACGCATCACACACAAACAGCTTGGAGCTAGTCTGATAAGATTTCACCGCATGGTTTTCGGATGGCTTGTACAACGGCGATGCGGCGAACATACCGATGCACATATGGGGACGGCATCTGCCTCTTCAACCCAGAAGCAGAAGCTATTGGAAGCTTCCCACGTGGTATTCATCCACAGCCCACCCCTTACTGAGACAGGGACCGCACTCAGATACGATGTGCGCGGGCAAAAGCAGTCCCTCCAAACCGACTGGTTATTGATGAGTAGCTGTGACCCATACATGCGTGGTTTCCAGCAACCATTCTGAGAATAAGTGACTTGGACCTGTGTGTAACAGACGTGGGCAGGTAGTATCCCGTCGAAGGCTAATGTTGGACCCGAGTTGATAGCCACAACTACCGGGTTGGCACGAGCTCTTTGCTGCCAACAGAACATATGCCTTCTTTTCCTTTGGTATCAATTGCAAATCAAATTCGCCAATACTACCTAGTACTACATGTACTGTACACGACCTACCCCAACGTCTACACTCAATGTGCATGCACCGCAGCTGGTCACCATGGCTCTTGTTGTTGGCAAAGGTGAGGGGCACTAACACTAACTTGTTGAGGATGAGAAGAGTACATGTATGCATACCTGTATAATTACGTTTCATAGATACCTGTATTACCGACCGATGTGAAAAATCGGTGAGCACCCTTCACTTTGACGAGCCTCTGTGCGCCTTGCCGTCGTCTAAAATGCTGGCAGCAGCGATTATATTCCACGTGGGATCATATGCGGGAGGCATCTGAAACGAGATGTGACCGAGTACTCGTTGCGAAGAATCCGTGTATGCTCTGACAAGGTAAATTTTATCAAGGATAACAACAGAGCAGCGAGACGGCTTCCTCGTTGCAAACTTGAATTTACCTGCCAACTCCCTAGAGCAGACATTCTATTGAATATCGATTGGTTCGATCAAGGCTAATGACCTCATGTCCACTGCGCCATGGTCTATGCTCTAACCCATAAGCTTCTGAAATCTGGAACTTTTTCGCAAATGTCACCCATGGCTGCTCCTCTTGAGAGGCCTGCATGCGAAGTACCTCCGCTAACGATCTCATGTACTTGGATCTCCGTACAAGTACGTAGCAGTACTTGACGAATGCGAGATTTATGGAGCATTTTGGTGCTCTTGTTGCATGAATTTCTTGTCCAGATTGGGAAACTAGAAGATCGATGGTTGGCATGCGGGAGCGCTGCACTCTGACCGCAAAAGCAGCTCCGATGCTCCTGCGCACTAACAAAGGGGTGGCCCGTCCATCCATGCGTTGTTATTGCTCCAGTACTTGTATGCCTCTCTCTACCTTGCCTCTCAACTCGACAAGTGCCTAGTATGGGTAACACTCGTATTAGCTTTAAACTGCGGGTGCCATTCTCTGATCGTGTCTAACCCTCGGCCACTTGCCGAGAATGGAAGCCCACTGGTCAAAGTGGCCCCTAGCAGATCCAAGACCTTGCCGGTGTGTTCATCCCATGTTTTGCCTCGTGCTCATCTAGAGGCCGCATGCTCGCTTGTCTGTGTTTCGACGATAGGAAACCGCAATTGTGGGGAGCTGCGCTTTTATACCGCTGCTAACACTGCTTCTATGGAGCCTGATATCTTGATACACATGGTTATGAGGGCAGGGGAGCTCTAAACCACCTCAACCAAAAGCGCTTCAAACGTTGCCGCGAATTCTACCACAGAGTTCATGCTCAGCAACAAGGCTAAAGAGGATGTATAGACCGAATCGAAGTTTCAAAACGTCGTCAGCATCGGCTTAGCTTGCATCCTACAACTAGATGCTAATGCAGATGCAAGTAAGAGCCGTCAACTGCTCCCGCACCATCCTCATGCCACTATCCGGGCAGAACGGGACGCAACAGGCCCTGTAGCTTATCAACATCACATCCTGCAGCGCCACGTTGTCTGGCTCAATTTTTCTCTTTCTTCCAGGGAGTCGAAAGTGACATTGCATCGTTGCCTCGTGCTGTAAAGTCCAGAGCGGTTTCGCTGCTACTACATATGGTCCCGGAACTTCGCAATGATACTGAGTATACAGTAGCAGGATGTACAGGGACCCATGCGTCCATCTCTCGATACTATGTAACGCTATACTTCCGACGAAGGCAACCCTAAATAACTCCGCGGATATTTAGCAGCCATATACCATACTGTACAGGTAGGTACAGCGACAAACCATTCACTTGTCCAGATACCACGGTATGGTATTGGTAATTACAAAATATGAGCTGCTTGACAAAAGGGCCAGCGCTACCTGGTTGGCGGCTGAATCAACCCGCTCAACTCTGTTCTCATTGGCCGCGGTAACCTTTTGTGCAACACGCCATATGCATGAGCACAGCTCGAGACAATTGAGGACAGCCGTGTTGGGTGCCAATTCTCTGGTATTCCACGACAGCAATCAGCAGCATGGCCAGAACTGGTTGGGTGTCTCAAAGGAGGGCGTGATCGCACGTTTAGCCGATACCCACCGTCTGTAATGCATTTTACTTCTCAGGCAACGTCTTGCATGTGGCATTCCCACGCAAGAACACATGGAATAACGGTGCGGCAAGAGGCAGTCTACTTCTACCTTGTGTACTTGTCACCTGTAACGAGCTTGCTGACATATTGAATCAGTGATTTGTTCAAGAAACCGCTACATTGAACAAGCATGATAGTCCTCCAAATGAAGCCCGTCAGCCTGTGTACCAGAGTTTCGCCAAGGGAGGAGGACCCACGATGCGGATCCTTTTTTTCGACTCTGCACCAAGCGAGCCTCGATCTATAAGGCAGAGAAAACTTTAACCAGCCACGTTCGCTCATGCCCTAGGACTAGGCCACCGTCAGATGAATGATCGACCGGCTCCGATAGTTCTAAAGAGTTAATTTGGAGGGTTCGTGCCACTCAGATGAGCCAAGAGCTTGGGACACTTGCTGGCAAGTGTTTGCTATCCCCAAAGGCAGGGACGTCATTTCCACCCCTCTCAGCTGCGTTGCTCGCAGAACAAGGGTTGCTTTTTATTTTCCCCCTCCCCCTTTGCCACCCAGCCGGCCGCTCGCTCTAGCGAGTGCTCCCTGTGGCCGACGGTGTCCTATCATCTTTGGAAGTGCCCCTGCCATACAGGCACAGACTATATGGAACCGAAATTTGGATAAATATTGCACGTTGGTGCGACGTGGCGTGGCGTACACGCACATACCTCAGGGAGTGTGACGATATCAAGACAAAAAACAGCTCCCCGGTCCGAGGAAAAGGAAAGAACCGGAGATCCTGGTACGCCGTGGCTCACAAGCCTCGAGGCGCCCTTTGCTTTCTCTCGGTGGCGCCGCCTCACCGCGCCTCATGGAACACAAGAAATATTCTGATTTGTTAAGTACGCGGATGGAAATGAGCGATCTGCGTGCTGTAATAAAGGCGTTTTGCTTTGTGGAATATTTTGGCAATCCGAGGAGATGGGGATGCATTCATCTGGCGCCAGAGATGATCGAAATGAACTCCTGCTGTACACTGTACAAGTACACCGCTCAAAGGTACAGTATTTGTCATTATGCAAGATGTCTGATTGTCGTATGCAGGTACACTCTCGTTACCACATATCCTTGACCTCGGAGAGAGGGAATGTCCTAATTCATGCCACACATTTCCGTTGGTTTTGGGAGGATTCATTTAAAGCAGCCTGTTTTGAGTGTCTTAACTGGCAAAGGACGTGAATGATCCGAGACCTTGTATAGAGCCCAAGGGGGGGGAGCAAGAACGCTTGATGCAATTACTCCTGCTAATAGCGGTACCAGCCGTGAAGTCTCAGAAGTAATTCCATCTAAAACAGATCCCGTGCTGTTGGTCAGCGTATGGGTCCAATATGTTGGTTGCCAGATCGCCCTCGTCCGATCCAGATTGCTGGGGGCGGAAAGTTTATTGGAGCAATCGAAGCTCTTAAATTGTTATTACACCGTAAATGGGACACGCCGCCAATCTTGATTCTGGACCCTCCATGTGACTCCCCTCGCTAAAACAACCAGTACGTTCCCGTCTTCCCGTGTATGAGGTCTCGTGG